TTAAACACAAAAGTGTGTAATTTTYTTTATAGTATATATAAAAAAAACTTCTTTTATTATTATTATTACTAAATATGTTACAAACAAACAAAAAATAAAACTAAAAAAACATTTTTTTTGTATGTCAAAGATTCAAAGTTATTGTTATTATTATTATTATAAACAATATGTTTTTTGGCTATTTTATACTATCATATATAATAATAATAATAATTTATTATATTCATGTATTTTTTTTTTTGTATATTATTAATTTCAATTTTTAGAAAACAAAAATAAAATTAATTGTATGTAATAATAATAACGATGAAAATAAAAAAAAATTTTAATTATTATTTTACAAACAAATAACAACAACAAAAATTAAAAGTTTTTTAAAAAGTTATTTTTTTTAATTATTTATTTAATAATACATACACTAATATAGTTGGCATTAATATAGTCGGATCCGATGATATCGTTATTAAATTTTAATTTCACTATTGAGTGATCATCTATTTTGATGGGTTGATGACATATAACATGAAAAATGATTAAAAAAAATAAGATATAAATTGTATAATAAAAACCATTAGAAACCGGAAAATAGTTAAATAATAAAAATAAAATAATAATAAAGTTTACGATTTTTCTAAAATAAAATATAAATTATTCAGTATATTAAAGGCAGTAGTAGTAGTAGTAGTAGTAGTAGTAGTATATTGTGTGAGTGGTATACTGTATATATATATATATATAAATTATATAATTACAAATAAAATATTTATGAAACTTTTTTATAACAAATAAATGAGATTTGATTTTTTTTTAATTAAATAGTTGAAAATAGCATTTTAAAATAGTCAAAATAATCAAATATATATATATATAAAAAGCAATATAACAAACATATATATATATATATATATACAATAATATAAATGAAATTGTTTATCAAAAATTTGTTTCAATAATATGTGTGTGGGCTTTATGACGGCAATCAATAATAATAATAATAATAATAATGTGGAGGTGTTATATCATATGTATAAATATAATATATATATATATGAAAACACAAACACATTTTATACATTATGTTAATATATATAATGTATTACTAATGTATAGTATGTATACTCTTAATTCAATTATGTTTTTCTTCAATATATGGTTACAATGAACTAACACTTATGTATATATATATACTATGTATAAGATAATTGTGTAGTTAATCATCATTGATATACATCTCTCTCTCTCTCTCTCTCTCTCTCTCTCTCTCTCTCTCTCTCTCTTGAACCGTATGTGTAGGTATGTATGAGTATGTATGAGTGTGTATGTGTATGTATGTATGTATGTATGTATGTATGTATGTATGTATGTATGTATGTATGTATGTATGTATGTATGTATGTATGTATGTATGTATGTATGTATGTATGTATGTATGTATGTATGTATGTATGTATGTATGTATGTATGTATGTATGTGTGTATGTAAGTATGAGTGTGTATGTGTGTATGTATGTGTGTGTGTATGTGTGTGTGTGTGTGTGTGTATGTATGTGTTTGTCTGTACAATATCCTAACTTTATGCTGTCTAATCATTTTGAATGTCATTACATGTATATCATTGAAACATAAGGTCATCTATAATAAAAACAGTACTTTATATAYATATAYATATATATATATATAGTAAAGTCATTTTATACCTGAATTATAAAAACTTATTTTTTTGTTAACATTTATTATATATCATATATTTATTTTTCTTTTTGAAAAAATAATGAATCTATTTTAAAACAATATGACAATTGTTTTTTTATCAATTAGAAAATTTTATATTTTATATATATATACTGTATATATAAAGTTTTAACTAATCTGTGCTTTTAGTTTATTAAGTATTGTTTGAAAAATAAACTAAATATTTATTTAACAAAATCTAACTTAAATATCGTATATAATCTATTTGTACAAAAAACAAATATGATAAACATTTTTTAAAAATAAATTAAACAAAAATAATTACAGTATATATTAAGTCATTAAATTGTATCTAATATATCATAAGATGAAATAAATATAATATATTATTATAATTATAATTAACAACTTAATTACAATTGTTTTTTTAAAAAAAATAAATAAATTGTATTTTGTTTACAATCTCACTAACTATTTAACTATTTTAGATAAAAATCGTAGTTAAATAAAAAATAATAATTAAATAAAAAAAAGTAATAAAACTTTAACGTAATAAAAAACACATACATACAGTACATACACATTATACATACACAGTGATAATTGTTGTGGCAATTAATTGTCAAAAAAAATTGCTTATATAGGGTATAAACTAGATAAAACAAGTTTGACTTTATTAAATAATTMATACTACAAAAATTTATATATATATATATATATATATATATATATATATATTATTTTATATAATACGTAATAAATTTTATGACATTATATTTTTAATAATATATATATATATATATATATATATTTAATTCATTACTACCGGTAATTATCATTACCAGGCATTTATAACAATACATTTAAATATATAACTTATATATACTGTATATATATATATTAATCTCAACTAATATAACAAATATATAATATTAAACTAGAGATTAAATTCATTCAATACTGATATAATATGAAACATATTTTTTTGTTACTAAATAAAAATAAATATATTAAATAAAAATTCATTCATTAATTGAAATATTCATTAATGTATATTATATTACTATTTTTTCCTGTTTTTTGTGTGTGTAAAATACATRTATAAACAAATATTGAAATATATAATTGAAATAAAATTCAAAAGTAGAGTTTATTATTTTTTTAAGTACTAATATAAATATTAATAATTAATAGTATCTAAAATAAATCAAAATTTTGAAAATATATAAAACTATTTTCAAACTTAACATTACACTTAAACTAATGTATAAAATATACAGTTTATAAACACTGTATATGATAGTTGAATATTTGAAATTAAATGATATATATATTTTGAATAAATTTATTAGTAATTAAACATAACACTAACTATTTTTTTTTTAATAAAATAATAATAATAATACAGTTATACTGTATATAAATAATATCAAAAATAATTTTCAAAAGTTATTTTCAAACAAACTTTAAAAGTTTGTTTTATGGATTCTATATGTTTGTGTGTGTGTGTGTGTGTCTGTGTGTCTGTGTGTCTGTGTGTCTGTGTGTTGGTTTTCAAAGTGCGAATTTTAAAATTTTGATTTCAGATTTAGATTCTCCATCAAAAATAAGGTATAGGGGATCAGCATTGAAATTTTGATATCTCTTCAGGAACATAGAGAAAATGGCGGCCAAAGTACAAAAAATTATGTTATCAGATTTAATAAGCTTAGATAATCTTAAAAATTAAAAATATTATGATTCTATATAAAATTTTATTTTATATATACATAAAAATGGCTGCTAATATACAAAATTTATTAAATTAAAAAAATAGTATATTATTTACTACTATAGAATACAAATTTAAATTTAAACAAAAATAATGCACTTTTATATAGTAATATATAGTAATACATAGTAATATATAGTAATATATAGTAATATATAGTAATATATAGTAATATATAGTAATATATAGTAATATATAGTAATATATAGTAATATATAGTAATATATAGTAATATATAGTAATATATATATATATAGTAATATATATATATAGTAATATATAGTAATATATAGTAATATATAGTAATATATAGTAATATATAGTAATATATAGTAATATATAGTAATATATAGTAATATATAGTAATATATAGTAATATATAGTAATATATAGTAATATATAGTAACATATAGTACTATAATACATAGTAATAAATGGTAATATATATACATACAATACATACAATACATACAATACATACAATACATACAATGCTTACAGTACTTACAATACTTACAATACTTACAATACTTACAATACTTACAATACATACAATCAACATTAATAATTGCGTTAACATTAATATTGCGTCAACATTAATATTACGTCAACATTTAATAATTGCGTTAACATTAATAATTGCGTCAACATTAATAATTACGTTAACATTAATAATTGCGTCAACATTAATAATTGCGTTAACATTAATATTACGTTAACATTAATAATTGCGTCAACATTAATATTACGTCAACATTTAATAATTTTAAAAAAGTGAAGTCTCAGTACAAGTCAAGACATCGAAGGGACAACATGTAAGTCAAATTTATTTCTTAATTAAATATAATTATTTTAAATATATTAATAATTAATTATTAATATTTATTTTTTATTTGATATTTGTGATTTTAATAATTGCGTCAACATTAATAATTGCGTCAACATTTATAATTGCGTCAACATTAATAATTGCGTTAACATTAATATTGCGTCAACATTAATATTACGTCATTTAATAATTTTAAATAGTGAAATTATTATTTCAAGTCTCAGTTCAAGTCGAGCCATCGAAGGGGCAACATGTAAGTAAAATTTATTTCTTAATTAAATATAATTATTTTAAATATATTAATAATTAATTATTATTTATTTTTTATTTGATATTTGTGTGATTTTAATAATTGCGTCAACATTAATATTACGTCAACATTTAATAATTTTAAATAAAGTGAAATTATTATTTCAAGTCTCAGTTCAAGTCGAGCCATCGAAGGGAATGTACTATCGTACTATGTACGTAATATTTATTTTTAACTAATCATATTACAGATTATTGTATTATATATTAATTGAATATTAAAATTCAAGTCATATTTAAGATCAAGACATTTATGATTATTTGAATAAAATGTCTACTATTAATATGTGCAACATTTGTCAATTGAATGTCGAACTTATTCAATTTGCTCTAATGGAAAAACCTTGTATTCACCGCTTTTGTCCTTCATGTTTGATGTCACTTATAAAGACTGCATTCGATCAATTTAAAGATCTCAACTGTGCATATTGTCGTAATTTATGGATGAATAAAAACGAACTTAATTTTGGAGTAAAAGCACATCTTCTTCAACATCCTAATTACTTTGATATTCTTGAAATTAATGTAAACAATAACTATAATATAGATAATCAAAATATTATGATAAATATATATTATTTTTATTGAAGAAATAATTACAATTATTGACTATGAAATTATAACTATTGATTAAATAATTTGTATAAATTTCATTAAAAGGAAATTAATTAAATAAAAATATTTTTGAAAAAATTAATTTGAATATATTTTCTTTATATATATATATATAAAGTAGTAATTGTAAGTCAAGTCATTTAAAATCTGTCATTTTAAGGCCAGCTATCGGAGAGAACAGTCGTAATTAAAATAAATTATTTATAAATCTAAATTAGTTATCTTTATTTATAATAAATATAAATATTAATATAAAATAATTACTTTATTTATGTGATTACCTTTTTGTAACATATATTATTATTGAGTCAACATTATTACGTCAACAGTTTATTGTAATATAAAGTAATAATTATAAGTCAAGTCATTTGAAGTCGAGCTATCGGAAAGAACAGTCGTAACTATTATAAATTATTTATAAATTTAAATATGTCATGTTTATTCCTAATTGATATAAATATTATTTTCTTTATTTATGTGATTACCTTTTTGTTGCGTCAACATTTTATTGTTATAAAGTAATAATTGTAAGTCAAGTCATTTGAAGTCGAGCTATCGGACAGAACAGTCGTAAGTAATATTATAATTTAAAAACGTCTTAATTTTATATAATTATTATTTTTAATTATTTAATAGATAAATAAATATGTCTGATTCACAAGATTTTGACGATGAATTAGATGCTATTCTTGCAAACATAGAATTTGATGATAACGGTAATGTTATTGATATAGCGCAAATATTTGACGAAGAATTTGATGAAAGCCTTCAAAATATTGAATTTAATAATTATGGTCAAGTTATGAGTATAGAAGAAATAGTTCATGATGTTTTAAATCAACTTGTCATTGATGTTTCTCTTGAAATTAATGCTTCTGAATCTTGTGAGGAAACATCAAACGAAACTTCTGACGAAACATCTGGCGAAACTTCATCAGAAATGGATTTTGAAGAAGAAAATGAATCAGATGATGAAATGGATGACGATATTGAAGATATATTAAACAATATTAATACTAACAATGATATTTAAAGCATTGTTATTACATCCATTGTTATTAATCTATATAATTTTATATAAAAAACAATATTCTCATTTTTAATACTATTTGGATTTGTTTATTATTAATGATTAACTTTAAAAATAATTAAAAAAAAAATTCTTAATTACTTTATCAATTAATTTTATTTAAATCTTGTATTTAATAATTTATATGTTTAAAATAAAATAAAAATTTTATATAATATTGAGTTATTTATTTTTAATTAAAAAATCTTATTAAAATGCAAACCCTAATATGAGTTTTTAAAGTTTGTTTCTGGCAATGCTTTCTAGCATTCTCAACTGGTTAATATTAAATTTTTAATTTTACTTTTTTTAATCTAAGTTTTTGAAGAAAACTATTTATTCAAAATATTTAAAAACTTTATTTTTTAAAAGAGGCCTTTAGTTTTAGAGAGAGAGAGAGAGAGAGAGAGAGAGAGAGAGATTCAAATTATTATATAAATGAAATTAAATAGCATTTAAATTATATTATCACATAAATTTAAACAAAAATTTTTTAATTAAAATAATATATTTAGGATCTCTCTCTCTCTCTCTCTCTCTAAAAAAATTTTAAAAATATGTTTTCTTGAAATAAATATTTGGCAACTAATCAAAACATAATCATTATATATATATATATATATTTAAAAAAAAGTTAAATAAAAACACACGTAAACATCAAATCAAATTTAATGTATGTATAAACTTATTAATAATAAAWAWATATATATTATACTGTCTATAGATTAGTGACAAGTATTTAACCCATATTACAAATAAATTTTTAAAAAATTCACATCAAATAAAACAAAATATAAGTAAAACATTTCCCAAAAACTTGATAGTACTGTATATACAGTTATAATGGGTTAGAGAGAAAAATTATATATTATATATCTATCAATGATTATTAGCTATGGTTTTCAAACTGAGAAACAAACAAAAAAATCTCAACTAATCATTATATAACTTTGATACAGTATAATGGGTTAAAAATTATTTATTTTTTTTTTTTTTGAAAAAAATATTTTTAAAAAACAAACATTTTTTTGCATATTATTTAAATCAATCAATCAAACTATATATGATATATACATTATATATATATATACATATATATATATACTGTATATATATATATACTGTATATATATATATACTGTATATATATATCTAATGTATATAGCTATATATCTATATATATTTTCCAAAAAAAGTAGTACAAACATAAACATCATATAATTGTGACATAATATTTAGCATAGATATATATATATATATATATATATATATATATATATATATATAGATAGATAGAKAGAGAGAGAGAGAGAGAGAGAGAGAGAGAGAGAGAGAGAAGAKATATATATATWTATATAGATAGATAGATAGAGAGAGAGAGAGAGAGAGAGAGAGAGAGAGAGAGAGAGAGAGAATGATAGATTACTTCCTAATTTAATAATAATAATAATAATAATATAAGAGAACAGTTAGATTTTTTAGGTATATATATATCACTACTTACAGGGAAGTATATTAACAAATCGATTTTTCGGCTTATTTACGGTAAACTGCGATATTTTGGTCGTACGTATACTGGCGCCGACCGCCGATTGRCCGACAGTTGCGTCCTTAATCTGTTCGTACTCTTCGGCCAATCTGAGGCCACTGTCGGCCCGATTTTGGCGATAAAATTCATGAAAATCGCGTACAGATATTGGCCGCGACTCGTCAACTACTGGCCGCCGATTAGCAGCAGCCGCTGAACCGTTAATATTGAAGGTATCGCCACCACCACCACTACCTTTAGGCTGTATGTTATCCATTGTGATGACAGCACTGGCAGCACTGGCACTGGTAGTTAGACTACTTGGGTTGCCATCACTGGTTGGCATCTTATCAACTCTTCTCTTCCTTGACTTACTTTTATATGGCATTTGTTTAAGTATTTTCACACCAAAACTGTTTGTTTGTTTGGTTTGGTTTGGTTTGTATGGGATTTTAAATACATAGTAATAGTTATTATTATTATGATATCATAGCGTCAAATATATATATATATATATATATATTTATATATATACAAAAAAAGTTGATTTTGTAATAATTATGAGGTTTTTTGTGTGTTTCAAATCATCGAAATTATGTTATGTTATGAAATCCAAGCGGTATTTAATTATTAGGTGTTTTTTTTKGTTGTTRTTGTAATTTTTTTTTAACAATTCAATAGATAATCCCATTTATTTAATAAAATATATTATTATTATTATTTTCAATGCGATGAGAAAGTTGAATATTATTTTATATATATATATATAAAGGAAAACAAATAAAAAATAATTATTAATATATTATTATTTAAATTTTCAAACACATATAACACACACACACATATATTTATATTATATATAAAACACTATATAAAATACTATATATAACTTAAATTAAAAAAAAATAAACTAAAAATAATTTAATTAAAAATGTTATTTACAAGTCATTGAGTATTGAATTTTTTTTTAATTAATTATATAAAACAACTTTATTTTTTGTTATCCAATTCATTCATTAAACTCAATAKATATATATAAAAATATTTTTTTTGCTTTATTTATTGTTTAAAGTAAATGTAGTGTAAATTATATATATATATTTATAATATATATATATATATATATATATATATATATATATATAKATATATATTGCTAATATTTTAAATCACTAGTTAACTAGCAACATTATCTAAAAAATTATTATATATTGTGAAACACATACAAATATTTTTCTAAATATTATAATCTAAAAATATTTAACAACACACTTAAAACAAAAATTTATTTATAATATATTATATTATAGTTTAATATATTTAATAATTTATAAATAAATTAAATGAGAAAAATAATTAATAATAATACATTACTAACTATAATAAAWAAAWATATATATATATATATATATATATATAGATTATATATATATATACAATTGGAAAWATATATATATATATATATATAATTTAATTAATAGTTTAGAAAATAATTTTTAAATAATTTAAAAGTATATAAATATATCTTACAATCGATTGCTAGACATAAGTAGTTTGTATAATATTTTTTGTTTGTTTTATTTTTGAATATATATATATATATATWTATATATACTAATTTGTACTTGATGATACAATACACACACACACACACACAAAATTGATATATCCAATCAATAATAATTAATAATAATAAAAATAAATATTTAAAAATATTCAATAACTATTCAATTATTATTATTCACACAATTATTTTTTTTATGTTGGTGTTGTACTTTATTATTATATAWTATTTTATATTAATACACACAAATATGTTTGTATTTTTTTATTAATGTACATAAAAAACACTTTATATATATATATATATTTATTWAAAGTTAAAGGAGTCTATAGTCTCATACTTTTTATATATATATATATACACACTATGAGAGAGAGAGAGAGAGAGAGAGAGAGAGAGAGAGAGAGAGAGAGAGAGAGAGAGAGACTAACACATATAAACTTGTATTTATTATATCGATAGTGACTTAACAAACAWAATAAAAATTATATATAAAATTTTTTTTAGTGTAAAGGTTGACAAACAACACATGCGCTATCAATATGTGTGTAAACAACAATTTTTTTCAAACAATTTTATATATATATATATACTGTATAATCATTATTATAATAAAATGTATATAAATTATATTATATATATATATATATACTAAAAAAAWTTCGTTAATAATTATAAAGTCATATATATTATTATATTATATATATWTTCATAAATTATAAAACAATTTATCTACATTTTTTTATTATAAGTTAAAATAGTTTTAATAATTAAATAAAGTTAAAATGAGAAAATAGTTATTTATATATATATATAATACTGTAAAATATAATCATTAATTAGATTATAATTTCATAATTTAATTATATTCTCTATTCACACAATAGGTTAATAAATAAATATATATATATAAAGTTAATAAAAAAAWWWATTTTACTGTATTTATAAATTATTTATTAAAAATTTATATGTTAACTCATGTTATAATATTTAATTATAATATTGTAAATAGCAGTATATATATATACATTTATATAAAGTCTATTAAATTAATAATTTTTTATGATTTTAAATATCATCGCAACAAATATTGATATWTATTATTATTATTATTATTATTATTATTATTATTATTATTATTATTATTATTATTATTTTATTTTATTTAATATGTATGTGTAAAATRTGGATAATATAATCATTTTTTTAACTAATAATAATTATAACTATAATAWATATATATKTATAACGTCATCATACATGTATATCTTATTAATAAATTATTGTTRWACAGTATATATATATGGGTTTTATATTTATAAATTAATATTTAACTACTAAGTATTGTATTAATTTGCTCAAGGTTCATTATTATTATATACACACACATACAGTACTGTACCTTATATATTGTTATAGTTATAATTATATTTTTGTTTCATTACTTAAATATACATCTATACTAATATACTGTATATATAATTATAATACATATATAAAATGTATTTATATATATATAAATAATCAATATTTGTGTAGAAAATACTTGTGAATACTAGTTATATATATATATATAAATGTTTGTATAGTTTATATATATTATACAATATCTTAATTATTATAACATCAACAAAAAAAATGTTAACATAAAAAATATTTGTGTATAATTTTTTGTTAATGATAAACATTTTAYAATTAATTTWTTTATTAAATCATTTAGTTTCAAACTATTTATTATTATTTTAGAAATTATTTATTTTTAAAAAATGAAATTTTTTAAAAATAAATAATTATTGTATTAATTAGAAAAAAGTTTACACTTTTATTAATATTAATAACAATTTGTTTGTTTTTTGACAACTATCATATATACCCTTAAGTTATTAATATAATAAGTATGTTAATTAATAGTAATATTTTTTGTTAATATAGGATTATATATATATACAGTATTTAATTTTATTATTATTATATATATATATTTTTAACGTAATAAAATAAAAAACCCGTTTTATTTTTTGTTAATTATGACAACAACAACAAAAAAWTTCATTAATATAGTTATAAATTGATTTTCAATATTATATATATATATATATATATATATTTAATATATTCAACCAGATAAACTGTATATTAATATCACATACATATATACATGTATATATATACTGTATATATATTTGATACTAATTTTTTTTGTAACTGTTTTAACCTTGATCATTGAATGTTTATTTATATTCACAAACATGAACATATAGATAAAACCACATGTTTTTAATTATAAATTATAATTATTCAACATTTATATACAAACTATTTATATATATATWTTAAAAATCAATATAAACTCTACATATATAAATTGTGAACATTTTTTAAAAAAAATATTGTATTAAAATATAATTGTGATTTTAAAGTTTAAATTTYWAWAACAAATAATAAGYTAAAAAATATTTAATTAAAAAAATCTATATATATMTATATWTCATGATATTATAAATAATAAATATTGTTTGGGGGAAAATGTGTTATACAATTATTTTCATACAAATTTTTTTAGGCAATAAATTTTAATAATAATAAAAAAATAAAATCTAATAAAACAAATTTGTTTTTTAATTGAAATAATGAAAAACTAAAATCAATATATATATATACATATTTATTCACTAAAAATAGATTTTTTTTGTTTGTGWGATTCAATTCAATATAAATAAATAAGTAACAAAAATATATATAAAAATWTATATATATATATATATATATAATAAATCTTTTTTTGATAATAAAATTGAAATCAAAATATARTAAATGCATTRCTGGTGACAATTGATTTTATGTCATCAACGCATATGCATAATAATATTGTAAATACTGTATATATATGTATATATATATATACAGTATATATATATATATATACAGTATATATATATATATACAGTATATATATACAGTATATATATACTATACATATGTATAGATATTATATAAATATTTTATCTAATTTTATATACAGTATAATCAACAACAAAAAAATGTTAGGATTTMTATAKWTWTWTWTTATTGCTTTTCAATATTTAATATAAAATAATAATATAAATAAAAAAAATAATAATCTTTTTTAAAAAATAATTATAATAATAACATTTTATTTTAAATATTGTATATTATTAAGTCATAAATAATTAATCAGTTTTTTTTCYAAAAAATAATATAAAATAAATTTGATTTTAAWATTTTCTATAAATARTTTTAAAMTAAAAATTTAATTTAGGTAAATAATAGTTTTAATTTCAATTTAAATTTTTATTTTTTCATATTCATATTAAATGCATTTTTAATGTAATCTAAATATAAATTATTTTTAATTTTGTTGTTATATATATATATATATATTTAATAACCAATTAATTTGGATATAATTAAAAACTATAATTATAATTATGTTTACTATTTTCAACATTTTTATAATAACAATTATATGCAATATGTTTTTATTTTTCAAAGTCAACCCTATTTTAWATCAAATACAAAATTTAAACTGTYTTTTTTTAAATTTTAATTATAACTAAAAAWTATTTAATTGCATATATATAATAGCTGTTGATTTAATAATCATTTAATTATATTACGTTTGATATAAATTGGGTTTATTTTAAATTATTTAATAAAAAGTTTTATTGCTAATTATTAAGTAATATATTTTTTTTTTATTAAAATAACTTTTTCACAGTTAACAGTATAAATAWAAATATTATATAAATATTTTTTTTAAATAAAAATTGTATGATTATAAAAAATAACACTAYTTAWAAAATTATATTATATAAAAACATTATAATATCAAATGTATATTAATATCAGTARTWWATTTATTTTTTTATGTCTATTGTATCTAACATATGTTTTGAAACATTATTGATAGCAACATTTGTATAATAAAATTTWAAAATATTTATAATTTTATAATAATAATAAATATTTGATTTAAAATTTTTTCATATACTWTAGTCAATATATCAAACAATATATCTTATATAKACTATACTATATAAGTGTATAATATAGTTGAAAACAAAGTTCAAATATTTATATTATATAATAATTATTATTATATATTTGTTAATCTTGTAAATATTTGATTTGTTTTTTACTTTATATATAATATATATATATAATATAAATTAATGTTCATATAAATGCAGTAATAAAATWAAATATATATATATATAAAATAAGAAACACCTGTAATAAACAATATCAAACAAAAAAAAATTTGTTTGCCATATATGTAATGGCTTTGAAAAAATAAATTATATATATATATATATATAMTATATATATTTTTATACAATACACTAAACATACATAATAATAATAATAATACTTAAATAAAATATAATTAAACAAAACTTACATTTTAAATAGACTCTCAAAWACACACATTWATAATAATAATAATATTAAAATTAAAAATTAAAACAATTTTTTTCTACACTTGATATTTAAATTTTATATAATATAATAAAAACAAACAAACAAACAATAATTAAACTTTGAGTTTAAATTACARTATATTTTTTKTTTAACTGTGAATTTTAATAGTATTAAATAGATTTATCATTAAATAGCCTATTATTATTATTATTATATCATATAATTATTTAACATTAAAATTATTATTATTATTATTATTATTATTATTATTATTATTATTATTATTATTATTATTATTATTATTATTATTATAGTACACACACACACACATAGATACAATATATAAGCTAAAAACTAATAATTAWTATATTAAAAACTTATAGTAAATTAACTATTAAGTTATATAAATTTTTTATAACTAATAATAATAATYATATAAATTTAAATGTAGTAATTAAAGTGTAATAATTGCAACTATCGGTGACTCATATATATATATAAAAATATTATATATATATTAATTAATACAATACTAATAGTAAACACATTTATCAAACCACATGAGCAMATGTATGCCACAGGTATGGTTTTTAATCTGTTAAAAAGGTAACACTACTAATACATACATACATAGACACACACACACACACACATACACACACATAGACATACACACATAGACATACACACATACACATAGACACATACACATAGACACATACACATAGACACACACACATAGACATACACACATAGACACATACACATAGACACATACACATAGACAYACACACATAGACAGACAACCAGTACATACCAGTCAAACCTCTTCATTGGTATAGTATTGTTAGTCCGGTTTTTATGTCTTAGATAACAACAAATCGATACAATAGTCAACAATAAAGTTAACGGTATTATAGTTGTGGTCAGTATGATAATCAACTTTTCCCGACTACTGTCCATACCATCATAACTAGTAGTAGTATTGCTAGTGCTATCAATAACAGTATTGTCATAACTAGTCAATTGTTGAACACTACCACTACTAATAGTATAGTCGACACATTGATTAAGCGAAAACTTATTAACAAACTTTACTACTTTAAAACTATTTGTCGATCGCTTAGCTGCCGGTGCTCTGGCGCTGCTGYTAWCATCACCAGCAACTGTAACACCACTACTACCACCACTACTACCAGAGCAACCRTATCGACCAATGATATAACGGTGCGTACGATTTAATCTCAGATTACAGCGGTTTTCTTCAGTTAGTTTTGTACAATAGTTTGCGTCACTACCAGTCGGTGTTGATGTCGATGATGTCGATGCTGACTGACATTGTTGAGGCACTGGCGATGATGATGATGATGATGATGATGATTGGCCATCAATATTGGCACCGATACTACTAGTTTGCTGGTGCTGGTGCTGGCACTCGGCCACAGTGCTCAGGTATATACATAGTCTAACAATACCGTACACCTGTGTGAGTGTTTGATATGGGCTATTSAATTGAATTTCAATGTTATTATCATTTTTGATATCAAATCTTAAATCATTGTTAACTATCATTGTTTGCATAAATGTTTGGCATTTATTATTATAGTCGTCATCATTATTATCATTATTTACATAACTTTTGATTTTTTCATTATTATTATTTAGTATTACTATTATTAAACATAACATCCTTTGAAATCRWATTACTATTTATTTTCATTAATTGGTCTACAATTCTGTTACTTTTAGCATTGATTTTATTATTATTATTATTATTATGATTACCGCTATTTGTTGGCACAGTTTGATTGTTTAATATAATACCAGACATTGGTATACCATTACCACTGTTAGTCATCATCATAGGGGTGGCTGATGTTGTCAGGATACCGGTGCCCACATTATTATTATTATTATTATTATATGTTGTTATTTTATTTGTAATATATGTATGTATAATATTATTATTATTATTTGTATTTTTATTAAATTCATTATTATTGATAAATTTTGAAACATTATTATTATTATTATTATTAAATATTTTACGATTATTATCTAAATTATTATTATTATTATTATTATATTTTTTATTATTCAAACGAGCTATAATAGAGTTATTTTTATAGTTATAATAATAATAATTRTTATTTGAATAATTATTTTTSAATAAATTATTATTATTATTAWWATTWTTAAAACTATTATCGACAGTTGCACCTGTAGTATAGGGCACTGGTATATTATTATTATTAGTATTAACTAATTTTGCACCCAATAATAAACTAGATAATCTATTAGTTAGGTTACTATTATTATTATTATTATTATTATTATCACCATCGATGTCTACCTGTCCACTGGCACCGGTATCTTGCGATTGTAGATAATTATTATCAAACACACTGTGCATCACCTGTTGGCTTATAAATAATAGGCTTTTCMTCATCAATATCGACGACAGTATCTCTGATGACTATTGGATCGTTTGGATCGCCATGAGTTTGATTAGCTATACTATCGTCTAAAAACTCCTGATTGATTTCAACATAATAAGTCATATTATTGTTTGTATCGGTAAACTCATAGTACGGACTACTATTGTTGTTGTTGTTGTCCATTGTCCGCATGTTTCGTTGCCTATTGTTGTTATAACTGTTGTAGACAACTGTAGGACCGGTAGTATGTTTGACGGTATGGTTGTGTTTAATAATAAGTTGTCGTCGCCTATTGATTTCGTGTTCAATTTTATCTAAATTCTGGACAATCTGTTCGTTCATAGCACTGGACGATAGGTCAGGTATGTGTGTAATACCCGGTGCTGYTTCCGATAAGTTATTATTATAGACATCATCAGCAGTCGGTGCGCTGCCATCCCTAAGCCGTACTRTTTTTTGCTAAAAAATTTTAATTAATAGTAATATAAATTAATAATAAATTATATATAAAACAAACAAAAAAGTATATTAAATGTAAATAAATATAAATTAATAAATAAAATATTTAAATAATTATATATAAAACAAAACAAAAAGTATATTAAATGTCAATAAATATAAATTAATAAATAAAATATTTAAATAATTATATATAAAACAAAAAATGTATATAAATTTTTAATAAATAAAATATTTATCAACAAAAAAGTTTATTATTAAATCATTTGACACTTAATTAATTAATTAATTTTTTTTTTGTGATCTCAAATWATGATTTATTTATTAAAATTGTGTATAAAGTGTATGAATTGAAATAAATGATTAATTAATTTTATTATTAATATTATTATAAWGTTTTAATCCTTATTAATTAATTTTTATAATAATAATAATACCTGATTTATATATAAAATTATATTTAATATATATATATATATTATTGTTGTTGAATATAAGTTAAAATATATGACAATAATTTTATGTTGCTAGGTTTTTAATAGATAATTAATTTTTAATCACTATTATAWMAAAWAAATAATAAYAACACACAGTAATAAAAGTAAATAAAAATAAAAAMTTAATAATAACTTATTTTAATCTTATATTTAAATAGGATTATCATTTAATATATATAAGTATTCAATAGTTATATTAATATACAATAATATACGTTTATAATAATTTTTTTTAAAAAATATGGYATTAATAAAATTAACTATTTTTTTTTAAAAAAAATTAATAATTTAGAAATATTATTGTTAATTTATAATMAAATAAATCTCTATAATATTTAATTATAATTTATAATACATTATATAYATATATAATAACTTACTTTAATTGTAGTTACATTGTRTACTAATTGTGTTATTAGWAATATWACAGTAAATGTTGAATAGTWTARCAACTTATTATTATTGAATATTAAATACATAATCTCTATAATATTAATATATATTTWWAAAAAAATAATAATAAAATAATAAATCCATTAATATTTATTAATAGATTTTTTTAATAATAAAAAATAATTTCAAACAACATATTGTTTAGATATTATTGTAAAAWTATTTTTTTATTAATTAATATTTTATGAATKWATGAATGAATAACACACACAATAGTATACTTTTTGTTGTATTAATTATTTGATTATACAAATTGTTTTATTTATAATTATTKWAAAAAATAAATAAATAATACAACAAAGTATTCATTTGTTRTAAATAACTAAATATATTTAAACGATAAGTAAAAAAACACATATAATGTAATAGTGATGATAATTAATTAACTAATTAAWTAACTAAATAAAAAAATAAATAAATAAAAATAAAACGATAAATTAAATGTCGATAATATATATATATATATATATAATTTCAGTTTGAAGTCTACTTACTCACTGAAATAGTTGCTAATTGTTTATCAGTGCTGAGAGACGACACTTTTTTTATTATATATATCTGGCCTTTTAATATGTAATATTAAACCATATATATAAATTAWAGTATATATATATATATAGTATATATATATATATATATTTAATATGACTGTACATAATTGTTAGATAACCCTTTTTTTAGTTTATGATAATTATATAGCTAAATATATTTTTGTTAACTATATTACTAAATAWATTTTTGTTAACTATATTACTAAATATATTTTTGTTAACTATATTACTAAATATATTTTTTGTTAACTATATTACTAAATATATTTTTGTTAACTATATTACTAAATATATTTTTTGATAATTATATAGCTAAATATTTTTTTTAATTATTTAAATTAAAAATATAATGTTTTTGAATAACTGATATATTCCCTTAATTAATGTAATAATATAATTAATATAATATATKCAAATGTATTGTATTTATATTTACAAATTTTTATATAATATATATGCACATAAATTTTATTAATTTAATAAAATAATTTTTAAAAAAAAATAAATAATAAATTTTTAGATAGATTTTTAAATATTATTATTATTAATATTTCATAATTTACTGTTATCTTAAACAAAATTTTTGTATTACTTTTTAATTTTGATTTATCAAACTTACAGTTATTTATCTAAAATAATATTTTTAAAATTTATGCAATAAATTATTATTATTTTGCAATTTTATTTTATTTTAATAAAATATTAAATATTTCTTATCAAATAAAAAATTATTTATTAAGCTTATTAATCAAAACATACATTTAAAAATTAAGTTTATATTTTAAACTTTTTATATATATATACAGTATAGTACAGTATAAACTAAAATATTTTGCAATTTACAAATATCATATAAATTGATTAAAAAATTAATTTAAATTTATACAATGGTGTCAATCAAATATATATATATATATATATGATAAACATTTTAATTATATGTATATTTATTTAACCAAATTTTTTTTTATAAAAAATATAATAATAATAAACAGTGGAAAGTTTATATACAATATAAATCGACATAGTTGATTTATCTAATAGCAATGTTACTAAATTAATAAATTAATTAATCAATTAAAACTTGTGCAAGGTATATTTTTATTAATTAATAATTAATTAATAATTTAGATTTTTTTTATACATATTATAAAAATATTGTCTATAAGTTTATATATATATATATATATATACTGTTTATCATATTATTTATGTTATAATAATTTATTTTATTAAAATAAAATAACTATTACGCAATTCATAGCGTTATTTATATTATATAAATAAATAAAWWWWTTTTTGATTATGTAATCACWGAAATTGTTTATATATTACTACTAAAAAAATATACATAACTATTGAATCAATGTTTATTTWKTGTRATAATAATAATAATATTATAAACAATAATAAATTTTWGTAGAGTAGTAATGCAATAATAATTAAATTGTTTTTAAATAAATTGTTAGATATATTTATTAAAYAGTCTATTAAAAACATTTTATAAATTCAAAAWTTAAAACTAATTTTTATTTATTTATAATATTATACTTTAAAAAWAATTTTTATTCTCAAACAAAAAAAGTTTTATTCAAATTCAAAAGTGTTTTATTTATTTATTTTTTAAATAATTATTATTATTATCTAAATATATAATAATGAATTCAATCACATCCTATACACTGCAAGCGGTTATTGAATGTAAAACCCGATTACTGGCCGAACAGCCSGATAATGGGCACCTGTATCTCGTMATGAATATGATTGAATGYCATATATTTCGGTCGATTCTGGAATGTGTGGATAAYTTTCATACAATGAATCCGCCGGTAATTCATCGGGATTTACGTCCGGAAAATATMCTGCTRGCGGTCAACTCGCGTAACGAACATTGTATTATTATCGGTAAYACSGGTTTGGCTACTATTCACGARTTTAGTACCCAGAGTCATACGGCCGGTGTCGGTAGTGGYGGCTATCAGGCACCCGAAGTGGCCAAYGGTCGCAAYTATGATACTCARGCGGATGTCTATAGTTTGAGTATAATATTTCARCATTTGTTTAACTGTTTTATTTGGTGCGATAGCCAACAGCATAGGGATGAGTATGTATTTACTGTTAAAATATTTTTTTTTTGATAAATTATTTWATATTTTTTTGTRTCTCTCTRTCTSTCTCTCTMTCTSTCTCTCTCTATCTGTCTGTCTCTCTCTCTCTCTCTCTCTCTCTCTATCTSTCTCTCTCTATCTGTCTCTCTCTCTCTCTATCTGTCTCTCTCTATCTGTCTCTCTATATCTGTCTCTCTCTATCTGTCTCTCTATATCTGTCTCTCTCTATCTGTCTGTCTCTCTATCTGTCTGTCTCTCTATCTGTCTCTCTCTATCTGTCTCTCTCTATCTGTCTCTCTCTATCTGTCTCTCTCTATCTGTCTCTCTATCTGTCTCTCTATCTGTCTCTCTATCTGTCTCTCTATCTGTCTCTCACACAACACCTCCCTATSACTAGACCTCCGATAGTGACCCAACTTCACCAGTATTTGCGATTACAATTCAATGCAATGATGAACAGTGTGTTYGARGARAGRCCGTCCTGTGCCGAGATATTGATGGTCAGTCGTCCATATCTTATTGATTTCGGCCAATTCACCGAYGATCCCGAAGTTGTRGCYACTATACAATGGCTGTACAAAAACGGCGGTCCATTTTTCCATAGTTTTCTGCACGAAGTTTTACTCAAGTATCAGATATTATAATTTAATTAAWTAAAATAWAWTATWTATTTAATTAATTTAATTTTTTTAGTTAACTTTATTATAACTTTTGTTAAAGTTTTGAAACCATTTGTTATTAAAAATATTTACWCTTATTTCTAAAAGTCCCATATTTACAGGTTTTAGTAGTTTATAAATTAGTACTATTTTTCATAAGTGTTATGAGTTTGATAATTGGTTTCAAACTTAAAAATATTTCACAAACTTTTAATTATTAAATATTTAAAAATTATTAATTAATTAAGTAATTATTTAATAATAAAAAAACAAATTATTAAAATTCTATATTTATTTATTTTTTAAATAAAAAGTTTAATATATATATATATTTGTAAGTCTAAAATAAAATACAAACTGTTTATCTGTAATTAAATTTAATAAATAAAATAAAAGTTTATACAAATTTTTTTTTGAAAATTTTGATAAATTCAATTTAGTTATTATTAAACAAAATTTATATAAGTTTTTACTAATCAAACCAYTCATTGCTATATTTAGGTGTTGTTGTTGTKGTRGTAGTAGTCATCATCGGTTGACTATCGCTGCCGCCAATAATCGGATGAATATTATCGTCAAATGTACCGATAATGTTGCCCATCGACAGGTAATTGCATACAATATACAGTTCATAGTAGCCCTGATCCGATTTACCGGCACAGGAGGCGCATCCGACACTTGTAGTCGATGACCAAACCAATTGAGTAAAATGGCCTGTCTTTGAACTGTAGCCGTGATCATTGAAATTATAGTTTGCAATTTCATTGTACCTTGGTCAAAAAAAATATTAATATATTATAAATTATAATTATTACGATTTTTTTTAATTAAATAATAATAGCGGCGATGCTATTTAAAAAAAATACAATTATCAAGGTCAACAACAATATGTTTGAATTTAAAAATTGATCAAGGTGGTTGCCAAATATTGTATTATTATAATGGATTGTAATTGGTAATTTATTTTTAATTAATTTAATTGTATTATTATACTGGATTGTAATTGGTAATTTATTTTTAATTAATTTAATTGTATTATATGGCCAGATAATTTTTATATACAGTCGACTGTTTTTATTATAAAAATTTATATATATATAATATAAATAATAATATAATAATATAAATATATATATATATATGATAGTCGACTGGCAATTATCTGGGTAAAATCATACAATTAATTTATTTTATATAAAAATTGACCAATTACCAATTTTTATCCAGTATAAAAATTATTCAACAACATTGGCCACCTTGGTCACTTATTTTTTTTTAATTCAAACGTATTGTTGTTGACAACAGTAGATAATTGTAATTTTTAATAGCATTGCCGCTGTTTAGGACTATCTGTAATTTTTTTTTTAATAATTTTTTTATATAATTAACTTACCATGAGSTAACTGCATGGGAACAGTTAGGTTTCAATAGTATGGAACTTCCCACCCAATACAGGTTCTCTCCGTGTCGGCTATCGATACCSGAGTGGCCGCCACTCAGTCCCGGCATTTTTTCGATACCTTTTGACACCGACTTTTCGCATAGTTTATTGTCTAATAATAAAGTTATATATATAATATATATAAGCGTATAATAATAATAATAATAATAATAATAATAATAATAATAATAATAATAATAATAAAAAAGGAGGCACAGTGGTGTAGTGGTTAGTGTGTAGGGCTATGTAGTGTAATGGAGAGTAAGATCTATAGTTCGAGCCCCGATGTGGTAAAGCAATTTTTCTGAAAAAAAAAAAAAAAAAAAAAAAAAAAATTGTTTAACTGTGCTTCCCGTCCCTGCCCAACCAACGCTGTTTAGGACGGCCAACTTAAGTAGTATGGGGAAAGCGGGGTGCTAAGTGAGGACGAGTTTCTGCCCGACCCGGGTATCGGTACTTCGGTATCGGTGCCCACCTGGGGGTACCCGCAAGGGTGCTCCCACCCGGGGGTGCCTGTAAAAAGGTGCCCCCACCCCGAAGGGACGTCCGCAAGGATGTCCCTTCACCCTTCGAGTAGTTACTCGTCCTCACACGCAATGGCAACTTTTGTTTCAAAAAATAAAAATCCTATTTCAACAAACACATGTTAGTGGTGAGAAATGGGTGGCAATAGACACATGTTAGTGTTGAGCTTTCTCTAGGGACCGGGACCCCGTAAAAAGGCCACAAAATATATAAATATGATTACACGTAGTCGTAGGAATAACGGGGGGTGTTCGGGAGGTACCCTCTCAAATAAATCCCGCGTTCAGCAGGTAGGCATTGACTGCAGTTCGTTAAGTATGCATCATATCCCACGCAGTGATGTGCTATGCGGGCAAAGCTGTGATGTAATGCGACCGCAGACTAGTCAACAAAATCAGACTAACCTCCAAAATGTTTCAGTTCAAGCTGGTTCTCAGCAACAACTGACCAATTTGGTTGACAAATCGCAAAAGCGCATGAGATGGACACATGAGATGAATACCTTGATAATGCGCGAATACTACAGATCAACTCGACTCGAAACAAATATGACTGATTACAGAAACCAAATATACTTAGCATTCAAACAAAAATATCCAGAACTAAATGTAACGGAACAAAGAATTGCAGACCAAAGGCGATTCTTAACAAAGAATAATAAAATATCCCCGATTGAATTACAAGAAATCAAACAACAAGTGGCACATGAACTATCATTAAATGAAACAACTGAATTAAATACCACAGTAGAAGTAGTGCCAGAAATAGAAGAGACACCTACAACAACAGATAACATAAACAATACAAATGATGAAATAAACAGAATAACAGCAGAAAATGAACTAAAAACATCTTTAGAACAATATAAAGACTTTGAAATAGAATTCAGACCTAAATTACCAAAAATAAGAAGTGGCATTAAAACAAGATCTACTATAATAACGATAAATGATATACTTAAAGATTACATCGAAGAAAATATGTCGTTGAGCGCAATTAATACAATAACGTATTGTGCAGCAGTAGCAGTATCAAGACTCTTAGGCTACAAAATAGAACACATGTCTACAACAAAACCAAATCAAGAAAATGTAATACCTAAATGGCAAAAGCGAATAGAGACACGGATAGAAGGGAAAAGAAAAATAATTGGAAGAATAACGCAAGTGTTAAATGGAAACAAATCAAAAAGACTTAACCAATCATTAAAAGATATATACCGATCATTACAGACAAAACCTGGAAAACCTGAATTTGAATCCATAATCCGAAATTACAACGACACATTAAAACAAACAGTTCAAGCACTATCACAAAGAATTAGAAGATATAAAATACAAAGCGAAAGACGAAAACAAAATACAATGTTCTATAATAACGAAAAAATGTTCTATAGAAATCAAAATAAAATAAATTCAAGCAATAATAACAATACACCACAAATAGATGAAATAGAAAACTACTGGAAAGAAATCTGGAGTAACCCAAAGGAATATAAAGAATCTAATTGGATAAATGATATTGAAGATGAAAATAAAGAAATACCACATATGACTTCAGTAAATATAATTAAAGATGACTTAACCGAAGCCCTCAAGAAATCCCACAATTGGAAAAGCCCAGGACAAGACAAAATACACAACTTCTGGTATAAACACTTTACAACAGTTCATCAACCAATGGCAATAGCAATGAATAAAATAATACAAACAGGACAAACCGATGACTTCCTCACTTCCGGAATAACATATCTACTCCCAAAAACAGAAAATACATCAGATCCCAGCAAATATAGACCAATCACTTGCCTAACAACGATGTATAAAATTCTAACATCCATAATATCAACAAAAATATATAATCATTTAAGTAACAACAACATAATAGCTGAAGAACAAAAAGGCTGTATAAAACACTCAATGGGCTGTAAAGAGCAATTAACAATAGACAATATCATAACAATAAGAGCTCGTCAAAAACATAGAAATCTTGAAATGGCATACATAGACTATAAGAAAGCATTCGATTCAGTCCCTCATAAATGGTTATTAAGAGTGTTAAAACTATATAAAATTGACAACACATTGATAAACACATTAGAAAGTATGATGAAAAAATGGAATACTAAATTGTGTGTCAATACAAATAATGGAACAAAAATAAGTACAGAAATCAAAATAAATAGAGGAATATTTCAAGGAGATTCACTCAGTCCTCTGTGGTTCTGCTTAGCCATAAACCCACTGTCATCACTACTTAAAAAGCTAAAAGGCATAAATCTAAAATCAAGTGATACAAAATATAATCTAACACATCTACTATATATGGACGACTTAAAACTATACGCCGAAAAAGAATCTGATTTAAATGCAATGCTAAAAACAACAGAAACTTTCTCCAATGATATAAATATGGAATTCGGATTAGATAAATGTGCTATAATGAAACTGAAAAGAGGAGTCTATTCTGAAAGAAATCAATACGAAACTGATAACGGATATATAAAGGCACTAGAAAATGGAGATATATATAAGTATTTAGGAATTAAGCAAATGCATAAATCTAAAATAACAGAAGTTAAAGAAGAAATAAAGAAAACATTAAACCAAAGAATAATAAAAATACTAAAATCTCAACTAAACTCAAACAACAAATTCAAAGCCATAAACACTTGGGCTATACCTGTACTGACATACTCGTTCGGAATAATAAAATGGAGTAAAACAGAACTTGAGACCATTGAAAGACATATAAGGCGACAACTTACAATGTTTGGACTACACCACCCTAGAAGTTCTGTAGCACGACTGTGTGTTAGTAGAAAGCATGGGGGTAGAGGGTTACTAAACATTGTAAGCCTTGAAGCCAAACAGCGAGAATTGCTGAGAAAATACCATCAACAAAAATGCAATGTCTCAGAGCTCCACAAAATAACAGCAACACTTGATAACAACTACACACCTCTAAATCTCAGCAATAATGAACATCAAATAGAAATACAAAATGAAAAAGAGAGGATTAACACGTGGGCCTCAAAAGAACTCCACGGTAGATACAGAGCAGAACTCAACCAAACACACGTAGACGAAGAAATGTCTACAAAATGGTTGAAGTACGCCGGTCTTCATGGAGAGACAGAGGGGTTCATGATGGCAATACAAGATCGAGTGATTCCGACACGAAACCATCAGAAATACATCCAAAAGCTAAATATACCAACAGACAAGTGCAGGATGTGTCATATGGAGTCCGAAACAATAGAACATATACTAAATGGGTGTAAAGTACTCACAAACACCGAGTACCTAAGCCGTCACAACCAAGTAGCCAAAATCATACATCAGGAATTGGCAATAAGATTCGGACTAACCAAAGAACCATTACCATACTATAGATACGAGCCACAAAGTGTAATGGAAAGCAACAGAGCCAAGCTCTACTGGGATAAAGAAATAAGAACAGATAAGACTGTGGCCCACAACCGCCCAGATATAGTACTAGTAGACAAACATCAAGATAAGGCGTACATAATAGACATAGCGGTCCCACTAACACACAAACTACAGGACACGCATAGTGAGAAACGCCGAAAATATACAGACTTGGCCTATGAGATCAATAAAATGTGGCGCATTAAGAAAGTTGAAATCATACCTATAATCCTGTCATCAATGGCCGTAATACCGAAAAATCTGGCCCTAAGTTTGGAATCACTGGAAATCAGAAAAACTAAGATCTATGAAATGCAAAAAGCAGTGATACTTCAGAGTTGTAGAACAGTCAGAAAAGTACTAGACTTGAGTTGAGTCTAACCAGTCGTGTCTCTGCCCCCAAAAGTGGCCGACACAACTGTGATCACACCGGAACAACCGTGATATACAAAGATAATAATAATAATAATAATAATAATAATAATAATAATAATAATAATAATAATAATAATAATAATAATAATAATAATAATAATAATAATAATAATAATAATAATAATAATAATAATAATAATGTTGATTAATAATTATGTCATTTTTTTATAATACAAAAAAATATATAAAATATATACCAGTGATTAACTTTTAATATTTAGAAATTTTATAATTAGTATTATTATTATTATTTATGAAAATAACCATGATCACATGTAAATTATATATATATATATATATATATATATATATATATATATATATGAACTAGTATGTATAAATTTTATGCTATAAAATATTATTAGATATTATTTATATATATACAGTATATATAGTTTTATAATATTTTTGTTGAACTAATTTCAAAATTATTATGTTATCTAATGAATAATAATTATTAATTATTTTTAATAAATATTATAATTTAAAAACATTAAATAATGGTTATAATGGGTTATAACACTTAATAGTTAATCACTGGTATATACTATATATATATATATATATAAATCTATAATTAATTATTAATTTTGATAATTATTGATATTATTATTAGTAGTATTAGTATTACTTAACCATTACATCGGTATCTAATTTAAGTGTCGGTGTGTTTTGATGTAACAATCGATAGTAGTTATGCTGTCGTAGGCATTCCTCTTGAAAATCATCGGCAGTACAATCGGGTACCGGTTCCCGTTCACCAGTGGTCACTAAAAAACAAAATATCAATAATAATAATTATTATTATATATATATATAAATAATATGTTTGTTTTTTTTAATTATATCATAAATATAGTAAATACAAACATAAAATATTCAAATTGATTAGTAATAAAATTAATATCAATTCAATGATCATAATGTATATTTAAATATGTTTATAACAATTATGATTTTTTAAAAAATATATATGTATATGTATTACAGATATTTATTTGAAACTGTGATATTATATTTTACAAATATTTCTATTTTTAAAAAAAAAATCTCTATTATTATATACAAATAAAATTTTTCAAATGAAATGTTTTTATGTAATATTATGAGAATAATATAATTATGAGTAAAAATTTTTTTGTATAGTTATTATAATAAATATTAAACATACAGTGTTTATAATATAAACATTAAATTTCAATTTTTTTTTTAATTTTTTTGATAGATTACTGTTTTTACATTTATATGTCAGATACAATAWATGGAAAAATAAATAATAAATTTACATTAAAATTTTTTTTAATAGTTTTAAACTAAAATAATTATTTTGTTAAATATTTTTATAATTATTATAACTATTATATTATTATAATACGAGAAACAATTATTATTAGTATTATTATTATTATTATTATTATTATTATTATTATTATTATTATTATTATTATTATTATTATTATTATTATTAAATATTATTATTATTATTAAATATTATTATTATTATTAAATATTATTATTATTATTAAATATTATTATTATTATTAAATATTATTATTATTATTAAATATTATTATTATTATTAAATATTATTATTATTATTAAATATTATTATTATTATTATTATTTTTAAAAATCATACTTTTAACTACAGTACAGTTAAGTTGAATAAACAAACAAACAAAAATAACTAATAAGTTTATTTGTGCATGATGAAAAGTGTATTTTATAACATTAAAACAAATAAGCTAGGACMTAGTCATCAAAAAAAAAAAATTAAACTTTAAATTATTTTACAAACAAAAAATTTGTACAAATAAACTATTACATATTAAACAAGTTTATATAACTAAATTTTTTCAAAAAAATATTATTAAATATTTGTTAAATTTGTTATTGTTATACAAGTATATGTATTATAAAGTTAATTACTTATTATTTAATGACTAACCTAGGTTAAATAGTTTTATTTTAAAAAAATCTATTATACAATCATGAGTTTTATTGTTATTTATCAAAAAAAAAATCAAAAAATTACTCAAAAAATTTCAACTGTAATTTATTTAATAAAAAAATTACTATACATTTAAAATACATAATATATTAAACTGTATATAAAATAATATACACACAAAAAACTAAACAATTTATGTACTGATGATATTATAATTGTGTTTTAATATATTTTTTGTGGTAATCTTTTTTTAAACAAACAAACAAATTAATTAAATTAGTTTTTTTATTAGTCTGATTAATAATAATAATAATAATAATAATAATAATAATACAATTGACTAAAAAAATTTAATATAAATTTTCGATAAAGATACAGGTAAGTTTTTTTTAATTAATAATTTATTTTCTATAAATTATTTAATAGTTAATTATTATAACAAATAGTTAGTTAATTATTATAACAAATARTTAGTTAATTATTATAACAATAAATAGTTAATTATTATCACAACAAATAGTTAGTTAATTATTATAACAAATAATTATTATTTAAAAAAAACTATTGCTATTTAATAAGTGCATGTATTATATAATAAATCAATTATAATAATTAATGATTATATAATTTTAATAATATATTTATATATMTATATCTATATATTGATATATAAGTTAACTAACGGTCGACAACAACAGCAACAAATGAAGGATAGAAAGTCATCATCGGTTAAAAAGTGTAGACAAAGTGTGATTATTGGACTTCCAGATTGGTATCGAAGAATACAAAGACAACAACGACAACAACGATTATCACCAACAACACCACCAGTAAATGATTGGATAAAATCAACGATCAATTATAATAATAATAGCATGAATGACATCCACGACACCAACGACAACAGCAGTGGTGATGATACCAATGATGACAATAATAAAACTACCATTGATTACGATATGAAACAATTGAAACTGATTGGCGATCAACAAGTTTTGGTCAGCAATGATGAGAGCACCAGTAGTACTATCGGTACTACAGGTACTACAGGTACTACAGGTACTACCGATACTACCATTGATTACGCTATGAAACAATTGAAACTGATTGGCGATCAACAAGTGGTTAGCAATGATGAGAGCACCAGTAGTAYTACCGGCACTACTACTAGTAGTAGTAGTGGTGGTGGTATGTGTCGGTAGTGATGGTAGTGATGGTAGTGATGGTAGTGATGGTAGTGATGGTAGTGATGGTAGTGATGGTAGTGATGGGTAGTGATKGTGTAGTGGTGGTAGTGRTGGTAGTGATGGTATGTATCGGTGCGAAATAGACAGACCTATTGTTACCAATTGAACTCTAAATATATTTTATTAAAAAATGTATTGAAATATGTAATAATAATACTGTATATATATATACTGTATATTAAATATAAAATCATTAATATATATAKATATATATTTTTTGTTTATTTAAAAAAATTATTTTGTATTAATTAATTAATTAACTAAATCAGTGTATAACAAAAATGATTATATAATTTATGTACAAATAAACAAACAAAACAAAAAATACTACTTTTTTTTATTTAATATATATTTTTTTCAATTTATCACAAAAAATTTGAATCAAATAATTTTCAAATGGAAGAATGTTTTTGTTTTTAATTTAATTTTTTTTAATAAAAATTATATATTAATAGAGAAATGAAAAATTACATTACTATTAAAACTATATAATAACTATATTACTATTGTAAATAAATTAATTACTATTACTTGAAAAAAAATTAACATGATCAAAAACCGTTTATTTATTTATAATTTAATAAATAGTTTATTTATAATTTAATAAATAATTAATTTAATTTTTAGAACTTATTTATTAATTTAATTTTAAAAACAAAAAAATATATATATATATATTGTTATTAGTTTAGAAAATTACGGTATATTGTTTTTAAAATATTTAATATATAAATGATAAATATAATAACCTAAATTTTTGTCGTGATAAATATCAATAAATTTTTTTTATTATCATTCACCCATAAGTTATATATCAAAAATATTACTAAAATAAAACATTTTTTTATATAATAATAATTTATTTATTTCATATTTATGTCTATAAATAATAATAAKTTCACAAAAAAAAATTCCATTACATTAATTCAAGAGATATATTGTTGTTTTTTTTGTTGTTATTGGTATACATAATATCAATATGTAATCATAATTGCATTGTATTTAATTGCATATTTCTATTGTATATATATATATATAAACTTTAATTTTAATTATATTTAAATAATATTATAATAAACTAATATTAAATTTTATTTTACAATTGACAACATTTATGTACTTTACTATTGAAATGTTATAGTCTATTATAGATGATACTATAAATGAGGATTATATCTAAAAAATATTGTCTAAATAATATAAAGTGTAAACTAAATATCAATATGTTTATCAATATATATATATATACTATTATATTATAATATATTTATTAATCTTATTGTTTTACAGTTAGTTAGATATAGAAAAAGGTATACAAATATAACAAAAAAAAATTTAAATTATTTTTTTTGCTTGTTATTGTGTAAATGGCTTTACAATATAAAGTTATTAATAATAGTATATATTATTATAATTTGTAAAAAACAAACTCACATATGTTTAATACTAATTATTGTATGTATTTATGTATTTAATTATTTATTTTTAAATATATATATATATATATATATTAAATTTATGATTTAAAATGTTAAAGTTTAATTATTTTAAATAAAGATATATTATTATTATTAGAATTAACTCATTACTAAATATGGCATATTTTTATTTATTTAAAAAATAATATTTTAACATTAAAATAACAAAAAATATTTATAAAAAAAATTATAAAATAATTGTCATTGTAAAATGTTTATTATTCACATTAATTGATATAATATATATATRTATATCTACAAATAACATTTTAGGTCATTATTGTATTTTAATTAATTAATAATTAAATCATTATTTATTATAATAGTTTACAATATGTATATAAATTTTAATTTTATAAATAAGAAATTTCATGTAAAATTATTTACCTAAATATATACTTTTTATTTTATGATAAGTAAGTTTACATTACAATACAATAAAAATTAAATTAAATTATAGTTAATATATAAATAAATAAATGTTTTTTTTTTTAATTAAATACTAATTTTGACATTTCAATATAACAAATTAACCTAATAGTAAATATCAATATTTACCTAGAGATGGGCAAATAGAAAGTTTCTAACAAATTTCCCTGAGAAAGTTTCTAGAAACTTTCTCAGGAATAAATTTCTATAGAAATTTAACTTTATTATTATACAATGGGATCCCCATATCTATAGATATTGTTAATCAATGAGACATAATAATATACATATATTAAACTATATAGTACATAATTATACAAAATAGGATAACAATATATAAAATAAATATAATTATTTAATAATAATCAGTTTTGTAAAATTTATTCATCATTTTATTATATCATAGTTTAATATAATTAAATAAATAAATTTTTTACTTTAATTAATATATATATATATATATATATATATATATATATATATATATATATATATATATATAACACTATATTTACCATGAATTTAGTACTGTTATATATATATATATATATATATATATATATATATATATTCATTATTTATATATATATATAAAATAACTATAATTAATATGTTATTCAATTGAAAAACAAACAAACAAAAATGCATTTGTAATTATAATTAATCTTCTTATTAATTAATTAATTAATAATATTTTTTATTAGAAATATGATTTTCACAATAATTTAATAATGATAAATATATTTTATTAACAATAATTTTCAATAGTATAAAAGGATCGGAAATTTTTATTATTATTAAAAGATACAAACAAAAGTTTTTTTATAAACTTCCTTATAATTTGCTAATAATTTTAACAATTTAATAAAAAAAATTGACTATTATTTTCATTTTTGTAAAAAAACATAATAATTAGTATAATGTTTGCTAAACTAACTATCATTGCTTGTGTTTATGTTATATATATATGCTATCAAAATGTTTGTAAGTATAGTATAGTTAATAATTTTTATTAGTATATGTTTTTTTTGAATGTATTAAATAAAATTTAAATTTTATTTATTTATTTATTTTAATTAATAGTTATAACTGCCAGCGATAACGGACAGCCGCTAAACGATACAACTGATGAAACCTATCAAAATGATTGCCTGTATTGGCATAACTATTACCGATCGCTGCATCAAAATACTGCACCTCCTGTCAGAAACAACTGGGTATTGAATAAAATTTTTTTTTTGGGCAATAATTATAATCAAAAATTATAATTTTTAATTTTTTTTCATTGTTGAATAGTTGGTAAACATAGCCAAAGGTCGGTGTCAGGATGTGTCGAAAAAACCGGGCCTATCGGCCGGCCATAGCGGCCTTACCGGTAATATTGGCGAAAATTTGTTTTGGGTGGGCGCCCCGGGTAATGTCAATTTTGTGGCACCCTGCAAAAATGCATTGATTGCTTGGTAAGTTTATTATTTTTTTATTATTATTTTAATCAATATATATATAATTTTTTATTTATAAATTCTAATTTAATATATAAAATTTAATTCTATAAAAATTTAATTTATAAAATTTAATTTACAAAATTTAATTTATAAAATTTTAATTTACAAAATTTAATTTATAAAATTTTAATTTACAAAATTTAATTTATAAAATTTTAATTTATCTAATTTAATATATAAAATTTTAATTTATTAATTATATATTATAAATTTAATAATTAATTAAATTTATTTAATTTTAAATATTTATGTATATATATATATATAACTACCTGTGCTCTACAACAACAACAACAATGACAATTAAATTAAAAATTTATTTATTTATTTAAATTAAATTTTTTTGTAAACTAATAATAATTTAAAAGGCATGAAGAGATCAGATTTTATAATTACTCGAAACCGGGTTTCTATACACCGGCCGCACATTTTACGCAACTTGTGTGGAACAGTAGCTCACAAGTAGGCTGTGCCCGATGCAGTGGTAATGGAGGGAAATACTATGAAACCTATATTGTATGCAATTATCTACTCCAGGGTAACATCATTGGCGTAAACTTTGCTACCGAAGTTTTCCCATTGAAACCTACTAGTGGTTAATTGAAAATAATAATTTTTTAATTATTTTTATTATAATTATATATATTATTTAATTATTAATTAATTTTTTACTTTAAAAACAATTTTATTAATTATCTAGCATTGAAAATTAAATGTAATAATTTTAAACATTTTTGTTAAAATATATGATTTTTTTTGATAATAAAAATAATTTTTAAAAATTGATTTTTTTATAAATATTTTTTAATTATTATTATTATGGTTTTTAAATAATAGATATTAATTTTTCTTGCAATTAATTTTTATCTACTAATAACAATATAATAATAAAAATGTATAATATTTTTTTTATGTCAAATTGTTTTAATATTTTTGTTAAATACTTATTTGTATTTATAATAAAATATTTTTTTTGAATTATTATTATTATTTTTAAATAAAAAATATTAATTTTTCATACAAATAATAGTATTATTTTTTTCCAATAATAACAATATAATAATTAAAATGTATAATAATTTTTTGATATCAAATTGTTTTAACATTTTTGTTAAATACTTATTTGTATTTATAATAAATAATTTGTTGAATAAAATAATAGATTTACAGATAATATTTTATTAAAAATATTTTTGTTAAATATTTATAATAATATGTTACAAAAAAATGAAAATACAATACATGTGATATAAACTAAGTTTTAAATTTTTTTATCAACAAATATTCAATAATATTTGAAGAGATCTTATATATTAAGTGTTTAATACTAAATATTTTTGATAAATTCATAAAAAGATTACTAATTTTGTACATTAATGTCCTTAAAATCAAATAAAGTGTATATTTCTAGAGTATATTTAGCTATATTTATCTGATAAAAACATATTTTGATAAACAATAATTTATTTTATTTAATACTTATATTTACCATAAATTAATAACTTGTGCTAACATTTATACAGTATATATATATATATATATATATATATATATATAATATAAAACTAAATTAAACACTTAGTTAAACAAAACTTTGTTAAAATTAATTTTTTWAATTAATATTGTATATTAYATKCAATATATTAGTTATTATTTATTTATTTTAGATTTAATAGTTTACAACMAAAATAATTGAATATTTTTTTAAAAAAATTATTAACTATGAATTTTAACGGAAAGGTAGCAATAATAACAGGTATATTATATATTATTATATTATTTTTTTATATTCAAATAATAATAATTATATACAATWTATATATATATATATATACGATATGTACCGACACATGTAGGCTCATCCTCGGGTATCGGCGAAGCCATTGCACTATTATTATCAACAATGGATGCTAACGTTGTGATTACTGGCAGAAATCAGAAACGTATCGACTCAGTGATCAAACAGTGTCAGTCGTCACTTACTACTAGTGGACGAGCACTGGGAGTTAGGGCTGACCTATTGGTCGACTCGGATATCGAAATATTGGTYAATAAAACAATCGGCGAATTTGGTAGAATTGATATACTGGTCAACAATGCCGGTATTGGATCGACTGTCGAGTTTACCGATGAAAACTATATGCTAGCCTACGATCAGGTAATGGCTACCAATGTCAGGTGTGTACAGGTGCTGACTCGGCTAGCCCTACCCTATCTGGTTGAAAGTAAGGGTAATATTGTCAATATATCGAGTATTGCTGGACTGGCACCGGTATGTAATTTACAGGTTTTTTTTTTAATTAAAAAAATATAATTTAATCCATAAATTTCTAATATCTAAGAACCCATCGACAGTGGCCTACTGTATGGCCAAATCAGCGCTGGATATGTTTACCAAATGTCTGGCCCTAGAGTTAGGACCCAAAGGAGTACGTGTTAATAGTGTTAAGTATGTTGTGGTTAAGAAAAATACAGTAAAAACACATTGCAATCAATTAGTATTATAATAATTATATAATAATAATAATAATAATAAGTTATAAATAGCAGATAAATTTAATTATAATTAAATTTAATTAATAATAACTTATTATTTCCAATAATACCCAATAATTATTATACATATATTATTTGTTAACAAACGGTGTCTAAAAAAACATTGCAATCAATTTTATTATAACTATAATAATAATAATAGTAAGTTATAAATAGCAGAAAACTTTAATTATAATTAAATTTAATTAATAATAACTTATTATTTACAATAATACCCAATAATCATTATACATATCATATATTATGTCTGAAAAAACAATTGCAATCAATAGTATTATAACTAATAATAAAAATAATAATAAGTTATTAATAGCAGAAAACTTTTCTCATCCAAAAAACATTTTTTATAAATAAATAATAACTTATTTTTCCAATAATTAATATACATATATTATATGTTAACATACGGTGTCTAAAAAAAACATTGCAATCAATAGTATTATAACGATAATAATAATAATAGTAAGTTATAAATAGCGTAAAAACTTTAATTAATTAGATTTAATTAAAAATAACTTATTTTTCCGATAATACCAATAATTATTACAATTTACATATATTATCATATATTATGTGTTAACATTGCAATTATTTTTTTTTACATTAACTATTATAATAACTATAATAATAACTATTATTATTAATTAATTAATTAATTATAATTAGTCCGGCAGCCATACGTACGCCCATATTCAATGCGGTTACCGGGGATAACCGTATGCTTGATTATGTTGAAAAATTTTGCCAACAAACCTATCCATTGGGACGTATAGGTGAGGCCCGGGATGTAGCCGAAGCTGTAGCATATCTGGCCTCCGACAGGGCATCATTTGTGACCGGACTTATCTGTCCAATAGACGGCGGCTGTCTACGTACCGGTGCCACTATATTAGATCCCGATGCTATTAAATTTGATTGATATTATTTATATATATTGATATATATATATTGTAGTTTTATGTGTCCTATTATACAGTATTATGTTATTTTTATGTTTGTTTCAATATTTTAATTAATTGCTTAAATTTAAAAAAATTGTTAACAAATAAATATTATATATATATATATATCATATTATTAGATAATTATTTATTATTACTTATTATTTATTGTTTGTTATTTTTTTAATTTTTTTTTGGTTTTTATAATAGATTTGTTTATAATTATTACTGTATTACTGTATTGTATGTATAAAAAATATTTTTAGGGCACAAAAATTATTAATGTATTGTACTTTTTATTTGATTGATGCTAATAAATAAATAACAGTTATAATAAAATTAATTAATTTATATATATATAGATATAAACAACATTATACMTAAAATTATTCATTATTAAATAAATAACAACTACCGTATAATAATTAATAATWATCCACAAAAAAAATTAATCTWAATAAATAATAGTTATTTATTTTTGTAATAAATATTTCGTAAATTAATTATATAATTTTTTTATAATTAATTATCATATTTGTAAATAATAAAAAAATTTTTGGGTATAAAAAAAGCACACATTTATTATAAAAACATATTTTTATTATTATATAACATTTTTTATTGCACTCAAAAAAATAGTTATTTTTATTTTGTTAAATATATATATAAAAATGTTTGTAAAAATAATTGTTGCATCAATTGCCTGTATATTTTATATAACAACAAGTAAGTATCACTGACTTGATATTTGATAATAATTGTTAATTTTTTTGGTTTCTACTTTTTTTTTAATAAATAATTTAGTGACTATGGCCAGCAATAACGGTAAACCGTTACCCGATTTAACTGACCAGACATTTCAAACCGATTGTATCAATAATCACGCCATTTATAGATCCAAACATATGAATACACCTAATCTGACTGTTGAACAATCGGTAACCAAATTTTTTTTGTTATTGATTTAATTATTAAAATTAAATTAAACTTTTTTTAAAAAAAAAACAAACTATTTTTGTTTTGTTCACAATTTACACTCACACCCATCCATCCACACACACACACACACACACACACTACACACATAAACACACACTCACATATATACATACATACACACATACATACATACATACACACACAACATACACATACATACATACATACATACAKACATACATACATACATACATACATACATACATACATACATACATACATACATACATACATACATACATACATACATACATACATACATACATACATACATACATACATACATACATACTGTACACACAAATATACATCCATCTACACACACACACTTAGCTGATAACTTATGCCCAAAATCGATGCCAAGATATCTCATCCAAACCTCAACTAACCGGTGAAGACAGCGGTAACTACCTATCACTCGGTCAGAACACATACTGGGTAGGACTACCTGGTAATGTCAAACAAATAGCACCATGCTCAAATGCAGTTCCAGCTTGGTTAGTTTATTAATATTTACAATTTATCCCATTGTTTTTTTTAACTTATTTTATTATCTTTCTATATATGTATATTATCAAGGTACAATGAAATTAGTAAATATAATTACTCGAAACCGGGCTATAGTTCAGCAACCGGTCACTTCACTCAGTTAGTCTGGAAGGACAGCCTACAGGTTGGCTGTGCCCGATGTGGCGGTAATGGCGGCACATATTACGAGACATACATTGTCTGCGTTTACAAACCTCAGGGAAACATCATTGGCGTCAACTTTGCCACAGAAGTTATGCCATTGAAAACTAGTGGTTAATAAAAACTATTAACAAATTAATGATTTTTTTTATTAAATATACAAATATATTTGTTCTACAATTACAGTATAAATGCTAATTATTTTAATTAACTTTATATATGATATCATAATTTATTTATACAATAATTTTTTTTTAAAAAGTCAATAAATCTATTGATAGTTCAATTTAATGATTTTTTTGATAATATAATTTGAAAATTTATGTAAATAAAAATATATTTTATTATTAGTAGATATTTGTATTTTTTTAATTATTAATAAAAATAAACAAAACTGATTATATATTTAAATAGTTAAATATTAGTTAATTTGATTATAAAATAGATTTTAAAATTTAATCATTATTATGTTTTGATAACTAATTTTTATATTAATTGTTATATAATAACAAATTAATGATTTTTTTAATATACAAATATATTTTTTTACAAATTATATTTAAAATACTAATTATTTTAGTTAACTTTTTTTATACGATATCATAATTTATATACAATAAAAAAATTTTAAATCAATAAATCTATTGATAGTTTAATTGAATGATTTTTTTTGTTGACAATAAAAATACTACCATTTTATTTTATATATATTAAAATTTATGTAATTAAAAATATAGTTTATTATTAGTGGATATTTGTATTATTTTTTTAATTATTAATAAACAAATAAACAAATTTATTATATATTTATATACTAGTTAAATATTAGTTAATTTGGTTATATAAAATAGATTTTAAAAAATTAATTATTATTATGTTTTGATATCTATTTTTAATAAATATACATTATTTATATAAATACAGTATTAGTATTGTATATAAGTATTATTATTATTATTAAAAATAAAAATTTATGACTAGTATTAGATATTTATATTTGTTTATCAATAACTGCTAAAAACAAATTATTTAAAAAATAAGTAAATAATATATTTTAAGTATTTATATGTTTGAAAAAAATAATTACTGTATTTTAACTGTATATTTGATTAATGCTTTAACAGTTATAATTATTAAAAAAATTAATTGATTTTTATTATTATTATAAATATACAGATGAAAGACAACATTATAATACAAAATTATTAATTATTAAAATAAATATCTATAGTAAACTAATTAATCAATTAGTTGTTTAAAAAATATTATTTTCAAAAAAAATAAATATAATTAATAATAAATAATAATAAATAATATGAAGTATATTTAGTTGACAAAAATTATTTCGCAATTAATTGTATAATTAATTTTATATGTTTGTCAATAAAATATATAAAAAAAATTAGGGTATAAAATGAACAATATTTTTTTCAAGCATATACTTATTACAAATATATTTTTTTAGTAATAATAATATTATTATCATTTTATTTTTTAAAAAAAGTTATTTTTTTTGTTATAAATATAAAATGTTAACCAAAATAATTGTTGCATCAATTGCCTGTATATTTTATATAACAACAAGTAAGTATCACTGATTTGATATTTGATAATAATTGTTAAATTTTTTGGTTTTATTTTTTATTTTAAATAATTTAGTGACTATGGCCAGCAATAACGGCAAACCGTTACCCGATTTAACTGACCAGACATTTCAAAACGATTGTATCAATAATCACGCCATTTATAGATCCAAACATATGAATACACCTAATCTGACTGTTGAACAATCGGTAACCAAAATTGTTTTGTTATTGTTTTAATTATTAAAATTAAATTAAACTATTTTTTTGACAATTTACACTCACACTCATCCATCCACACACTACACACACACACACATACACACATCTATCTATCCACACATACACACACACATACATACATACATACATACATATACATACACATACACATATCCATCCATACACACACATACACCTATCCATCCATCCATCCATCCACACACACACACACACACACACACACACACACACACACACACACACACACACACACACACACATTTAGCTCATACACACACACACTTAGCTGATAACSTATGCCCAAAATCGATGCCAAGATATCTCATCCAAACCGCAACTAACCGGTGAAGACAGCGGTAACTACCTATCACTCGGTCAGAACACATTTTGGGTGGGTGCCCCCGGTAATGTCAAATATACAGCACCGTGCGTAAATGCAGTTGGCCCCTGGTTAGTTTATATTAATATTTACAATTTATCTCACAATAGATTAAAAAAACCCATTGTTTTTAATTAAATTTTTTCTATAAATTATCAAGGTACAATGAAATTAGTAAATATAATTACTCGAAACCGGGCTATAGTACAGCTACCGGTCACTTCACTCAGTTAGTCTGGAAGGACAGCCTACAGGTTGGCTGTGCCCGATGTGGAGGTAATGGCGGCACATATTACGAGACATACATTGTCTGCGTTTACAAACCTCAGGGAAACATCATTGGAGTGAACTTTGCCACAGAAGTTATGCCATTGAAAACTAGTGGTTAATTAGAGATAAATTTTTTTTTAATAAAAAAATTTAATTATAATTATATATCTTATTTAATATTAATTACTTTACTTTTAAACAATTTAATTATCTAGCATTTAAATTAAATGTAATCATTTTAAACCTTTTTTTAAAATAAATTATATGATTTTTTTGATAATAAAATTACTATCAATTTATATATATATTAAAATTTGTATTAAAAAATATAGTTTATTATTATCATTATTATTATTAATTATATTAAAATTTATATTATTATTTTGTTTTAATAAAAATTTTCTAAAAATTTATTTTATATTATTTGCTTATAATAAATTTTTAAGTAAATTTAGTCCAAATTTGCATTAAAATTATATTAATTTTTTAAAAAAATTATTTGTGTTATTGTAAAGAATAATTAAATTTATAATAAATTAATTATAATAAAATAAATTGAGTTTTATAACTATACAATTAAATAACATTATTATTTATCTTTTTATTATTTATTTGTTTATTATGACTTTAATAAATATATAATTAAGATAGTTTATAAAATAATTATTTAAAAAATTTATATTGATTACTTTTAATTTTATAAAATAGTTATAATATTTCTAGAAAAATCAAACAGTTATTTTTTTATTAAAAAATTAGGTTAGTAATAATTATCATATTTTTTCATATATGATAAATAAATTAAATATTCAATTTTTTTGTAATATTCAAGAAAATATTTTGTTTAAAAAACAACATTTTCATTACAAATATTTTGCATTGTAATAAATACTATAATAAATAAAACATTTTTAATTGCTAATAATTTTTTTTAGAAATATTTGCCAGATCATTTTTGTTACATTGAATGACAAAAAAAAATAAATTGTTTTTATATAGAAAATTATTTCAAAATCAAATATATTTTTATTTGTCATTTAAGTCCCAACACATCATCAGATCAATTATATATTTAAAAAAGATATATATATTTTTAAATATTTATTTTAATTTTAATATTTTATATATATATAAAAAAATGGATTACGATATGAATGGAAAGGTAGCTCTGGTCACAGGTAATCATATTTTTTTTTAAAAATAATTATTAATTAATTAAGATTTACTTATATATATATATACTAATCACTAGTTTTTTCATATATATATAAAAGTCATATTAATTATATATTAGATTTTAATTAATTAATTAATTATTTTTTTTAAAATAAATTTTAGGCTCAAACTCGGGTATCGGTGAAGCAATAGCCGTAAATTTTGCCAAATTAGGAGCCAATGTAGTCATTACCGGTAGAGATGCCAAACGTATCGACACCGTAGCCAATAAGTGTCGGTCGTTGTTGTTGTCCACCAATCAAAAAGTCCTGACCGTCAGGTCGGACCTGTTGGTGGAAACGGATGTCCGTGAACTGGTAGACAAAACAGTCGGCGAATTCGGTAAAATTGATATACTGGTCAACTGTGCACAGATTAGTGCCGATTATGGACTAATGGATACGGAATATCTGGACTCGTATGATCTGGTTATGAAAACCAATGTACGCAGCGTACAGGTGCTCACACAACTGGTCTATCCATATCTAGTGGAAACTAAAGGCAATATAGTTAACGTATCCAGTGTTTCGTCATTTATTCCGGTATTTTATTATATTTATATATAAATAATATTAATAAAGGGGGTGGGGTAGGGGGTAGGGGTAAGACCTCTTACCCCCCCCCCCCCTCTGAGATCGAGAAAATTTGGATCTTTTTTGGAAATTTTAGCAAAAAAATTGTCGTTTTAAAAATACAATAAAAATGTTCACTCCCCCCCCTATACCCCTCCCCAAACTTTTTCGAGTTTTTTTTTGCAATTTTACCCCACCCCTATACCCCCCCCCCCCGATAATCGAAAACCTTTAGCAACCCTCAATTAATATATTAAATGACATTATTATTATTTATTATTGATATTATTACTAATTTTATTTATTATGACTTTATTATAATAATATAATTAAAATATTTTTTAAATAATTATTTTTTTTTTAAAAATTATATTGATTAATTTTTAATTTTATAAAATAGCCCCTAATATTTATAAAAAAAAAATCAAACAGTTTTTTGTTAATTTTAATAAAAAAATAGGTTTATAATAATTTTCATATATTTTTTTCCTATAATAAATAAATTAAATATTCAATTATTTTTTTTGTTAATATTAGGCAACTTTAATATTTAAGAAAATATTATTTTTTATAAACATTTGTTTTAATTTTTGTTGTTGTTATTAACAGAAAAAATATATTAATTAATTAATTAATTAATTTTATTTTATTTTATTTTTATTTTCAATTAGTCACCAAAACAGTTGGCTTATTGTCTATCAAAAGCAGCACTGGATATGTTTACCAAATGTCTGGCCCTTGAATTGGGACCCAAAGGTGTTCGCGTTAATAGTGTTAAGTATGTGTTAATATAGTATATACAGTATATTCCCAGAAAACTTTCCCCCAATAAAAAACAAAAAAAATAATAATAATAACAATAATATAATAACTTATTTTTCCAATAGTACCCAATAAATAGTATACATATTCAATATATATATATTATCATATATTTATTAAACATCAATTGTTTTAATTATTTTTTTAAAGCAATTAATGTTAATATATGTAATAATATATATGCATAATAATAACTTATTTTTCCAATAATACCCGGATAATTATTATACATATATTATCATAGATTATAATATCAATTGTTTTATTTATTTTTTTTTTTTTTAAAGCAATTGATAGTAATAATGTCAACAACAAAAATTACTAAAAATTATTTGTATTATTAATTTACCCTAAAAATAGGCACATAAAAAATTATCTGCATTTTTAAAAAATGACACAATTTTTTTGATTTTTTTTTTAGTATATTACATGAAAAAAATCCTAATTTTTACTAATTTTGTTTTTCCCCGTAATCTAACCCACCCACCCCCCAGTCCTCCGGCCGGCCGCAAGCCTAACATTCCCGATGACGTGGCCGGTGTGGTAGCATTCCTGGCCTCCGATAAGGCTTCGTTCATCACTGGAGTTATATTGCCGGTCGACGGCGGCAATCAATTAGGTACCGGAGCTGATGATAATTAGGATAATAATAATAATTATTATTATTGTTGAAAAAAACTAATTGAATTCAAAATTAAATAATTGATATATAAAAAAAATTTTAAATATTAATTAACCATTGAATTGATTGAAATGAATATATTTTTAAGTTAAAATTGTATTCAAAATTATTAATTATTTTTTGTTAAATTCAATAAAAAATTGAACAGTAATTAATTAAAACATTTTTTTTAAAAAACAGTAAATATTTATATGAAAATAATTTATATTTTATTATTTAGTGCAACTAATTAGTCAAAATATATTTAATAATTAAATTTATAATAAATGAGATTTTTGTTTTAAATTAATTTTAAATTAACATAAATAATTTTAAAGTTCATAATATTACTAAATAATAATAATATCATTAAAAATGTGATTCACTATTGAGATTATACACAAAACAGAATTTTTTTTGTTGAATTATTTGTTTTTCAAAAGTCAATCAATGAAATCATATATATATATATATATTTCATCAATAAAATTATGATCTAAYCAGTAATGTGTAATGTATTGGCCTAATAATAATAATAATATAATTAAATTTTATAATACTTATAAAACTCAAATTGTGTGTTTGTTTGTGTGTGTGTGTGTGTGTGTGTAGTATATATATATGTAACGTAAATGTTTTTAAACACAAACAACAAAATAGATATATATATATATAATATATATATGTGTTTCCCTATAAATATTGTATATAATTAAACCGATAAATTAAAAAAAAAATACCATCACATCATCTACCGGTCCGTATATAGATATAGTAGACCGTAATATATATATATATATATAAAGACATATCTATAGTTAGATATATATAATAATAAATATATTAATAGAAAGGTAGACAACAACTACAACAACACCGATAGCTACCGATTGAGACAATAAAAGATAGGTTTTAGTTAGTTGTTATCGTTGTCGTCATCATCTGAATCGATACCATTGATTGATTGATTGATACGATTAGCCGCTCATTACTAGCCGTACAAAGTCTTCGTAGTGGACATTGCCCTGAGAGTCCTCCTGACCGGCCAACAGTTGCTCGACTTCATCGTCGGTTAGTTTTTCGCCTAATGTTGTCAACAGATGCCTGAGTTCAGCTGAACTAATATAACCGGAACCGTCTTTATCGAAATGTCGGAGTCCTTCGATAAAATCTTCGGCCGTATCGGTGCTACGGTTTCTGGATATGGTCTGCAGTATCGGTAGGAATACTTCGAAGCCGATCCGTTCATCTAATGATGAAAAACAAGTGATTGATAAACACAAACACAGACAGAATGATGTTAACGACAAACAAAGAGTTTAGGTTTAAAGGAGTAGTTTTTGATGATATCGAAGAAATGGTAGTCGAAGACAGASAGAGAGAGAGAGAGAGAGAGAGAGAGAGAGAGAGAGAGAGAGAGAGAGACAGAGAGAGAGAGAGAGAGAGAGAGAGACAGAGAGAGACAGAGAGAGAGAGAGAGAGAGAGAGAGAGAGACAGAGAGAGAGAGAGAGAGACAGAGAGAGAGACAGAGAGAGACAGAGAGAGAGAGAGAGAGAGACAGAGAGAGAGAGAGAGAGAGAGAGAGAGAGAGAAGAGAGAGAAGAGAGAGAGAGAGACAGAGAGAGAGAGAGAGAGACAGAGAGACAGAGAGAGAGAGAGAGAGAGAGACAGAGAGAGAGACAGAGAGAGAGAGAGAGACAGAGAGAGAGACAGAGAGAGAATTGAGAGAGAGAGACAGAGAGAGAGACCCAGAGAGAGAATTGCGAGACATTGATCTTTCCGTCGCCGCGATTGTCAAACAGACAGAGAGAGAGAGAAATATCATATATAAAGACAATAGACATTAATCAATGAATTAAGATAATAGACAACAACAATGATAATCATAATAACCATCGATGGCTTAACCATCGACTTACCGATTATCTGATCCTCGTTATAGTTGGCCTAACAATGGGATCAAAACATGTGATATCATAATACATATATACTAATAATAATCAATGAAAATAAATACCATAATTGACTCTTCAGTACTGATGGTATGTATAACTTCTTGTAATTTTATGGACCAATTGATTGATAATTCAAACCTTAATTTTTTTTTTGAGATTAAAATACTATACAAAACAATGACTGTATGACTGACTGTATGTATGAATAGATGTTTTTTTGAATAACCAATCAATGAATGAATGAATGAATGAGTGATTAGACTATTAATAAAACTATTTTTTGATTTGAAAAACAACTGACAACTGATGTCACACTTTGTATTGAATTTTATTATTTTATTAATACAATTGTTTTTTGTAATAATAATAATAATAATAATAATACTGTAAAATACATTTCAAGTATACTAACTGTTTCATTATAAACAAAACCAAAACACTAAATGGTCGCCACCAGGGTTTTAAAAATGGCAGACATAAACAATAGATGCCAATTTTGCCAAATGCCTGCCCTGCCTCTGCCATGCCCTGGGCATCTATTTTCAGGTGGTGACACCTATTATTTAAATTTTATATTATTAATTAATTTATAAAACATTGTTTTTATAATATATTTGCTTGTATTTTTGTTTTGTATACCTTTAATTAAAAAGGTAATATAATTGGAAAATAAGTAAATTAATTGTAAATTTAATTAACATGTTAAAACACTAAATTACATTATTTTTATAAATACAGTTGCTTTTTAGCAATTTAAATTGGCAGGCAAATAAAATAGATGCCCAAAATGCCAGGCATTTATGGCATCTATTTGGGCATTGCCAGGGCAGGCATTTATTTTCTTATAACCCTGGTCGCCACGCTATGATACACTTATTTAACTTTTTTTTGACACTACCCTTAAATTACACGTTATATCATATTTATTGCTATTAAGCAATTTATGTAAGCAATAAATATGATATAACGTGTAATTTAAGGGTAGTGTCAGAAAAATTAAATAAGTGTATCATAGCGTGGCATCCATTTAGTGTTTTGGTTTTGTTTATAATGAAACAGTTATATATTAATATATAAATGCTATTAGGGAGGGGCTGTTCACACAATACGTTTGCAGTTTTTTTCCGCACAAATCTAGACCCCTCCCCCTCCCTCCCCTTATGTTATCAATTGTTCGAACGTGTAGTCATTTTCAATAAAAAAAATTACATTCACATGCCCCCTAACCCCTCCCCATATTAGATAACCCCCCCACCACCACTAAAAATATCTAAATTCGAAACATTCTTAACATTTTTACCCCTCCCCTCCCTCCAGTCGTTCGAAAAAGTTCACTTTGGCCGACCCCCCCCTCACACCGGTCCTCCCCTCAAATGCGAACATAATATGTGTATAACTCCTTACATTAAAAATTTAATATTAATACATGTTATAAAAATAAAGTACAGTATATATATAAAATACGTTCAAATTGTGATGTTTAATGAGTTTAGATGGACGTAATTGATTGTAAAAATTTTTTTTAATAATTTTTAACAATTTTGTACAGTATTTAAAAAATATATATTTATATAAATTTATAATAAATTATAGTCTAATCTTAATATTATTATTATTATTGCAATATTTTTAATTCAATATTTATTTTATTTTTAAAAAATTATTTTATTATAAACAAGATTTTATTAATTTTTTTTATTATTTAGTTTTTAATTATATTTTTTATAACATAAATTTGTATCATTGAATAAATTATTTATTTTATTAATATTTTTTTTTAAAAAAAATTATTGTATTTATATTTATATTATATTTTATTATATTTTATATTTTGTAATTTAAATATAATATATATTTTTTTTTCAAATTCCTGTATCAATCAGTTTCGCTGATTTTGATTGAAAAATATTTATTTATTTTGTTTATAATAATAAAATAAAAATAAATATCATTATTCAAAAAAAAATGATGGGAAATATTATTTATATATAATATATTAAAAGTTTATTGAATTTTTTAAAAAAAAGTTATTGAGTGATATAATAGCACTGAAAAAAATGATATAAAGATATAGATAATGGCATTAAAAGTTCACCAAAAAATATATAAAACCAACTGTCCTGTCATACACATAAACTTATTGATATTATTATTAATATACTGAGTATTAGTATTTTATTTTTATTTTATTTTTTGGCTAATATTATCAGATATGCTAATTATGGGAAAAAATATCTATAATAGTTATGAGAAAAATTTATGAGAAAAATGTCACAATTCATGGCACACACACACACACACATACACACACATACATACACACACATACACACACATACATACACACACATACATACATACACACAATAGTAGTCTCTAACAATTGGGTATTAAATTACATCCAATATATAGCTTTAGGTTTTAATCTCACTGTTTGTGTGTTTGTATTTAAACTAAAAAATAAAAATTTATTTGCATGTATTATATATATATATGATATATTATATATATATATTTATATACAGTATAATCGTGTTTATGAATTTTAAACTATTATGTATAACCAGCATATGATCATTGACTCTCTCTCTCTCTCTCTCTCTCTCTCTCTCTCTCTCTCTCTCTCTCTCTCTCTCTCGACATAAGCAAATAGTACTCTCGAGAGAGAGAGAGAGAGAGAGAGAGAGAGAGAGAGAGAGAGAGAGAGAGAGAGAGAGAGAGAGAGAGAGGACACACCTTTGCAAACAATAAACTTTTAAAATAKTAAAACTAATAGCAAATAGTTTTTTTTCAACAAAATGTTTGCCACGAATCGTGTATTGTATTAAATTTATTTTTATAGTTATATTTATTTATTTATTTAGAAAAAAATCAACATTTATATACAGTTTCTAAATGCTTTTGTAATATTGTTTGTCAATTATATTTACAGGTATTTATAATCAACAAAATAAATATAACGCATATATCTCTAGTATCGTATTATACATAGTCTGGTAAGTATTGTAGACGAAAGAGAGAGAGAGAGAGAGAGAGAGAGAGAGAGAGAGAGAGAGAGAGAGAGAGAGTAAGAGAGAGAGAGAGAGAGAGGAATAACATCCAGAATAAACTTCCTTTACTTAACAACTGATGACTAGTGCTTTACTATTACCAATAGAGAGACAGTTATTAAACAGGAATGGTATGTAATTTACAGTACAGTACCTATGGAGTTACGGTATGGAAAAGTTAATGGTCGGGTGTTTTTTCTCATTACTACTATTGCAACTAAATTGTAATATTCATTGAATTATATTTACCGGTAATACTAATAAAAAATGTATTATTTAATATATATATATAACAATTACTCTCTCTCTCTCTCTCTCTCTCTCTCTCTCTCTCTCTCTCTCTCTCTCTCTCTCTCTCTCTCTCTCGACATAAGCAAAAAGTAYTCTCAATTGAAGAGAGAGAGAGAGAGAGAGAGAGAGAGAGAGAGAGAGAGAGAGAGAGAGGAAAGAACAAGTGTATGAAACATCTCTCTCTCTCTCTCTCTCTCTCTCTCTCTCTCTCTCTCTCTCTCTCTCTCTCTCTATTACACACACATATTAATTAATATGCTATTTGCAGGTGAATGCAATCAATCTGTCAATTATTTTTTGACTGCTTATGTATGTATAAACTAAAGCAAACAAACTTTTATTATTTGTATTTTGAAAATCATATCAACTTTCAATAGTTTGATGATATAAGTGGTATCACCTAAAAAACAAACATACAATGCTGTCAAACGGCTCAATACCTCGCTATCATCCCCACCACAACCAACACCAACACCACAACAGTCATCATCATAATCACCGACACTCGTGTCCGCCYATAAACTTACCGGCGCCGCCATCGGCAGCCAATTCGTTACGTTCATCAGCGGGCGGTCAGTATTTGACCGGTCAATCAACRCTTTACCGCAACTCSTTGGCMTCGACAGCAGTCATGGGCTCGACTATACCGCTATCGGCCGACTCTATTCTGACCTCGGCCGATGACCGYATACTAGTAACCAATAATATACTAAAAGATAAGTSTCCGCCACCACCACTGCCGCCGCAACAACAGCACCCGATAGTACACGGCAGAGGCCATGAAATTATTGAGACCAAACTGTCGGCCAACATATTGCCGATATTCATAATGGACTTTCTGTCGTTGGCCTGTCTGTCCTGTTTGGCCTATTTGTTACGATTTACCGAATCGTTTGCCGGTTTACAGCGCGGTTTCTTCTGTGACGACCCGACCATTTCGATGCCGTGGAGGCCGGCATTCGGTGACCATCGGAAGCCACCGATGACCGGGTTTAGTGATGAACTATTTTATTCAATCATTATAGGAGTTCCAGTTTTAATGGTATTTATATTATTATTACTTTTTCTATAATTTTTATTTAATTRCTATATATTTAATTTTCTCATTAAAAACCCCGCATATAATGGATAATATAATTATTTTTTATTAAAAAATTTATTCATTAAACAAATTGTCAATTGGTATTAGTCTATGGGTTAAAATTTCTATAAAAGATTAATTAATATATAAATTATATTGATAACCTGTATAAATATTAGGGTAAGTATACAGTAGTACCTGTATATTAAAGATAAATTAGATTTTTTTTAATACATTGAATACAATGTATAATATGTTTAGTAAGCATAAAAAAATTAATTAATTTGTTTGTTTGTTTGTTTGTTTTTTAATTGATAAAATAATACTAATAAATAATTTTTTAAATAGTAAATGGCAATTTATAGTTAGCTTATTTATAAAATAATAAATATTATGATATTTTACTTCACATTATTTACTAAATTATTTAAATAGATATTTTTAAAAAAAATTAAATATTTATTATTAAATGAGTCATTGAAAATTTTCCGTATAAATATATTATTATAAATTATTATTATTATTATTATTATTATTATTATTATTATTATTATTATTATTATTATTTAATTATTATAGGTATATAAATATATATATATATATATATATATTGTTATTATATATATATATATATAACTGAAACATAATAGTCTATACATTTAGATTAAAATTTCTATAATAATTATTTCAAAAGTTAATATTGTTTGTGTAATATTGTGTATTATTTATTTATTTTTTAAAAAATAATAATAATTTTATAGTATATTAAAATGCATAATATTATTATATAGAGCCTAATGTTTGAATTTAGACTAAAATGTTTGGAAAAATGTTTTTATTTTCTAGTAAATAATACTCTCAATTGAAACTATATATTTAAAAATTATTTTTCTATACTTTAAAAATCTTTATTTTTTTAAAAATAAAAAACAGTACCAAATAAAAAACTAATATATTTATTATTAAAATATATATATTATTTTTTTTGGATAAATTCTATAACATTACAATATAATTACTATTTTTTTAAAAAAATTACAATATTTCTCAATTATATAWATAWATATATTTTTTTGAAATTTTATTTTATAGATAATAATTACCGAGATTTTGAAAATATTTCTAAAGTCGGATAATTACAACAATATCCGGCGTAAAGTAATTGCCGCTCAAAGCGGTTGTATTACATGTCATATACAGATGCCGTTGCGCCGGATATTCCGGTTTATCGGTAAATCAAAAATAATTTATATATATATATATTCATACAAATAACTAACATTTATACTTTCAAACAAACAAAAACTACAGGTGCTTTTGCTTACGGTCTACTGGTTACCAGTATATTGACCGATACCTTAAAACTGGTTACCGGCCGACTGAGGCCCTACTTTCTAACTGTCTGTCAAACTATACACGAAATATGCAAACGATTATCGCTGGAAAATACGGGTATCGATTACGAAACCCGAGCACCGGTCGACTACCGGCACGTATGGGTCGATCCGACCGACTTTCCCGATACGGTTCTCTGTCAAAACCAGACATCCGTCATACGATCGGCTCGTATGTCGTTTCCATCCGGAACGGCATCCCTGTCCACCTATTCTGCACTATTCATTGTATTGTACATCACTTATGGCTGGACTGCCCGAAGTAGTCGTGTATTTAAACTCTGGTTTACCGTCACATCAGTGGTCTGTCTGCTGATTGTCTGCGCGGGTAAAGTCACCACTCATGACAATCACTGGGACGATATAGTGACGGGTCTGGTAATCGGTATCGGGTTTGCACTGTACATATGCTATACACAGTTGAATCTGTTTAGCGATCTATTTGTCAGCGGTGGTAGTGGTGACCAACCGATCAGTGATACACTAGAAAATCAATCGCAAATGACTGACGACGAAGACGATGGCCAATGGTTTTGGCGATACTTTCATATACCGCGCGTTAATCTATTGAGACGGAGTGCCCGATATTTTCGCAAACGTACGGCCGAACCAAATATCGGCGGCGGCGGTGTCGGTCATACCGGTATGTCATCGATGACCCCCCGTTTGGGTGGCAATTCATCGTATGTTAATCCGGCATTTGATCACAAGGACCATATCATGGATACCGGCACTGGTGGTAGTGGTAGTAGTAGTAGTAGTAGTAGTAGACCGCACTCGGCATATATCGACACATATAGACGACATTAAAATCTCTAATAAAGTCTACCCCGTATAGACCCACATAAGCCCCCTCCACCCCCGTGGCAATATTGGGCTATATGTGAAAATTTGGGGGCAATAAGTGAGATATAGCCCTCATCCCCACCAAATGTTGATTTTAATTTTTTTTTTAAATCGTCATGGGGGGGGCTATATGCGGGTCTATACGGTAATATGCATTTTTTATTTTCTAAATTATAATAAATATAATTAGTACTGTAGTATCAAAAAAATAAATAAAATTGTCTTATATTTAATAATTTATAGAAATATATATACAGTATATATCTATTGCATGTATTAGTTAAGTAGAGTAATATAATTTGATTTATTTATTTTTTTAAATATGAAATTTATAATAATGCAAAAACAAATAATAATTATTATTATCCAGGTTCAGTATAAATTATATATACTGTATATATATTTTATTTACAAAAATTTTCAATATTTAATTTTTTCAATAAAAAATAATAATAATTATAAAATAACATAAATATAATTAAATATTTGTATCACATTTAATATATCAAATAAATAAATCGATTAAAAAAAATGTTTAAAATTATTACTGAAAATTAGTTAATAATATCACAATATTATTATTATTACTACTACTACTACTACTGTAAGTATTAAATATACAAAATGTATTCATTAAGATATTACAAATAGTTTAATACAGTATAATATAGGTTAAGTGATTATGTAATATGAAATTGAGGTTAGGTTTGGTTAATTTAGGTTCTGATTTGGTTAAGTTTTGTTAATTTATGTACATCAACATAATTTGTGTATATCAACGTAATTTATGAATATTAACGTAATTTATGTACATCAACATAATTTGTGTAGATCAACGTAATTTATGTATACCATATACGTAATTTGTGTATATCAACGTAATTTATGAACATTAACGTAATTTATGTACATCAACATAATTTGTGTATATCAACGTAATTTATGTATACCATATACGTAATTTGTGTATATCAACGTAATTTATGTACATCATTATAATTTGTGTATAACGACGTTATTTGTATATACTATATATGTAATTTGTGTATATCAACGTAATTTATGAACATTAACGTAATTTATGTACATCAACATAATTTGTGTATATCAACGTAATTTATGTATACCATATACGTAATTTGTGTATAACAACGTAATTTATGTATGATGTACTTTATTCGTGTACATCAACGTAATTTCTCTACATTAACGTAATTTGTGTATATCAATGTAATTAATGTATAACGACGTAATTTGTGTATATCATTTATGTAATTTATGTATGACGTAATTTGTGTATAACGACCTAATTTTTGTATATGAACGAAGATTAGATTGGAGATTAGATTAGATTAGATTAGATTAGAGATTAGAGATTAGATTAGAGATTAGATTAGAGATTAGATTAGAGATTAGATTAGAGATTAGATTAGAGATTAGATTAGAGATTAGATTAGAGATTAGATTAGAGATTAGATTAGAGATTAGATTAGAGATTAGATTAGAGATTAGATTAGAGATTAGATTAGATAATAGATAATAGATTATAGATAAGATATTAAATTATATTAGACAAAATAATAGATAAGATAATAGATAAGATAATAGATAAGTTAATAGATAAGATAATAGATAAGTTAATAGATAAGTTAATAGATAAGATAATAGATAAGTTAATAAATAATAGATAATAGATAATAGATAATAGATAAGATAAGATGATATACAAGATTAGTGATTTGATTATAGATTAAATATACATTAGTTTATCTAACTTTACAAGCACTTATTACAGTGTGGTATGTTTTCAATAACATTTAATCAAGTATATAGATATCTAAATATTAATAATATGTTTTTATTTACTTTGAGTACTACTTAATGTTTATAAATTGTATATAACCCACTGTATACTACTTAAATGTTTCAATATAAAATAATATAATATATAAATACAATATAAAATATCCATGATACAATCAAGAAAATTGTCTATTTTCTACCCTATAGTACTTAGTAATACTTATGTTAAATAATAATAAAACATCTATAAAATAATGTAATTCACGAAAATATTGATCAAAAATTAATTATTTAGAATTAATTATTTAAGTATTTTTACATTATTAATAATTTTATATAATGTATTTAAAACTTTATTAATGTTTATTTTTTTAAAAATCAAGACAATCATTTAGTATAAATTAATTATTTATTATTAAAAAATTTTAAATACTATATTAATTTTATTAAACTTTATTATTTTTCCACTCTGTATTGTATATTGTCTACTACTATATCAATATCAATAAAAACTCAAAAATAATTGTCCATGATGCAATGCAGAAAATATTAAAATTTTAGACTATCTCACTTGTAAATAGTACTAAATTATCAATTTATTACATAATAATTACAAACGTTATTACTGTCTCTTAAAAATATTTAATTGTTTGAATGTATTGTCAATTATATGGTTTATTGGGTACCAAATCATCGCTTAACTGTATTAACAATACATATGTTGTAGTACTATATGTACGACACTTAGTGGTCAATCAATATATCGTTGTTATCCACTGTTTTCACAGTTATTTCACAGATAACTAACATTTATACTTTCAAACAACAAAAAAAACTACAGGTGCTTTTGCTTACGGTCTACTGGTTACCAGTATATTGACCGATACCTTAAAACTGGTTACCGGCCGACTGAGGCCCTACTTTCTAACTGTTTGCCAAACTATACACGAAATATGCAAACGATTATCGCTGGAAAATACGGGTATCGATTACGAAACCCGAGCACCGGTCAACTACCGGCACGTATGGGTCGATCCGACCGACTTTCCCGATACGGTTCTCTGTCAAAACCAGACATCCATCATACGATCGGCTCGTATGTCGTTTCCATCCGGAACGGCATCCCTGTCCACCTATTCTGCACTATTCATTGTATTGTACATTACCTATGCCTGGACTGCCCGAAGTAGTCGTGTATTTAAACTCTGGTTTACCGTCACATCAGTGATCTGTCTGCTGATTGTCTGCGCGGGCAAAGTCACCACTCATGACAATCACTGGGACGACATAGTGGCCGGTCTGGTAATCGGTATCGGGTTTGCACTGTACATATGCTATACACAGTTGAATCTGTTTAGCGATCTATTGGTCAGCGGTGGTAGTGGTAGTGGTGACCAACCGATCAGTGATACACTAGAAAATCAATCGCAAATGACTGACGACGAAGACGATGGCCAATGGTTTTGGCGATACTTTCATATACCGCGCGTTAATCTATTGAGACGGAGTGCCCGATATTTTCGCAAACGTACGGCCGAACCAAATATCGGCTGCGGTACCGGTATGTCATCGATGACCCCCCGTTTGGGTAGTAATTCATCGTATGTTAATCCGGCATTTGATCACAAGGACCATATCATGGATACCGCCGGCACTGGTGGTTGTGGTGGTAGTAGTAGTAGTAGTAGTAGACCGCACTCGGCATATATCGACACATATAGACGACATTAGGATATCTAATCATTAATATACTATAATTTTCTAAACTAAATGTATGTATTTACTAGTAGTATAAAAAAAAATTGTCTTATATTTTAGATATTCATAGAAATATATTGTATTTATTGTTAGATACATAATTTGATTTTTTATAATATGAAATACAATAATAATGAAAACAAATTATTATTATCCAGGTAATATTTATATATATATATATATATATATATTTTACAAAAATTTTAATTTTTTCAATAAATAAAAATAACTCTCTCTCTCTCTCTCTCTCTCTCTCTCTCTCTCGACTTAAAGATTAAAAAAAAAACTAATAATAATAACATAAATATAATAAAATATTAACTTAAATATAATTGCTAAAATAATATTATTATTAATCAAATTATTATTAATTTTTTTTAAAGTTATTATATTTTACACATACAACTACTGTATAAGTGTATTGTATTTTGTCACTGATTTTTTAAAAAAAATATTTCAACATTTATTAATAATAGTGTTATTTTTTTATTAAATATGTTTAGATTATTATTATTATTATATAAATATACAGTATTTATATTATTATAGTTTTTAGATTTTTTTTGTGTGAAAAATAAATTTAACTTGATAAATAAATAGAATTTTTAAATTTTTAAAAATAAATTATGCGTTATTTATGTTAAAATTATGATATAATAAAATTTACAACATGATAATTATTGTAACTTAAAATTGAAATTTATAGCCTTTTTGTTAGTATTAAAATTCAAATATATTTCAATAGGTTAACCATAAGTTAAAAAAGTACTAAATTTCTAAAATATTTTTAAAAAAATACTATTTATCACTGTATTAAAATATTTCATTTAAATGTTTAAAAATTTCAAAAAAATAAACAAATATTTTACTAAATAAATAATAGTTTTTATTGTGTGTAAAATCTATCTTGATAATAAATTTTATAGATTAAATTTGATGATTAAAAATATTTTTTTAAATTTTTAAAGTTTTTTTTTTATTAATTCAAAATATGAATCAACGATTACGTGTATTAAATCTTTATAAAACGGTTAGTAAAAATTACTAATTATTTAAATTAACTATGTACAATTATAATTGTACCTAGATGATTATTGTACATTTGTATATATACAAATGTACAATAATCATCTAGGTACATTAAATATTTACTTTATTTTAATAAAATTTATTTAAAATATTATATAAATTAATTTTATATTTTTATAATAAATTGTATACATTTTTTAGCATGCTTAAAATTAATTATTTAATTATCTAATTAATTATCTAATTAATTATTTAATTATTTATTTAATTATCTAATTAATTATAATTTAATTAAAAATATTAAAAAATAATTTTATTTTTTTTAATATAAAAATTTTTTTTGTCATTTTTTACGGACAGTTGTTATATATGGGTCGCGACTATCCGTTAGGCTATAAATACTTCAGAGACCGATGTCATCGGGCGTTCGCTAAGAACCAGTCGGAGACCAACACTGAGACCATCGATCAGATGATCAAAAGAGGAGAGTTTGTCGTCAAAGAAATCGAAGCACTCTATCGGCTGAAGAAGTACAGGACAATGAAGAAGAGATACTATCCGGAAGATGACAAACAACAACTACTTTCCATCGATGATAGCACCGGTAGTACCATCGATAGCGATGGTCAACGACCTGTTAGTGGTGATAGTAAGACATGATTAGCTATCATTGATTACATATTATAGCTCTCTGTCTCTCTCTCACTATCTCTCTCTCTCTCTCACTGTCTGTCTCTCTCTCACTGTCTCTCTCTCTCACTGTCTGTCTCTCTCTCACTGTCTGTCTCTCTCTCTCTCTCACTGTCTCTCTCTCTCACTGTCTGTCTCTCTCTCACTGTCTCTCTCTCTCTCTCTCTCTCTCTCTCTCTCTCTCTCTCTCTCTCTGTCTCTCTGTCTGTCTCTCTTTCTCTCTATTTTTTTATACAATATTTGATATAATAATTAGTTTTAAAAAATAGAAACAATTTTTTTAAATATTAAAAGATTAGTAATAATAATAATATTGTGATATTATTAACTAAATTTTCATTAATAGTTTCAAACATTTTTTTTTTTTGAAATCAATTTATTTTTATTTGATATATTAAATGTGATACAAATAGGAAAACAATATTAATAATTTAATTATTTTTAATAAGACTATGTATTAATTTTTTTAAAAAAAATTTTATTAAATACTCAAATTAAATCTATTATTATATTTAAAAAAAAACTATGTGTTAGTTAGTTTGTAAATGATATAAAAATTTAATATAATTAAAAAATAATACATTTATATATTTTTAAAAGTAATATATTTGATTGTCATTTATGTTAATCACAATTATCACAATTACCCTGGTGCTTTTATAATTAACCAGTATATACACTATACACACAAATTGATTAGCAATTATGCCAAACAACTGTATCATCCCAACAGGTCTCGCATTTGGCCCTCAATAGTATACCTGAGCTATGAATAAAATCATAGATCATATGTAACTCATAGATATCCTGAAGTTTAATCTGTTGAACAAAATCATAATTTTCGTGATTTATGTCAACAAAAACATCTAAATTATTAGTAGATTTCATTGAATAGATTACTCGATAGTATCTGATTGTCCAATCATTTAGTTTGATATTGAAATTATTTGATAAAAATGGTTCAAAATTCACAATAAAACCAATGGTTAAAATATTTAATAGATTTTTCATTGGATTTACTGTATGTATTAATCGTATTGACTTAACAACGGCCAGTCCATGTAGGCTATACCGGGACTGTATTGTTTGACAAATTAAAGTTAAATATATTATTATTATAAAAAAAACTATTTCAATCATATTATCATTTATGTGTTAGTTTGAAATGATATTAAAAATTTAATATATTTAATTAAAAAATAATAATACAGTACATTTACCACACATTTAATGTTATATCACAATTATCACAATTACCCTGGTGCTTATATAATTAACCAGTATATACACTATACACACAAATTGATTAGCAATTATGCCAAACAACTGTATCATCCCAACAGGTCTCGCATTTGGCCCTCAATAGTATACCTGAGCTATGAATAAAATCATAGATCATATGTAACTCATAGATATCCTGAAGTTTAATCTGTTGAACAAAATCATAATTTTCGTGATTTATGTCAACAAAAACATCTAAATTATTAGTAGATTTCATTGAATAGATTACTCGATAGTATCTGATTGTCCAATCATTTAGTTTGATATTGAAATTATTTGATAAAAATGGTTCAAAATTCACAATAAAACCAATGGTTAAAATATTTAATAGATTTTTCATTGGATTTACTGTATGTATTAATCGTATTGACTTAACAACGGCCAGTCCATGTAGGCTATACCGGGACTGTATTGTTTGACAAATTAAAGTTAAATATATTATTATTATAAAAAAAACTATTTCAATCATATTATCATTTATGTGTTAGTTTGAAATGATATTAAAAATTTAATATATTTAATTAAAAAATAATAATACAGTACATTTACCACACATTTAATGTTATATCACAATTATCACAATTACCCTGGTGCTTATATAATTAACCAGTATATACACTATACACACAAATTGATTAGCAATTATGCCAAACAACAGTGTCATCCCAACAGGTCTCGCATTTGGCCCTCAATAGGATACCTGAGCTATGAATAAAATCATAGTCCATATGAATCTCATAGATATCCTGAAGTTTAATTTGTTCAATGAATCCGTAATTTTCATGATTTATGTCAACAAAAACATCTAAATTATTAGATTTCATTGTATAGATTACTCGATAGTATCTGATTGTCCAATCATTTAGATTGATATTGAAATTATTTGATAAAAATGGTTCAAAATTCACAATAAAACCAATGGTTAAAATATTTAATAGATTTTTCATTGGATTTACTGTATGTATCAATTGGATTGACTTAACAATGGCCAGACCGTTGAGGATATGCCTGGACTGTATTGTTTGACAATCAATTTGTCGACTAATATTTCCAAACATAGTATCCTGATTACATAAATCATTAAATTTTTCATACGAATAAACTGTATCCAAATTATCAGTAAATGTTGTCTTATTATAATTTGTTTTACAAATTATTGACTGATTTTTCATTGAAATTAATAATTGCATAAACACTAGGATTATAGCAATTAATGTACAAAATATTCTCAGCAATTGTTTTCTTGGAAATTGTTTTCCTATTAAATACTTATATATTACTAGTATTATAGCTAACTGTGCTATTATTGAGTATATTCTGTTAGTATTATTAGTATTATTATTATTAGTATTTAAATTGTTTGAATAATTGTTAATATGTATGTATAAGTCGGTAAAAATCAGGGAAATGGCCAAAAAAATCTTCAATAAATATAATGTTTTCGATAATTTCATTAATATTATCACAATTATCATAAATAATAGGAGTTTCCATTCGCTAGTAATATATCCACAAATGGATGTCATGGTATAGTCTGGTATGTCATAACTACCAGAGTTATGTATCAACAAATGTGTCATCAGATTGGGTATTAAAATCAAATAAAATGTCCTCAAATTGAACAACGGTTTAGTAGTTACCAGTATTATGATAGCAATTGCTAGAATGGTTGGATTGACGGGAACAGAGCTCATGTAGGTTTCGGTAGTCATAAAACTGTATTCACAATAGTTTATGGATAGATAGTGATAGATGACAGCAAATAATTGCAATAGATTTGAATTATATTTGAATTGTACGGAAAATGATAACCAACTCATCAACTGTCGACTGATGGATGTGTTGAGTGATCCGATGACAGTACCGGTAGTGTCTTGACCTACTGAAGCCGTTGTTAATATAAAACTTATCGTAAATACTAACAACCAAACTGTTGTCGATCTAAAGTATTGCCAATCATTTCGTTGGAAATTTTTATCATAAATCTTAACCACTTGTATCCATAACCGATAGTTGTTATACTTGTCCACCGATTGGATAATCTGGCCGTAGGCCAGCACTTCCAGTGCCTGGAGAACCAGTAGAACCGTCGGAACGGACATCAAGTTTCGGCACATCAGACGAGCAGTCGGCCGAAAGTATAGATAATTGAAGATAAGTGATACCGAAAACAAGGTTAGCAGTGATATGATGACCACTAAGTCGACGGATGTGAACATTGATTTCAATAGATTGAAAATATGTCGAAAACATTTAGCAGTTTTCTGGTGGTCAACAATCGGCGGCTTTGGATCAACTGTTAGATCAATATCGGGTGACCGATGTCGGAGCAGTTGACTGACATTCAGATGAACGTATCGTTTGTCAACTCGTGCTGCAGATGATGGGGACACCAATACATCATCAGTGGTGACCATAAAACCATTGACTATGCCATTCATTGGCCGATCATTGACTAGACGGCGTAGTCGCTGTCGAAACTGGTCAACACTTAACGGATTATTTGGCCGATCATCGGCGGCGGCGGTGATGACTGCGTTCATAATATCGCCGGTCAATTGGTCGGCTTTGATGTCCAATTCTGTACGCGACAAACACCGAAGTACACCGAGTTTGTTGTCATCGGTAATACCGATACCGTCCATAAAACACTGTTCCAGTACATCGATGGCCGACCGATTGCCGCCGTGGGCGGCCTCTACTAGCCAGTCGATGGCCAATCGACACTTGATGTCAACCGGTTGCCGCCGAAGGTCGACATCATCGGCATTGGCATCAACTTCCCGGTGCCATTCGTCCAGTAAGCGCAAGGCTAACCGCACCTGACTATCGGGACAACCGTTTTCGGCCAGATATCGGTAGATTTCGGTCATTTCTTGGTCACTGGTCTGGCGGAAGTTCGGTATATGGGGGTTGCCCGAGCGAAGCGAGGGGAGCATATATAGATACCTTGGGTTATAAGGATTATATATATATACATGTCAATGGCCGGAGGTGAAGGGTCAAGAAGCTGGAGAGGTCATTACATATATATGATATATATATATATAGTAATATACACTACATTTTTGTAGTGTTTCTTTATAAATAGGTTTAGGTTGCGAGGCCTACACCAGGTTAGGTAAAAGGGGTATTGCCCGAGCGTAGCGAGGGGGGCTTAATGTATACCCAGGATATACATATTATCAGGGTTTTAAATGTGGCAGGAATAAACAATAGATGCAAATTTTGCCAAATATAAACCCTTTATAAAACATTGTTTTTTAAAACCCTGCATATGATACATTAGCAGTGCAGGCATCAAACTTGTCTACCCGTCACCAAATAACAATTTTTAATGTAAAAATTGAATAAAATTAATTGAATAAAAAATAAAAAATTTAAAAAAATATATTTTTCTTTAACTTCGGCCATTGATATTTGGTGTAGTGATACCCTCCCTCCTAAACTTTAAAACCCATACTCTAAACCCCCCAATTCCGCCCCCCAAATTCCGAACCCCCGCCACTGGTCTTTACTAATGTATGTCAAACAAACAAACAAACAAAAAATCGGGACTTTTTCGGTAAAACAGTTTATATATTTAGAAAAAAGTTATTAAAAACTTTTTTTTTATTTTTTTTTAATTTCCATACCTTTTAGCCATCGCTTCCTAGAGTTCATCACTAGTAGTGTATATAAACAGTTGATACAAATGTATAATAATTTTATTAATTATTATTATTATTATTAATACTTTTATTATTATTAATAGTTTTATTATTATTATTATTATTATTAATAGTCAATAGAAAAACACTGTATTATTTAGTTATAAACATATGTTATAAACAAACAAAAAAAATTATTAAATTTATTTTAAACGTGTTTTCATTTTTGTGTGTTTTTTGATTTAATTAATTTACTAATAAAATACAATTGTTTTATAATTAATACAGTTTTTTAAATAATTGTTGAGTCACTAAATATTTTATTTAATAATAATAATAAAATCCAATATTTAATGCAATACAGTATACACAACAACAATAATGTTATGTTTAAGTAGCTATTAGTGTATTAAATACCAGTTTTTTTTTTAATACACGTGCGCTTATCAGCTATTTTTTTTGTTATTTGTTTGATAATATTATTTAAACCTAAAGTTATAACTTAACTGTACTGTAGTTTGTTTGTTGGGGATTATAATTAACAGTACTTATAATAACTTATATATAAGTTATATAACAACCCTTATATGGATTTATCACTTACTGTATATGTGGGTTAACACACTTATATGTCAAGTTTATTATTAGGTGTTACCTAATATTTGAATTATATATTTAAAAAAAATAAAATATTTTATGATAAAATTTTTTTTTTAATGTTATAATTAGTTAATATTAGCACAATTTAATTAAATATAAATTAGATCAATTATAAATACTGTTTTTTTTATTATAAATTAGAAAACTATTTTTATATTTATTTAATTTTTGTTAATTCTAATTATTTATTTATAATTATTTATGTTAATTATAATTATTCATTTTAACTATCATATTACTATATTAATATCAAAACAATTATTATGATAATTAAAACTAATAATTTTATTTTAAAAAAAATCAATCATAAATCAATCTCAATATTACACAATAATCTGGGTACAATTAAAAAAATAAAACAAATTAAACAAACATTAAATTATATTAATTTAATTATAATTTAAATTTACTAAAAAAAAAATAAAATTTACAATTGATCAAGTAGATATTGATGAAAAAATGAACCAGGTCCTTGTTGCTGATCATTATCATCTAATAACATTGAAACAATATTATCAATATTTTTTATATCGCGAACCAACTGTCCATTGATAAGCCATTTACTTTCATCTGATAATATTTGCTGACAACTGGGTCTCTTATCTTTGACTCTTTCAATCATAGCTATCAATTGATTAACTATATTATAGATGGGATCAGATCTGCAATTATATAAACATTTAATTAATTATTTTTTATGGATCAGCTTTTTATTATAGAGACAATTACCGTATTGACCCGCATATTGCTCACCCACCCCACCCCCATGACAAATATTTTTTAATTTAAAAATCAACATTTGGTATGGGGGTGGGTGGGCTGTATCTTCTAACAAATACACCACCACCCCCTCCCATTATGGGTTTATATGGGGGGAGGGTAAGTAACGATTAGGGGAGATAGGGTTATATGTAAGATCGGTCTATATATTGTAATCAGAATTTGCATTTTTAATGGCGGGTGGGTGTGTGKGGKGGGGGTAATTACACATTCAAAAAAAAACTTCAATTATTTTAATAGTGGGAGGGGGGTATTTGATAATTCATTAAAATCAACATTTTTTTTGGTAGTAGGGGGTGGGCTGGGCTATATCTCACTTATTGCTCCCCCTCCCCCCCCCATWTTCACATATAGCCCCTRATGGCCAGGGGGAGTGGGCGGCTATATGCRGGTCTATACCTATACGGTATATATAATTCTTAAATGACAAACTTATCGATAGTTTCGTTGCCAAAGATATTCACATCAAACAGATTGCTTCCGACTAATCCCAGACTATAGATGTCAGCCTTGGTATTATAGATAATCCTGTCTACCCCACCACCACCAATACGTACACCAAGTCCACCCTTGTCGATGCCGATTACTTCGGGTGCCCGATAATCATCGGTACCCACTTGCGATGTATGGCCGCTCAGTGAGGACTTGTGATCGGTTGCCAAATCAAAGTCACACAGTTTGAGTACAAGTCGTCGTCCACTATTAGGGTAGTCATCAACGATTAGTATGTTTTTCGGTTTAAGATCCCTGTGCAGTATAGGCGGCCGTCTAGTATGCAAATAGTTGACACCAATGACAATCTCTTTGAATGCCCGAACAGATATATAGTTCATGACCAGTGATAGTGATGCCGATGCCGATGCTGATGATGACTGTCCACTTGATGTATTGGCAATGATAATAGCTTTTCGCCTATCAATAACATCATGTAGACTATATAACCCTAATTGCATCTGTATATAACAGGTGCTATGGTTTCCATCATACCATGAATCATAGTATCGGATAATATAGTTTGAGTTTAATTTTTTCAAATTTTTCACCTCATTATCGATACCCGATTTTTTTCGTTCACTATCATCAACTATAGGTTGTTTTTTTTAAATTAATTAATTAATTAATTAATAAAATTAATTAATAATAATATTGTTAATGGATGAAATTATATTTTAGCAAATTAATTATTAACTAATTATTATATTAATTATTATATTAATAAATTAATTATTATATTATTATATTAATAAATAAATTAATTATTATATTAATAAATAAATTAATTATTATATTAATAAATTAATTATTATATTAATAAATTAATTATTATATTAATAAATTAATTATTATATTATTATATTAATAAATAAATTAATTATTATATTAATAAATAAATTAATTATTATATTAATAAATTAATTATTATATTAATAAATTAATTATTATATTAATAAATTAATTATTATATTAATAAATTAATTATTATATTAATAAATTAATTATTATATTAATAAATTAATTATTATATTAATAAATTAATTATTATATTAATAAATTAATTATTATATTAATAAATTAATTATTATATTAATAAATTAATTATTATATTAATTTAGTAAATTAAATTAGTCTGTTATAGAGATATAACTATTTTTTTTATTACTTGATAGCTATAAGGATATACAGTAAACATTGTATACTATATACAAAAAAAAAATATATATATATATATTTAAAAAACAAATAAAATTATAATAATTTTTAAGTTTAATTAAAAATAAAATAAATAACAAACCGTCTAAATAAACTATCTTGATGGCATAAAATTTGTTATCTAGTTTGCATTTAGTTTTATGAACCAGGCCAAATGATCCCCGTCCAAGCTCAGTTAGTTCTTCAAAATTGCTAGTATATTTATTCATTATTATTATTATTATTATTATAATGTTTGAATACTAATTTTAATTTTAATTATTATTATTATTTTGTAATTCATATAATTATACATTATTATTATTATTAACTTATTATTCATACATAATTATTTTTTTAAAAATTTATATATATATATATATATATATATATCACTATTTAAATTTTTAATAATGAAAATATCAATTGAATTTAAAAATATATTTTTTTTATATTACAAAAAATGTTTTAACGATTATTCAATGATTTAATGTTGTAAATCATTATTGTTTACTATACTTAAACTTTGATCCCATTAAATGTTTTTTTTATCATTTAATGATATAATATAATATCATACGACTATTATTGTGTTTCTATGGATTTATTTTTTTTTATCAAACACTAAAAGTCATTTAATTTATTAATTTTTTAATAATAATTATTATATATATATATATTTACTAAAGGTTTTAAATTATTAAATACATCCCTAATATACCTAAATATTGATATTTAAATAAATAAATAGCTATAAATCTATTGAATAAATAATTTAACTTAACAAAAAAATATTTAATAAATTTTAATAAATAGTTTATATATATATAGTGTATAAATAATAATATAAAAAATGTCATATTAATCAATTTATGATAATGATGATTTATATTAAAAACAATAAATAAAATTAATTTACAATATACTATACAATAGTATAATAATACAGTACCAAACAAACAAAACAAAAAAAATGTTAAAATATTTTTATTAACTATATTACACATCAATCAAAAAAATCATTTTCAATTACATTTTATCAATTTTTTTACAAAAATATAGAGTAATTTTAGTTATAATATTTTATTTCTATAACTAAATAACACACATAAAAATTATATTTTTTAAAAAAATAATTGAAAACTACTATTCAATCATTAATATATAAAAAAAACTTATAATTGATATTTAAATTATATTATTAGGTATTATAATATCAATTATTATTTTTTTATTATACAAACATTTAATAATAAAATTACTTTTTTTAAAAAAAATCTTAGATAATAATTCTATAAAAATTATTATTATTGTTATTTTAATTATTTTATTGTATAATTTATGTTTAATATCACAATTATTATCGATAAATAATCTCTTATTTTAATTTTAATTTACTATATAAATATGTATTATTAGAAAATCATTTAATTATTATTTAAAATAAATTTATATTTTTATTAATTTTTTTAGTTTATAATCAATTTTATAATTTGAGTGTAAATATAATAGTAATGATTAGTATTATGTCATAAATACTGTTTAACTAAAAAAAATAAATTACAACAAACATGACCTGATTTGGTTCAACAAAAAAAAACAAATATTTATCTTTTATTATAATTATTACTCAATTTTGATACAAAAACTTTAGATTATTTTTTTATGTAATTTTATTTTATAGCTAGAAATGGTTGAAATTATTTTAATTACAATATGATTTAAAAAAAAAATCTATTTATATAAAATAAATAAATGTCCAGGATAGTTGTTTATTTTTTAGGTATAGTTCCTCCAAACTTCAAACTGTAAACTTTAAGGTTACTTAAAATAGTTGATCAAATAAACTACATGTGCTTTTAAATACCATATAGCCTTCAAAAATTATCTTTATTTGTATTTTTATTTATATCTAATATTTAAAATTATCTCCAACAAATGCTAAAATTTTTATAAATAATTCAAAACTTATTGTATATAATTTGTTTGACTATATATATATGTATTTTTTTAAATATATCAAATTTTTTTTATTACTAATATCACTAAAAATTTGATTACTAAAATTTGATACTGTATAGCCATAATCATTGATTTATTTAAATGTGATTTTATTTTATTTTTTAAAAATTATTTGAATATTATACTGTAGTTTTTTTTAAAAAAAATAAATAAATTTTATAACTAATTATATATATTATGAAAATTAGATTACATAAAAAATAGTTTGTAACTTAAATATATAAATATTTATATATATATATATTTGTGGTAAAGCTATGATAAATATTTTTTAAGTTTCAACTATTTGTAAAAAACATAAACCAAAACAAATTATTTATATAATAATAATTATTATATAAAATTTATATATATATATATATATAGTATTTTCAGTGTTTTTTGTCATTGATATTTGTTGTGTACATACAATATATTTATATATATATATAAATTTAGATAAATTATATAATTTTCAATTTTCCCGGAAGGAAATAACTGATTAATTATTAGATAGTTTTTTTATTAGCTATATATATATATAGTATTTATTATATTACAATATTTAGTTTGTATAAAAGTTTTAATTTATTTTTTAACTAATCTAATAACTATAATACAGTATTATTATTTATTAAAAGTTATTTACAATTAAATTGTTTATATAGTTTTTTTTAAATAATATTTTATTTGCTAACTAATAACAGACTGATAAACAACTGTTTTTATATAATATTAATAATAATAATAATAATAATGTTATTGAACCGGCTGTTTGGGTCTAGAAAAATAAATTATTTAAAAAAAAAATTAATGCGTTTTAATTGTGAATAGTGGTCGACCTTGGTAATGGCAATGATAATATGTGTGGGGCTTAGTTAGTTAGTTAGTTGACTATATTTACTGATTTTCCTTAAATTATTTATAAATATATATATATAATAGTAAAATAATTATTTTTATATACAGTAGAAATATATACCTGTATATATATTTTTGTCTCATCATAAATAATAATAATAATTATAATACCTGTTTGTCTAGATATATGCTAAATATGTGCTATAGTCATATATAATGGTAACATAACAACAATATATATATATATATATATATATATTGAAAAAAAATAAATTTTATATATATATATTTAAAACAAAAATTATTACGATAACATTGACACTTTTTTTCACCAAAAATAATAATAATAATAATAATAATAAATTTTTGTACTAAATGTACGTACTCAATGTTGTTATTGTCCTTGAACATATATATTGAGATAATTAAAAAAAACATTTTCATAAAATAAAATTATATTTATAATATATATATATTTTAAAATTTTGTTTTTATCAATTTTTGAATTATTTATATTGTGTTTATCAGTAAATGTTTGATAACTTTATTTTTTTTAAATATTTGTTTAATATAAATGAATGATTGAGAAAAAAAATATTTAATAAACTTTAAACATAATAATTATTTAAAAATTTAAAGTTAATTATTACTTAAATAAAAACTTTCAAAGTTTTCATATTAATAATTCATAAATATTTATTTTTATTTTATTTTTTGGTGTAAAATAATAATTATTTTTCTCAAATTCAACGATAATATTCTACAATAATATTAAATTAAATTTGAAAAATGTTTTCATCAATTGTAGTATTTCTAACATATTTGTCGACAATTAGTTTGACTATATTTCTAGTATTATATGTTTATTTTAAATATAAAAACCGTTACCGGGATAAGTGTTTGGCCAGTATTCCCGGACCCGAACCCCGATACCCGTTGATCGGCAATATAGACCTGTTTCGTATACCCGGTGTTCCACTAAATGAATGTAAGTTTTTTTTAATTAATTAAATAAATAATATTATTTTTTATTATAAATAATATTTATGAAAAAAAATTATATATTTATATAGGTGTCTATAAAACATTGGTATCATTGTGTAGATTATATAAAAATTATGGTATTTATAAAATATCATTAGGACCTCAACCTGTTGTTGTTGTATTCAAACATAACTTAATGGATGTATGTATTATATATACAGTATATATATTACTATTATAATTTTTAGATTGTAATTTTTAATTTTAACACTATTTTTAAAAAAAATTAATATTAACATATACATTTTCTAATAATTTAATATATAAATTTATATAATAAGCTATATTTTCAGGCTGTATTTTATATTGATAAATTATACTACTATTATAATTTTAACACTATTTTTTAAAAAAAAATTTAAATATTAACATATATATTTTCTAATAATTTTTTTTAAATAATAATACAATAGGCTATATTTTCAAGCAATGTTCACATTGAAAAATCTGAACAATATAAATTTCTAAGCGATTGGTTAGGCGATGGCCTATTGTTGAGTACCGGTGCTAAATGGAAAGGTAGACGAAAACTGTTGACACCGGCATTTCATTTCAAAATATTGGACGATTTTATACCACTAATGAATGCGCAGACAAACATATTTTTGGATAAAATCAAAGATATGTCAACTGATAGACAATATATTGATATCAGGGAACCGATAGCTCAGTTAACTTTGGATATTATTTGCGGTAATTATATAATTTTGAGTAATAATAATAATAATAGAAAATATTAATAATAATAATAGAAAATATTATTAATAATAGAAAATATTAATATTAATAATAATAATAATAATAGAAAATAATAATAATAATAGAAATAATAGTATTTTTTTTAATTTTCTATAGAAACTGCAATGGGAGTACAGGTGGGCGCACAGGTAGGCAAAAATAAGCCATACGTTGCGGCCATTCATGATTTGGGCGAAATACTGATGAAACGTGTATTTTCGCCCTGGATTTGGCCGGACGTTGTGTTCAATCGGACGCCGATTGGCCGTACATTTTGCCGATCACTTAACACACTGCACTCATTTACCCGCAATGTTATCAATCAAAAGAAACAACAGTTTATATCAAATAACGACACAAAAACTACGGATCAGTTAACAAGTGATGATAACATCTATTATTCGACAAACAAGAAGAAGAAAAGTATGGCATTTCTGGATCTATTACTCGAGTATCACATCAAAGACAACAAGTTATCGCTGGAAGACATACGCGAAGAAGTGGACACTTTTATGTTTGAAGGACACGACACTACTTCGGTAAGTCTCGGATGGTCTCTCTATTTGTTGGGTTTGCATCGCGAAGTTCAGGACAAGATTCACGACGAATTGACCGCAATTTTTGGTGACGACATCGACAACAACCAGAGAGACATCACTGCCGAAGACATTCAACGTATGACATACTTAGAGTGTGTACTCAAAGAATCGTTGCGAATGTATCCGTCAGTACCGTTCATCGGTCGACATTTGGCCGAAGATTGTCCGGTCGGTGATTATGTTATACCGGCCGGTGTCGACGTCTTTATGATTGTCGAACAAATGCATTACGATTCGGATGTATTTCCCGATCCCAACCATTTCAGACCCGAACGCTTTCAATCGGATACCACTTCTTCCTCCTCGTCCTCGACAACAATAAATGCCTACAATTATGTGCCGTTCAGTGCCGGTCCTCGCGGTTGTATTGGTAAACGTTTTGCAGTTACTGAGGAAAAGATAATATTAGCCAAAGTTTGCCAAAACTTTTATATTGAATCAATTGAACCGTTAGATAGTATACAGATATCCGCCGAAATGGTATTTCGGGCAAAAAGTCCACTAAATGTTAGATTTATTCCCAAAACTTATTGATATTTTTAATATTTTTTGTTTGTTTGTAATCATTATATCAATTATTTTGTTTAAAAAAATAATATTTAATGTTTTATTATGTTTTATCAGTTTTAAAAATTTTTGTTAATAACCAAATATATTAATAATTTTGAAATTAATTTTTTTATTATATTACATATATATCAAAAATTAAATATATTAAAAAAACAAATAATATTTATATATTTAAGTCTATTTTTTATAAATTTTTATACAACATTTTTTTACAAATATAATAATTGATAACAATATAATAATGTATAGGTTTTATTGAATTCATAGTTAAGTGATGAACATAAATATAGTAGAAATATAAACAATAGAGACATTAATATAAATGCTATAATTATTATGAATTTAATTATAAAAGATATATATAGACTTTGAAATAATAACATATATAATATTAATAATACTAATAAACCCATTAATTGCCAAATAACTAATAGATAATATGACCAAAATTTTCTATTATATTCATTAATTTCATTGCTAACAAAATTAATTGAATTGATTAGATTTTTTGCAAATCTTATATCAAGTTTAGGGAAAGTTTGTTGTTTTTTTGTTAATTTAATTGAAATATTACTGTTATATAATTGAATTTTATATTTCAAATAGTTAGTCAATAGATAGAAATGATATAATAGCCAATAGTTAATATTGATGCCATAGTTTGTATAAATTAATAAATGTACGGAATTTAATATACCATATGTTAGACATTGATTTATTGAACAATTTATGAAATAGGGATACAAACCAAATATAAACCATAGTATCCATGATTTACTAGTAATTAATTCACATAATCGATATAAACTTCGAGATTTTAGTAGAAATTTCTGGATAAATTTCCTATGATTTAAACCAATACTTTTCGGTGATCGTTGACCGGCCAACATATCAAAAACGGACATAAACTGTGGCCATTGGCCATCACGGGTAAGCCGTATGAGTATCAATTGAATCGGTATGAATGTTATACCGAATAGGATGTCCACATAATTAGCATGATTTTCCAGATTCATAATTAGAGCAATATTGCCAAACATTATATGATAATTTCGGTAATGTTTCGGTAAAATACATACAATTGTCAATTTCATAACATATGTCCACGAAATCAATTGCATAACTAATGGATTATAAATTATTGATCTATTTTTTAGGCATTTTCTAGATTTTGTATGAAATAAACCGATTTCATAGAGTTTAGTGTTTATATTGTCTACTCGTAAATCAATTGGTAAACATTTGTTTGATTTAATCAATTTATTTCCATTCATATTAAATTAATTTTATTTATTTTTTAAATAGAGTTAAAACTTTAAAAAATTATTTAATAATTTTTTTTTTTGAGTAAAAATGAATTACTAAATAATCTAAATAATGACTATAATAATGTCATAAATATATATTTATTTATTTGTTGACTTCAAAAATAAAATTTACTGTATCTTAATATAATATTATTACAATACAGTAATTTAGTTTTTATAATTTAGATTAATTATTATTATTTACAATAATATTTAATATTATTTTGATCATTTAATCTTACAATAATAATTGACAATTATATATACATATTAATATATATATTAAATAAATTCTATTAATTTCTTATTTTTTAGATAATTAAGAAAAAATTAATCTTAAATTAGACATTAAATAACAATAAATAATATAATAATAAAAATATATATATATATTAATCATMATTTAATAAWAACAAATTAATCAATTTAATAGTCAATTTTTTAAATTATATTTAAATAATTAGGTTAATGTCATAAATAAAAGTTATTTTTAAATATAATTTTTTTKTGATCATTTATCATAAACTATAATATCATTTAATAGATGACATAATTATATTTGTTATTTAAATATAAAGTAATTATCATTTATTATATATATATAAATATATTAAATATTTGTTTTTAATACTCAAATAAAATAACGTAATTAAATCAGAATYAATAAAAATATAATACAATTATTTTATARTTTTTAAACTTTTATATATTATAATAATTTATATAATATTTATTTTTTTTTTTTAAAAATTGAATAATTTTATTGTTAAATATTAATAATTATTTATTAGTAATAATTATGAGAATTAATTTTTATATATAAAAAAATTACTACAATTACTAAAAATATTATTATATAAACATTTAAAAAAWATTTAATCTAATAAAAACATTTATCCAATAATACACTCTATGTTTGTTATATAATATGAGATGTTTTTTATTTATCAAATTAATTAATTAATTGATTGATTGATTTGTTTGGATAACTGTTTCCCAATAAATATTCAATACAATAATTATTATTGTAAACTATTTTTGTTTAAAAAACTAACATATATTTGCTATACTAATAATACACGAAACCTTGAATAATATGTCCACAAAAAAAACTAAATAAAGTTTATTTATGATTAAAATAACTTAAAAATTTTGTACTTAAACATAAAACTTTGTATAAACTATAAAATAAATACCGGTTTTTTAAAAAAAGAAAAAACATTTAGTCAGTAGTGTCGGTGAGGACTATCTAAAGAGGACAGTCGTATAGTTTTTGTTTGTTGTTGAAAATAATAAATTATTTTTATACTAAGTTATCATTTGTAATAATAATACAAAACAATTAGTTTAACCAAAAAAAAAAAAATAAATCATGTCATCAACACTTGAACAACGAAAACAACGGTTACTCCGATTCAAGGGTGCGATGGCTGCTGTCATAACACCCTTTGATCGGAAAGGGTATATAAAAAAATGATATGACTGTCCTAAATAAAAATAAAATAAATCCTATTATTATTTAGTGAATTAGACGTCTCGCAGATCGACCAATACGTTAAGTTTTTGGTGGACAACAAAGTGGACGGCGTCTACATTATCGGCACTACCGGCGAAGGCTATAACCTGACAAACGATGAACGCCTGACAGTAGCCAAAGCCTGGCGCCGGGCGCTGGACAGCCAAAAGGCCGACCTGTTGGCAGTGGTCAACGTTAGCTCCTATTGCGCTAAAGAGGCCCAATTGTTGGCCAAACAAGTCGATAGTCTAGGTTTTGATGCCATTGCCGTATTGCCGGCCAATTACTATCGGCCGGCAAACATCCAGGAATGGGTAGACTATCTGAAACTGTTTTGCAGATCGGCGCCCAATACACCGTTACTCTACTATCATATACCGTCGATGATCGGCGAGTTTAATTGTATGTGTCCTTAATTAAGTCAATAGTTAAATATATAGTATTTATGAAAAAAAACAATTTAAAAATTATTAATTGTATATAAATAACAGTTGATATCGTCGACGCTATCGGTGAAGGTATCAAACAGATACCACAGTTGGCAGCAATGAAGGTATGAATTGATTGGCCAGTTATGAGACATATATCAACTCATCCTCTCTCTCTCTCTCTCTATATATATATATATATATATATATATATATATATATATTTATAGTTTACGGACAACAATGTCGTACGGTTTACACTCATCCAGAAGCGGTACAGCCATTGCTTCAAAGTATTGATCGGTTTCGATGAGGTATTGCTATGATGACCCCTTTACACTCCCTCCACCCCCCCCCCCAAAAAAAAACCTAACTGTTTTTTTTAACCTAACAGATGCTATTGACGGCACTGACATCATTGGCCTGCGATGCCGGTATCTGTGCGCTATTCAACTTACCGGAAGTAGTTGATGCCTACAAAAAACTTGTCGCACACGTTGACCGATCAGATCTGGACAGTGCCCGACGGGAACAGTCGGCAATTGTCGATGAATGTGTCAAACATAAGACTAGTGGCAACTTTTTCCTGTCGATTAAGCAAACGTTTAACTCGATTGTCAAACCCCTGGGCCTTGATTTTGGTTATCCTCGACCACCCATTTCCTATCATTACAATTGGTTATAAAATTTAAATAAATAATGTTTTTTGAATGATTTCAAAAAATGTAAGGAATAATAATAATAATAAATTTTTATGTTTTTTTTGTTATTAATTGATATTTATTTATTTATTTTTTAGTTTATTATTATTATTATTTTAATTTATGGCTTAAAAATTTATAGAAAAATATGTTAGCGCTTGACTTCAATCGGGATAATTGCGGCAAAAATTGTTTATCATCGACAACTAGATTACGGTGCGGACACCAATCAGTCAATGTGGACAATGTATAGGAACAGTAGGTTCTATACCAGTCCTCCGAGTAGTCGGCAGCGGCGGCCGGCAAACAACTCATGTCCACTAATATCCGATGAATGTTAACAATAGCCCGGTTTAGTTCACTGTTATCCGACCAATAAGATCCACGTTTTATTATACTATTTATATTAGTTTATAATTAAATTTTTTTTAAAAAAAAATAATATTTAAAAAATGTAAATTAATTTTTTGTAGCTAGCTTACTTTTTATCCGATAAGTTCATGTCAAAAATTTGTTGGCCAATTACCGATAAACTATATATATCTACTTGAAAATTATTATTATTATTATTATTGCTTATACTATCGTTGATAATATAATCATTCAATTCACTGATCAGACTATAGCCGCCCATCCCATAGTCACCCAATTTGATGAATCGTCCGCCGCTGCCGCTGCCGCTGCTGACCATCGCATCGTTGGCCACAAAAATGTTGTCCACTTTGATGTTGCCGTGAATTATCGGTGGACTCAGTCGACGATGCAAATAGTCTACACATTCTAACAACTCTTTGAATATCTCGGACCAGATATATAACTCTATACTATCCATTGCCTGCTGACCATTGGATGATCGCCGACCGAATACCTGTCCTCTAATATCGAGAATATTACCGAGAGTTTGCCCGAAATATTCCATTTGCAAATAAATACAGTTATCTTCAAATTGTATTTCATAATAGTGTACTAAATAGTTATTATTATCAGCCGATTGTATTTCAAGCAATTTATTTAGCTGTTTATAGACGCTATAAAATTGTTGATTAACTTCTATTAATAAATTAATGATTTATTTTTTTTAGTAAAAAATATTAAAATAATTAAATTAAATTAATTAATATACTATAATATTTACCAGGAAATTGCAATTTTTGTAGCGCATATATCTTTTTGTCTATTAAACATTTGACTTTAGTTATGACTGTACCGTAAGCACCGTTATCATCTAACTTATGACTACCGATGCTAACATCCAGATCCTCGTAGTGTTCACTGTAATCAATTGAATTCCAACGTTTGAAGTTTTTAACTATTAATTTTTTAATATATGATAATAATTAATAATAAACTATCAATTATAATATAATAATAATAAATAATAAACTATTAATTATAATATATATATTTTTTTTTTAATATTATTATAGTTGAAAAAAATTATTAATAAAATATATTATACCATAATTTGTATGATTAGTATTATCGGCAACTGTTGTAATAGTAGTATCAGAGTTATAATCACTACAACTATTATTATTATCTATGATATTATATTTATTATTATTATTACTTTTATCATCAATAATAGTATTGCTATTATAGTCAATAACGACATCACATTCCCGATAATCACACAAATTAATTGTTTTATATGTCAATTGATATTCATGGGCATAAAACTCGGTGAATGACCGATATTTTGTGGCCATTATATCGTTGTTGTTGTTGTTGGTATCCAGTAGTTCATAGACACTGCCATTAGATTTACATATGGCTGCCGTTATGGACAGACAATACTTATAAGATATCAATTGTTGAAGATCTTCAACACGGATATCACTGGACAGTAGTCTAGGTTGAGCCGTCTTTCCAGTGCAGCTCAGGTATTGGCCGCAAACGTATAGCTGATCGTTTGAAGTCATAAAGTAGGTCATCTCACTGGATGGACATACCTTTTTCACTTGAGTTAGTCCAGGAATCAATTGCGGTTCAATTACTATTTCATTTCGGGATATCTGGTGGTGTCCTAATCGGTAACCACTGTTTTGGCCCCAACTGTATACCTGTCCATCCAATGTCTGAGCAAACGACGAATAGATACCGCAATAAACCGATTCAATGGCCAACTGATTATCGGAAAATCGGATTTCTATTGGCTGTAAATGATGTCCAGTTTTATCTAACTGGTCCGGCGCCGCACCTAACTGTCCAAAACGATTACATCCAAAAGCATACAGTTTTCCATCGATGGTCAGCACCAGTATGTGATCGTCACCGCAACTGATTTGCCTTATAGTTAGTGAATCAAAAAAGTCTAGTTTTCGGGGTTTTGTACAAATAGTTTCGTCGGGCTTATCATATCGGCGTCTGTCCTCATATGGAAAATACCAATAATACAGTTTCTGGTCACTGGTTAATGCCAGGCCAAAGGCGAAACCAGTAAAAAATTGTTGAACATTTATCAATGATAACTCGGGTATCAGTTCCGGTATGGGAACAGGTAGCTGATGACCCATAGCCAATGTTGACCACATATTAGATCCGATACCGTAGACCATATCGGTGTCGGTGGCGAACAACAGATTACTACCGGCGCTGTCGTCAAACACATGAAATAATTTGATCTCATGTTTGATATTACTGTCCAATTGTCGACTAATTGTAAACTTATCTAATATTTGGCACATAATACTAATATTATTAATATTAATAATAATTATTATTTTTAAATAAGTTTTTTAATATATATTAATGATTGAATAGTACAGTAGTTTCCAACTATTTTTTACTATAATTTTTATGTATGTTATTTAGTTATAGAAATACTAATTTTAATACTAAAATTAGTCTATATTTTTGTTAATAAAATTGATAAAATGTAAKTGAAAATGWTTTTTTTTTTTTTTTGATTGATGTGTAATATAGTTAATAAAAATATTTAAACATTTTGTTTGTTTGGTATTATTACTATACTATTGAATAGTATATTGTAAATATTTTATTATTTATTGTTTTTAATATAAATCATCATTATCATAATTTGATTAATATGACATTTTTATATTATTATTTATACAGTATATATATATATTTAAACTATTTATTAAAATTTATTAAATATTTTTTTGTTAAATTATTTATTGAATAGATTTATAGTTATTTATTTATTTAAATATCAATATTTARGTATATTAAGGGTGTATTTTAWTATTTTAAAACATTTAGTAAATATATATAATAATTACTATTTTATAAAATAAATAAATAATTAATTAAATGACTTATTAGTGTTTGATAAAATAAAATAAATCCATAGAAACACAATAATAGTCGTATGATATTATATTATATCATTAAAACCAGTTAAGAATGCTAGAAAGCATTTTCAGAAAAAAAACTTGAATAGCATTGAAAACCATTAGTTTGTATAATTATAGCTGCTTTTATAGTAACATATAAAAATTTAAAAACTTCTCAAATATACATAATTTAAATTTTTATCATGTAGGGTATCAAATGACTTGGTATGACAAAATTAACTCAACTATAGTCATGTGAGATATCAAATGTCTCGGTATGACAAAATAAACAACTACTCATGTGTGGTATCAAATGATTTAGTATAACAAAATAAACAAGTATAATTATTTTTTCCCCGCCATTTTTAAAAAATAATGATTTTGATCTATAATACCTTATTTTAGATGGTCTTTACAATTCTAAACGTTAAAATTTTTACCTAAATCTTTTTACTTTGGCCGCCATTTTCTTTGTACGCGAAAAGATAAAAAAAATTTTATGAAATTTTTTTTGCTTGTGTTTTAATGCTTAATTCAAATCTATACTTAAAATTTGTCTTAATTTTTTTTATTTGGCCGCCATTTTCTCTATGTTCCCGAAGAGATATCAAGATTTTAATGCAACTTTTCAATACATTATTAGTAGTCCTCTAACCGAATCTGAAGTCAGAATTTCAAAATTCGCAAAATGAAATGCTACACACAGACAGACAGACAGACAGACAGACAGACAGACAGACAGACAGACAGACAGACAGACAGACAGACAGACAGACAGACAGACAGACAGACAGACAGACAGACAGACAGACAGACAGACAGACAGACAGACAGACAGACAGACAGACAGACAGACAGACAGACAGACAGACAGACAGACAGACAGACAGACAGACAGACAGACAGACAGACAGACAGACAGACAGACAGACAGACAGACAGACAGACAGACAGACAGACAGACAGACAGACAGACAGACAGACTCAAAAAGCCATTATAGATTTCAGTAAACAAAAGTTTTTTTTGAAAATATGATAAAACATTTAATGGGATCAAAGTTTAAGTATAGTAAACAACAATCATTTACAACATTAAGTCATTGAATAATCGTTAAAACATTTTTTGTAATAAAAAAAATATATTTTGTTTTTTTAAATCAATTATAAATTCAATTGATATTTTCATTATTAAAAATTTAAATAGTGATATATTTATATATAAATTTAAAAAAAAAAAATTAATTATGTATGAATAATAAGTTAATTATAATAATAATAATGTATAATTATATGAATTACAAAATAATTAAAATTAAAATTACTATTCAAACATTATTATAATAATAATAATAATGAATAAATATGATAGTGATTTTGAACAACTAACTGAGCTTGGACGTGGATCATTTGGCCTGGTTTATAAAACTAAATGCAAACTAGATAACAAATTTTATGCCATCAAGATAGTTTACTTAGACGGTTTGTTATTTATTATTTTTTAAATTAAACTTTAAAAAATTATTTTAAAAATTTATTTGTTTTTTAAATATATAAATTTATGTATATAGTATACAATGTTTATATATGTTTATGTATACAAAAAAATAGTTATATCTCTAACAGACTAATTTAATTAAATTAATATAATAATTAATAAATATATAATTTTAATTAATATATAATTTGCTAAAATTTATTTCATCCATTAACAATATTACTATTATTTTTAAATATATAAATTTATGTATATAGTATATAATGTTTACTGTATATCCTTCTATCTATCAAATAATTAAATAGTTATATCTATCACAGACTAATTTAATTAAATTAATATAATAATTAATAAATATATAATTTTAATTAATATATAATTTGCTAAAATTTATTTCATCCATTAACAATATTACTATTATTTTTAAATATATAAATTTATGTATATAGTATATAATGTTTACTGTATATCCTTCTTAAATTAATATAATTAATAAATGTTTGTTAAAAGTTTTTAATATTTTTTTTAATTGTACCCAGATTATACGTGTAATATTGAGAATTATGCTGTATTAAACAATTTATATTAACTTAATGTATACATTTTGTATATATAATACTTACAGTAATAATAATAATAATAATAATAATATTGTGATATTATTAATTAAATTTTCAGTAATAGTTTCAAACATTTTTTTAAATCAATTTATTTATTTGATATATTAAATGTGATACAAATAGGAAAACAATATTAATAATAATAACAATTGAATTATTTATAATAAGACTATGTATTTATTTTATTTTTTTGAAAATTTTATTAAATACTCAAATTAAAGTTAAAAATATTATTATAAAAAAAACTATTTCAATCATATTATCATCTATGTGTTAGTTTGAAATGATATTAAAAATTTATAATTATTATTAATTAATAATTAATTATAATAAGAAATCATTTATTATCGATAATAATTTTGATATTAAACATAAATTATACAATAAAATAATTAAAATAATAATAATTTTTATAGAATTATTATCTATGATTTAAAAAAAAAATAATTTTACTATAAATGTTTGTATAATAAAATAAAAWAATAAAAATAATTGATATTATAATACCATAATAATATAATTTAAATATCAATTAAAGTTTTTATTTTTTTTGGGAATAAATCTTATGTTTAGYGGACTTTTTGCCCGATAAACCATTTCAGCGGATGTTTGACACAATCTAACGGTTCAATTGATTCAATTAAAAGTTTTGGCAAACTTTGGCTAATACTATCTTTTCCTCAGTAACTGCAAAMCGTTTACCAATACAACCGCGAGGACCGGCACTGAACGGCACATAATTGTAGGCATTTATTGTTGTCGAGGACGAGGAGGAGGAAGAATTGGTAACCGATTCGAAGCGTTCGGGTCTGAAATGGTTGGGATCGGGAAATACATCCGAATCGTAATGCATTTGTTCAATCATTATGAATACGTCGACACCGGCAGGTWTAACATAATCACCGACCGGACAATCGGCGACCAATCGGCGGGCAATAAACGGTGCCGAAGGATACATACGTAACGATTCTTTCAGWACACACTCCAAGTATGTCATMCGTTGAATGTCTTCGGCAKTGATGTCTCTCTGGTTGTTGATGTCGTCGTCGTCACCAAAAATTRTGGTCAACTCGTCCTGAATCCTATGCTGTACTTCRCGATGCAATCCAAGCAAATACAGAGTCCATCCGAGACTTACCGAAGTAGTGTCGTGTCCKKCAAACATAAAAGTGTCCACTTCTTCGCGTATGTCYTCCAGAGATATGTTGTTGTCTTTGATGTGATAATCGAGTAATAGATCCAGAAATGCCATACTTTTCTTCTTCTTCTTCTTCTTGTTTGTCGAATAATAGATGTTATCATCACTTGTTAACTGATCCGTAGTTTTTGAGTCGTTATTTGAAATAATAAACTGTTGTTTCTTTTGATTGATAACATTGCGKGTAAATGAATGAAGCGTTTGAAGAGATCCCTTAAATTTATGGCCAATCGATGTCCGATAGAATATGATGTCCGACCAAATCCACGGCGAAAACATACGTTTCATAAATATTTCGCCCAAATCRTGAATGGCTGAAACGTATGGCTTATTTTTGCCTACCTGTGCGCCCACTTGTACACCCATTGCTGTTTCTATAGACATTTTAAAAAAAATTAGTATTATTTTCTATTAATATTATTATTTTCTATTATTTTTAATTATTTTCTATTATTTTTAATTATTTTCTATTATTATTATTATTATTATTATTATTATTATTATTATTATTATTATTATTATTATTTTCTATTTTTTTAATTATTTTCTATTTTTTTAATTATTTTCTATTTTTTTTAATTATTTTCTATTATTATTATTATTATTATTATTATTATTATTATTTTCTATTTTTTTAATTATTTTCTATTTTTTTAATTATTTTCTATTTTTTAATTATTTTCTATTATTATTATTATTATTTTCTATTATTATTATTATTACAATTATTTTTATTAATTATATAATTACCGCAAATAATATCCAATGTTAACTGAGCTATCGGTTCCCGGATATCAATATATTGTCTCTGAGATGACATATCTTTGATTTTCTCGACAAATATTGATGTCTGTTCATTGATTAATGGTATAAAACTATCCAATATTTTGAAATGAAATGCCGGTGTCAACAGTTTTCGTCTACCTTTCCATTTAGCACCGGTACTCAACAATAGGCCATCGCCTAACCAATCACTTAGAAATTTATATTGYTCAGATTTTTCAATATTAACATTGCTTGAAAATATAGTCTATTGTATAMAAAAAAATTATTATAATACATATGTTAATATTAAAATTTTTTCAAAATAGTGTTAAAATTATAATTAAATTACAATTTTAAAAAATTATAATATATATATATATATATATATATATATATATATACATTAATGCCAAATTATAAATAAAATTATTTTTAAAATATTATAATAGTAATAGTCATATATATACAATATTACTGTATATATTCAGTATATATAAATTTTTTTAATATAATATATATATATATACATATATATATATATATATATATTATATATATTATATATATTATAATTATTAAAATATAATAATAGATTAGCTAATTATACAGTATTATAGTATAAAGTRTACATACATTTAGTAARTTATGTTTGAATAAAACAATCACTGGTTGTGTTCCCAAAAATATTTTATAAATACCATTAKTTTTATATAGTTTACACAGCGATACTAGTATTTTATAAATACCTATACAATTAAATAAATTTTTTACAAATATTAAACATATATAAATATATATATATTAGAAAAATTTTATTATTAGTTAACATTATTTATTTATMTAAAAAAAACTTACATTCATTGAGAGGAACGCCAGGTATACGAAACAGGTCTAAGTTGCCGATCAACGGGTATCGGGGATCGGGTCCGGGAATTCTGGCCAAACATTGGTCGCGATAACCGTATTTATGTTTGTAATAAACATATAGTAATACTGGAAATATAGTTAAACTAATTGCTAATAAATATTTCARAAACAATACAATAATTGATGYAAACATTGTTTTTGATATAAATAGCAATTAATATTTAAAAAAAATAATAGCAATTATTTCATTTTGTAYACTAATATATGTATTAATTTKGTTTTTTAAAAATAAAATAAACTATTGTAATGAATAATTTTTTTTTGTTGAAAAATTTTTAGTCATTATTTATAAGGTATTTCCATTTGGCGTGGTTCACATATTACGTTCGCATTGAATAAAGCGAACTATTTCTTTAAGAACGTTCGCATTTAGATAATATTTTATTTCTTGTAGTCATTATTTGCGAACGTATTTTTTTTTAATGACTACATGCGAACAATTGCGAACATAGGGGAGGGAGGGGGTTTTCTTAAAAAGTGCGAACGTTTTGAACAAAATATTTTATATAGTATTATACACATTAAATAATTAAGTTTATCATATATATATATGAAACAAAAATTTTTATTGACTTTTATTATTTAGATTATTAATAATACTAAATATTAATCTAAATYATTAGTTTTAWTTWAATGTAAATATTGTTTCATATATATAATTGATAACCAATGAGATAATGATATGACAATTATAATGATATRTAMATTAGGATTCATATATTTGAAATTTTTTTTATACATCAATGATTTTAATACATTTTTTTAGTAATAATAATAATACTCAAAAGTTTTATCATATTTTTATGTATTTATTTTTTTCTAAATACTAATATGAAAAACAATTAGGTTTTTAATTAATAAATTTCAATTATACAAATATATATACAGTACAAACATATGATATAAATGCAATTAAACTTTTTTTTTAAAAAATAATATATTGCTAATTTAAATTAAATTATTAATCATAATAAACTAAAATAAAATTAATTAATTAATATAAGAAAAATTGAGATAAACTAGAAATATATTTAATTAATTTTTTAATTATATTATTATATTTAGCTTTTACAATGAATATATATATATAATTTTTAAACATTTAATTATTGTTATATAATTTATTGTTTGAAAAACTTATTGATTGTAAATTATGTAACAAAATAAAATAAMAATAAATTTTATTAACAAAAATTTATTTACGAGTAAACAAACAAAAAATAAATGTTTCAACAATAACAACAACAACAAGAGATTACAAACCCATGAAAAATAAAATTATACAAAATTTTAATCAAAATAAGAAACTAAAATGAAATAATAAATTTTTGTAAAATAAAATATTTCTGACAAAATATTAAATATGTAAAAAATTATTAATATTTTTTTTTGATTAAAAATAACTACCGGGTAATTTTTTTTAAACATTTAATATTTTTCTATTATATAATTTATAATTATGATAATTATAAACTATAAAATCTAATAWATATATATATATATATATTGTATTTAAAATTTACTAAATTTTTTTTTAWAAATTGGAAGACATTTATTTGAATCACACAATTACCGTATAGACCCGCATATACCCACACACTAGTAAAATAATTAAAGTTTTATTTTTGAATGTATAATTACCCCGCCCCCTATCATATAGCCCCAGTAGAGGGCCTATTTGTGAGATACAGCCCCAATCAACCAAATGTTGATTTTTAAATTTAAAAAAAAATTGTCATCAGGGGGTGGGGGTGTTTAGCTATATACGGGTCTAAATTGAATCTAAAAATATCGTTGAATAAAAAGATACTGTATATTATGGTTATGTTAACAGTGCCCCCCTATAAACTAAATGCTAGCTAACAGTCCTTAAACAACCGTCTCATATCTACCACTCATAATGATAATAGATGGGTGGCCGGGGTAGGCCTACATCGAGGCCCAGATGAGCTACATGTTTGTTGAATGTAGTCTTAATCGAGTGAAAATAGTTGCCCGTCTCCTTGTGCCGGTAGGTTTCCTCCACAATCCGATGCTGTTCCCTGAGTGCACCGTCAATATCWCCCTKRCCGACCAATACAATCATYTKTTTATARGCGGCCACAATATGCGGATAGTTTAACAGTGCAGCGTTACTGGCCAGACATCCAGATGCCAGTGCCGGTACCAGTAACTGAAATTACCGTAAAATTAATTATTATTATTATAATTTAGACAATTAGCTTACGGTAATTGTTTATGTATATATATATATATAAGTCAAACCTCTATATATGCCATAAATATATTTAGTTGATCCCGGTGCTTGTTTAACAATATCATAAATCGTTGAAAATTGGTATCTGCAAACTATATACAATGTATATATAAATTATATGTTATTTGTAATTAAAAAACAATAATTATTAATTAATTAATTAATTAATTAGTTTTTAAATTAGTTTTTAAATTAGTTTTTAAATTAGTTTTTAAATTAGTTTTTAAATTAGTTTTTAAATTAGTTTTTAAAACTTTTCAATTACTTTTAGACCGCAAAACTGCGGGATCTGTTTGAGACCTTCACCGATGGCGTCGACGATATCGACTAAACAGATATAATATATATATATAAAAATATTAGTTAATAATTTGAAAAAAAATAAAATAATTAAATCAAATTGAATTAAATTGATGACAACATTACAGCTCATTTCCCCTATTCTGGTAGCGTTATGATAGTAATAGAGGGGTGTATTGGGCGCTGCCCTAYCAAACGTTTTCATATAGTCTACCCATTCGCCGATTGTTTGTGGCCTATAGTAATTGGGCGGCAATACAGCAATACCATCGAAACCTAACTGTTCAATTTGTTTAGCCAACCCGGTTGATTCTTTCATACAGGTGCTCGAAACATTGACCACTGCCAACAAATGATAAGCCTGTTGGGCATCAATAGCCTGACGCCAGGCCTTAGCCACCGCTAGTCGTTCATCGTTGGTCAGGGAATAGCCTTCGCCAGTGGTTCCCACTATGTATACGCCGTCGACACCACTGTCCAGATAATGCTTAAGATATTTAGGTATTTGCGAGACATCCACTTCCCTAATATATATATATATATAGCATATAAATTATATCATATAATCTATTTTAATAATTAAAATACATATATACTTATCCTTAAATGTCTATTATTTAGTATTATTATTATTATAATTATTTAGTATTATTATTATTATTTAGTATTATTATTATTATAATTATTTAGTATTATTGTTATTTAGTATTATTATTATTTATTATTTATTATTATTATTTAGTATTATTATTATTATTTAAATTTTTAAAAAATTATTTTCAAACATACCCATTGGCATCAAAGGGGGTAAAAGGGGCGGCCATCGCACCCTTGAAATTCAATAATTTTTGTTTCCTCTCGTCAAGTGTTGGCATCTTTTTTTAAATGGCTTTATATTTAAAAAATTAATAAAAAATATTATTTGAATATTTAATTTTGATTAAAAAATAAATAAATAAAATTATTATTAAACATTTACCTATTATTTTTTTTAAAAAAAATTTAAATTAAATTTTGCGGTATATTTAACATACAATATACTGTATATATATAATTATTTTGTATTATTTTTGACGATATATCAATTTACTGTACAATAAATTTAAACAAATTTTATTAAATTTTATTAGTTTTTAAAAAATTGTGAGATATTTATAGTTTATATATGATATATATACTAATTGTATATTAATAGTACCAATTAATTTCATCAGATTTATTAGTTAATGATAAATTTAAAAAAAATTGATTACACTATTTTATCAGTATATTATAATTAGATAGATAAATAAAATTGTTGTATATATATAACTGTTATATTTGATATGATATTTGATAATATTGTGTTATTATTATTACTATTCAAAATGTTTAGCAGCTGCTGCTAAACATGTACTGTATTACCCATACAAAAAAATTAGTTGATTATATGCCCAGTGCAAACTGTACTAGGTAACACAGTAAATACGTACACATATTGCATATTATCTAAATAATTTTTTTTTTGAAAAATAAATAAAACAAATTGTATTATACTATTATATTAATAATATTACTAATAATATGTATAATATATAGTAAAATTACATATTTAATATACAGTATATAGTATGTACTAATAAATTATTATGTAATTTATGTTAAGCATTGTGTAATATAAACTAACATATATATATATATATATATATATATAAATTTATAGTATTGAATAATATGCAATATGTGAACGTATTTACTGTGTTACCAAGGTGCAGTTTGCACTGGGCATATAATCAATTTTATTGTGTATACAGTATATATACAGGGTAGTTTAAATCAAATAAATAAAAAACAGACAATAAATAACCTTTAATTTTAATATCTAAAATTTTTAATTTTGTTTATATATATCATATCAATTTTGATCAATATATATATATATTGATCAAATTATTATATATATATATAAATGTTAGTTTATATTACATAATGCTTAACATAAATTACATAATAATTTATTAGTATATACTATTATATATATATATATATACTGTATATTATAAATGTTAGTATAATACAATTGGTTTATTTATGTTTCTAAAAAAATCTAATAATAGATTAGTTAAAATAAATATTAATTACTATTTAATATATCTAATATATAAATTATGATCTAGCTAATAATAATAATAATAATAATAATAATAAAACTATACTAACCTACCTGTGCTAATGTCTAGGGCCATATCACGCTGAAAGCACCGGTTCTCGTTCGATCACCGAAGTTAAGCAGCGTCGAGCCCGGTTAGTACTTGGGAGGGAGACCACCTGGGAATACCGGGTGTCCTAGACACTTTTTTTTGTTTTATTTTTGTAAAAACATGTTTGTTTTTTTAAAAAATATATAATTAAAAACATTATTATAATTAATAATTACAATAATAAATACTTTAAAAAATTATGTTTATTATCTCATATACGGTATATATATATATATATATATATATATATATTTATATAAAATGTTTTTTAATTTTAATTTTATGTTATATAAAATTTATATAAAATATGGTATAATTTAGCAATTATTGTTTAACATAATAAATCTTGTAATAAATAAATAAAAGTTATTATTATTGCATTTAAATTTACTTTTTTCACCAAATATTGATATAAAATAATTATAAATTAGATAGTTGCTAAAAATACTATTAAATAAAATTAATAAATATAAATTACTAAAAAATAAAAATATTTACTACAAAATTATTATTTAAAAAAAAATTAATTAGAAAGTTATTTAAAAAGCATAAATTATAATATATTTATTAATGTAAAATAATATATTGAAAATTTTATACTTAATGTTTTATTTAATTATTATTTTTTGTTGAAAATTTTATTTATTTAATGCATTAAAAATAACATTAAAAACAGTAAGACATTAACATTAAGTAACATTAAAAATAATTGTTACAAAAAATAGTTGTCAAATATTTTTTTTAAAAATTGTTAACCAATTGTATTGTATTTGAGCTAATAGTTTTATTTAGCCTGATGCTAAACATGACAGCAACTGCACTGGGTGATTTTACAGCACTGGGGGTAATAGCCATCGCAACATCGGGCCCCCTCACACGGCCAACTGCATTGCCAACAATTATTATCCCAACTAAATGAGCCCGACTTTTCATTGGTAGATACATTGGCGGCCAATATGTGTCCTAAAAAAATCAATTAATTAATTATTATATTTAATAAATTAAAAAATAATATTAATTATAATTAATTAAAAAATATTCGGTAAATACCAATAGTATAGGCATTGATATCTTGAACAGTGTTAACAAAGTCAGGACCCATAACAGCACAGTTAGCTAATTATTAATTTATTAATAATAAGTTTTAATAATAAGTTTTAATAATAATTTTTAATAATTAATTTATAAATAATAATTTAAGTAAATTTCATACCATAGGCTACAAAAACAACAAACAAAGTGATGATAGTTATTGAATGCATTACTATAGTTATTATAGTTTTTATTTTTTATTAATTAAAAAAACTAGTAATTATTATTAAATTAAAATTGCAATTAATTTTTTTTTGAGCCAAACATAGTTTATATACTTTTTTTTTGATATAATGTATACTTTTAAATAAAAACAAATATATTGTTTATTATTTAATCAAATACTATAATATTGATATTTGATATAAAAATAATAATAATAATAATATTACAAACATATTATGTAATAATAGAAAAATTAACCTTTATCAATTGTTTTTTTTGTAATCAATAAAAAACAAATAGAGTAAACACCAAAAAACTTTGAAGGTTTTCAAAAAAAAAAATAATAAATAAAATAAATAAATATTATTTTACCGTTAATTATATTTATTTTGTATTATCTTGCTAATTTTTAAAGATATTTGTAATGGAAAATTTTTGTTACTATTAAATTTTTTTGCCTGATAACTTTTAACAATATCAAATATTTTATATTTATTTAAAAAAAGTAATATTAAATATTTAATTACTTAGAATAATAATAAAAAAAATATTTATTGAAATAAGTATTTATAATTAATTAAACTAGTACAAAATTATTATTATAAACAAGTTAATTTTTTTAATTGTTTATACTGATAAATTATTAATTAAATAAATAATATATATATATATCTATTATTTTTTTCATAGATCCTGTTTATAGTCCTAATAAATATTATATTAATATAAAATAATTTATAAACAAATTTATAAATAAATAGTTACTTATGATACTAAATAGTGTATTAAATATAAATATAATTAATAGATATATTAATAGATATAATATTAAATAATTTTAGTAAATTTTCAAAATTAATACAGTAATAAATTATTTTATATTAATATAATATCTATAAATAATTAAGTTTAGTTAATTGTTTAATCATTTAATATAAGTATTCTACAATTGAAACTGTCCGAAATTAAAACAAATTTTAAAGTTAATTTATTCGAAAACTACAAATGATAAAAAATCATAAAATTTACATCTGTTTCATTGATTATCGCCTAATATTTAGGTAAATAAACAATGTCATTTTAAAAAATTTTTCATATGTATTTTTTGCAAAAAAGTAAAAATGACATTTTTTACATCATGTTATAGTTTTAATTGTAATTTGTTTAAACAAATATTTAAAAATACAATTTAAAATTAATCTTAAAGTACACTAACAGGACTATATTTACAACTAACAATAACTTTATATTCAGACTCTTTTATTGTTTTTTAAATTCTTTAAATCACATACTTTTAAATAAAATAAGCATCATAGATTAATTCAATTGTTTTTTTTATTAAAATTTAAATATTAAATATAAACTATTTATTATATATTAGTATATATGTCATTTGATATAATAATTATAAAATTGATAGATATTTTCAATCAAATAATAAAATATGTTGAAATTATCACACATAACGAAAATTTTTTAGTTTTAAGATAAAATTATCTACTTAAATATAAATTTGTTTTTTATAATTCTGCTTATCATTAGTAGATACTTATATACATACTATTCATGAAAGAAAATTAAATATATCTCACTTAAAGAAAAAGTTAGACATAATTTTATAAGATATAGTACATGATTCAGCAAATTACAAAAAGTCATTATATTTATTTTTATATATTTGTCATTAAGAAGAAACAAGCTAGCTCTAACAGTGTGGCATTTAAAGTCAAGTATATTGTTAGACGGATAACATGATAACTTTAGATTTTTAACAATTATATGTAACAATATAATGCTAAACAATTTAGCTTTAGTTCTGACAATTATTTTATTATAAAATTTTAAATATTAATATTAAAATTTTGAAAACTTTTCTGAACAATCATCTAGGCTAATATTATTTAATGAAATATTATCACATTGGAATTTATTATTATAACATTTAAATAATCACTATAATTAAAAAATTTGTTTAGTCAAATTTGAATGTCTTTTACTAAAATGATAATAATTGGTAAAATATAGAAAAACTAAATTCAAATAATTGTAAAATGTAAATATAAATAATCGACCTTTTTTATTTAAAAAGAATCACATTTTTATCTTTATTAGTTGCATCATAATAATAACGTAAAAATTGATGTACTAAAACGGTCATTACTTGTTATATAATGCTTATATATTTTTTTCAATATATATTATTACTAATAATATATATTGAAAAAAATATATTAAATGATTAAACAATTAACTAAACTTAATTATTTACAGTTAAAAAATAAAATAAATTTAATTAAATTTGTTTTAATACAAAAGGCATTATTTATATTATTATTATTATTATTTTAAAAATGTATAATATTTATAAAACAACAAAATTATATATAAAGTTAAAATTAATATTAATAACTGTTAGTAATTAATAGAAAATAATTGTTAGTTAATTTTGTTTGATTGTACAACAAAAACAAAAATAATTAAACTTAAAAAAAATATTATTAGTATTAAAATAAATATGAATATCGCGGCTAAAAAAAATTTGTTTTTCAAAATTAAAATTATAATATTAATAACTGTTAGTAATTAATAGAAAAAAAAAATAATTGTTAGTAATTTTTGTTTGATTTACAACAAAAACAAAAAATAATTAAAATATATTTTTAGTATTAAAATAAATATGAATATCGCGGCTAATAATTAATTTAAATAAAAATTGTTTAAAAATTATTTAATTAATATATTTATTATTTATTTAATATTACTATTACTTAAATACTGTATTATAAAAAAACAATGCCATCTATTGGTTGATATTATTGTTATTATTGCTATTATTATTGCTATTCATTGTATTAAATGTTTTCAAAAACGTCGAGTCATTAATCCGTTTGCAAATAAAAACATCAATTTGTTTAACAAAACAATTTTACCGATCAATCAATTGTTGGCCGCAAACCCGTTAATCCCGTGGACAACACAACACACACACACTCACACAATATGTTTGATACGTTAATCAATGCCGATATGCGACCGGTTGGCCATCATTTTCAGCCGTACGCCGACAACGGCGGGTAAGTTAGAGATTTTTACCGATAAAACTTGTGACCAATTGATTGATTTGTTTTTGTCTGACCCGAAACAGGACTGTTGTTGCACTGGCCGGCCCAGACTTTGTGGTCATTGGTTCCGATACCAGACTGTCGACCGGATTTCAGATCTTGACCCGCGATCAGACAAAACTGTTTGAACTGTACGGTTGTTTGTTACGGGTTGTTACGGGCGGCTAATATATCAATTTAACCGCCCGATAGTTGTCCACTAACTAATGTAAACACTTTTTTTTTGTTATATGTTGATGACCACCACTGTTACCGCCGCCGCCGATTAGGACACCGAAATGTATATTAGGCTCAACCGGCTGCTGGTGCGATATCTTGACCTTTCGGAAAGTACTGGACGCTAGGCTTACGGTAAGTCCAGATCGGATCGGTCGGCCATTTAATAGTTGCTAACACTTCCTAACAATTGAACAGATGTACAGCCAGGACCACAATAAGACAATATCGACGCCAGCGTTGGCCCAATTGTTGTCCAATATGTTGTACAACAAACGCTTTTTTCCGTACTATATAACCAATATTGTTGCCGGTCTGGACACGGATGGTCGCGGCTGTATATTCAGCTACGATCCGGTCGGCCATTGCGAACGCAATACCTATACGGCTGGCGGATCGTCGTCGGCGTTGATTCAGCCACTACTGGACAGTCAGGTTGGCCTCAAGAATCAGGAGGGCGTCCCGGCCCGCGATCTGACTCTCGAATCGGCCAAGAATTTGATTAAAGATGTGTTTATATCGGCCTCCGAACGCGATATCTATTGCGGCGATTCGGTGGACATTCGTATTGTCACTAAAGACGGCATTCAAACCGAAACTATGGCATTGCGTCGCGATTAGCGGCCGGCGGCCGACCGACCAGTTATCGATCACTGGCCTATAGAGTCGGCGTCGGCGACAATATTTGTTGTGTGTTTTTTTTGTGTCTATTTTTTTATTAAGACACCGATAATAAACAATTTCATTATAATTATTATTATTAATACCGTATTTCATATATATTTAGCTATAATTATTAATAAACACAACAAATATTTTACTAAAATTTTCTAATATTTGTATTTTGAAATATTTTTTTTAATTAAATTAATTTATTTAATTAGTAAATTTTTATCACTTATTTTTGTCCCTGTACATATATTGAAATTTTTAAATTTAACTAGATAAGTCGAATATGTATAATATAGATTAGATTAATATTAGTATTATTAGTATTATTATATTTAGTTAGTATATTATTATTATTATATTTAGTTAGTATCTTATTATTATTATATTTAATTAGTATATTATTATCATATTTAAAATTATACAGTAATTAAATAATGGTAATTACTAGAAAAAAAATATAGAGCAACAAAATTAAAAAAAAATAAACCACTGTACCTGCCAGGTTTCGAACCTGGGACCTTCTGTGTGTTAGACAGATGTGATAACCACTACACCACAGGTACTGCTTGATAGTACTGGTATTACAAATAAATTTAATTATATATATTTCTAGTATAAATCAATGCTTTTTATTATTATTATTATTAATACTATTACTTTTAAGTATTATTTAAACTAATTTATTTTTTTTGGGGGGATAAAAAAAATAACAAGTTTTCTATTAAATCTATAAAAAAACTAGTTTTTTTTTATTAATAATTAATTCAATTTCAAAAATCATTTAAAGTATTTTAACAGTTTATTTTCAATCAATGTCCTTAAAAAAAAATCTACTATAAAATATTTTTTTAAAAAATTTTGTTTATACTATGATTTTATCGAAACATTATCAAACAATTAATCTTTTTTTTATATAAAAAAATAATAATAAATAGTTTGATTTTTAATATAAATATATTATTGTTATTACAGTAATATTTATTTTTATTTATCTATTTATTTTAAGTTAATTTCTATTAAATATACAATTTAACAATTTTTTTAATTTAATTTTTTTTTATTATATGCTCCTTTTTTTATTTCAAAAATTAATTAATTATCCAATTTATAATAATTTATTATATATATATATATTAATAATTTTCAGATATTGCATCCAGGGAGATTTGTAAAATTTAATATAAATTAATTATTTACAAATTAAAATTTTCAAATTTATTATATGATATATTGATATATGGGCTTATTTTATACATATATATAGTCTCAATAAACTATATAAGAAAAATAAACTTTTTTTAATACATTATATTTACATTAATAACACTTATCTCTATTATGAAAAATAATTTATAATAGAGTAAATGTACACAGATAACAATTCTATATATATAATCTAGATAATTTTTAAAAAAAAATTTTAATCACAGTTATTTTTTATCATTAGTTTTCTATATTAATTAATTTTTTTTTATTAACTATATTTTTTTTGTGTATATTTATCTAATTTAATATATAATTTTTCATTCTTATGCTTATTAATTATTTTACATTAATTATTATAATAATAATAAAAAAAATACTAATTACTGATTAAGATTCAGTAAATGACATTATTTTTACTGGGGTAGACAAAAAATGTTGAACCGATTGCCGAAAATAAATTTTGTTTGTTAACCTTCCCGGGCGACACCACCAGTGTGTTGATTAATCCAATCGAGATAACGGGAAACTTTGGTAAAAACATCGGGATAGCCGTGTACTGCACAGGGTATGGAAAACGATACGATGCCTATCTGTGTGGCCTTATTGCCAGTGGTCTGTACCAGTGGGCCACCAGAGTCACCCTAATATATATATATATATATATTATCATATGTATATATATCGTATATATCAGACATATTAGTATTAATGTAGTGTATGTGTGTTTCTGTGTGTATGTGTTTGTATATGTGTGTGTGTATATATGTGTATATATGTGTGTATGTGTGTGTATGTGTGTGTATGTGTGTGTATATGAGTGTGTATGTGTTTGAATATGAGTGTGTATGTGTGTGTATATGAGTGTGTATGTGTTTGAATATGAGTGTGTATGTGTGTGTATATGAGTGTGTATGTGTTTGAATATGAGTGTGTATGTGTTTGAATATGAGTGTGTACGTGTGTGTGTGTGTGTGTGTGTGTGTTTGAATATGAGTGTGTATGTGTTTGAATATGAGTGTGTACGTGTGTGTGTGTGTGTGTGTGTGTGTGTGTGTGTGTATGTGTGTGTGTATGTGTATGTTTTGTGTCTAATAAAACGGATAAACCGATTACCGATTACTTACCATACAATTGCCTTTCGGCGCCTGACCGGCGCAAACCTGATTCTGGGTGACGGCTATTACCCGATTGAAGGCATTGCGACAGGTATTATGATCGACAATAGGTATGTCCACTTTGCGCATCAAATCGGGCGATACTCGGGAGTTTTTATTGAGATAACCCCAACCCGATGATGTAGCCATACCAGTGTATTCGGTATTGGCATTGTTTGATAGGCAAACTTTGTTGGCCATTATGGTACCGTCGGTCGATTTGCTAAACTGTATGGGTTCGGCCGTTTGTAACAATGCAATATCATTTTGGCCAGTATTACGATTCCAGCCGTCGTGTACGACAATACGCGAGATGGCTATCATTTGCGGACTACCCGACTGAGTGTTACGCCAGTCAACTGTGCCCAACACTATCCGAATCGAGCCGGGAGTATACGTATATTTCATACTAGTTTTATATATATATATATTGATATTTAATATATATTAAACACATAATATGGACGGACGGACATACCTTTCCACACAATGAGCTGCCGTTAGTATCCAATGTTCGCTGATTATAGATCCGCCGCAAAAGTGTTGCCACCGGCCAGTTGTTACTGATGGAGATCCCGGTGCCGGTGCCGGTTGAAGTGGTGGACGAGGATGTGGCTGTTGGACGGGTGGCGGCTGGGGTTGGGCTGCTGCTGGTGGTGGTGGTGGTGGTGGGAATGTCGGTGCTGATGTGGCAGCCGATTGTGCTGGCGGCAACTGTTGTACAGGTTTGGCAGGTAGTCCACCAGGTGGATAGGGTACGGGTCGACTGGTCGGCGGTGTTGGCCAACCACCTGGCGGAGTCGGCCTTACGGGTAGCGTATGCAATACCGGTTGCGACCAATGAGCGCCTGGCTGTTGCTGCTGGACGCCTCCCCACGAACCGGGCGATGGCCACGAACCCGGACCGGGCACCCATTGACGGCCGGGCATACGTGAGCCGGGTTGCCGCTGCATACTGACCTGCCAGGGAAACTCGCCTAAGTTGGCATTAATACCGCCAACAATACGATCGGTAAATACATGGGTAAACTGTCCGCACTCTAGACATACTGTATGTGTCGACAAATATATAAATATATAATATATATAATAAATAAATTTAACAATTAATTAACTAAAAAATAATTTGAGATCACAATATAATTAATAATAAATTTTTTTGTTGTTTAAAACAAACAAATTTAGAAATATATTTATTAATTATAGATAATAATAATAATAATAATAATAATAATAATAACCTGAGATCTTTATTAATGATAATGTAATTATTAATAATAATAATGAAAACTTGATAAAAATCATAGTATTTTTTTTTATTTGATTGTTGATAACGTTTAATGAATTAATTTTATTTAATAAATATTTTTTTCAAAAAAAAAATAATAACAGATAAACTTATGGACGTATTGTAGATATTTGTCAATTGTTTTCAACAAATACTTCATTCAGATATACCAACAAAAACAATAAAAAAAAATAATACTAAGAAACACAATAACACAATAGATATGATATTTTTTTTTAAATTACAAAAAAAATTGAAATTAAATCACATTTGATTTGAATCCCATATATTTATAGGGAAATCAAATTAAGGACACGAAAAAATAAATAAATTAATTATACAAATAAAAATCACTTTCACTACTACTACTACTACTACTACTACTACTATACTACTACTACTAATAATAATTTTATGATTAGTCTGTATGTCTAGCAATTACCTCACAATCATCCCCGTCCTATAAAATAAATTTCCGATTAATAATAATATTTATTTATATTATCATATTTAAATAAAAAATAAATAAAATAATAATTAATAAATAAAACAAAATAAAATTTTTAAAAAAATTCACACCAAATCAATGCTAAGCAATTGTTTATCATATGTTTAATCATATAATTTAGTATCCTGTAGATGAGTAATAATAATTTATAATTATTATTATTATTATATTAGTATATATATATATTAGTGTATATATTAGTATATATATATTAGTGTATATATATATTAGTGTATATATTAGTATATATATATTAGTGTATATATATATTAGTGTATATATTAGTGTATGTCTACAAATACAAGTATGATATTATTATTATTATTAATTAATTAATTGTGTAATTAGATCACCAGTAAAATTGTTATAAAACAAAAAATACTTAACCAATTAAATATATAAATTGGTGTCATTATTATTAGTTTTTTTTTGATAATATACTGTATTTATTTATGTTATATATATATATATAAATTCATAAATAATTTGATTTATTATATCTTTATATTTTAAAACAAACAATAAAAATATATATTTGTTTTTTTAACTCTCACTTTAGTTAACTTTAATTTATATATTTTTATTTGACTAAAAAATTAATATAAAATATTTTWAAAAAATAAGATATTATTTAAAATCTTCAATATATATATATATTTCATTGTATTTTATTTACTAATGCTAATTAAAACTGTAAAAATAAATTACAATATTAATTAATTAAAAAGAAACTATTATCATAAATTTTTAAAAAATAAAATTAATATATCACATGATTATCAGTAATAATTAAAAATTTATATTTAATTAAAAAATGCTGGTATAATTTTTTTATTGATATTATGCAGGCATTTATTATTATTATTATTATATATATATATTTATTTATATAATTTTTATATTACTATTGAATTTTTTTCCCATTCACATGACTTAATAAAACAAATATTATTATAGTCTGTATTTATAAACATAATATTTTGTTTGTTTTTTAAATATTTTTTTATAGTTATTGATAAATAATGTGAAATATATATATATTAATAGATTTAATAGATTAAACCTTTAGTATATATTGTATACAATATGTATAGTAAAAATAAATTGTAATACATTGTAAATATCATATGATAAACATAAATACTAATTATTATTATTTTTAAATACTATAAAAAACATTATACAAATTAAATAATGTATAATATTTGATATTTTTTTATTGTTTTATTATGTAGTGATATATTAACAGATTAAACAATAATAATTTTTTTATATAAATTATTGTTATATAAAATATTTATATAAATATAATATTTTAGTAATTAAAGGATTGAAAGTTTTATTTTTTTAAAAATAATAATTTTTAATTATTAATTAATATATTGATATATAATTTTCTATTAATATAATTAATATATTATAAGTTATTAACAGTTTTTTTTAAAATCCTATACTATTTTGTTTTATGAATTTATGTTTAAAAAATGTGATTTATTTATAATTACTATTATTATTATTTCACTACTAAAAAAATTAATTATTCAATTACATAATATTTAAGCACATTTGACATAATTTATATATATATATAAGTGTCACCCAAAAAATAATTGTCAATCAAAAACCTTTAAGCGTAAAATATAATCAATTGATTACATCTATAAACAAAACAAACAAAATTATTGATAACTTTATGTGACTAAACATTGATATTTTTATTTTAAATTTAATTGATTATAATATCTAAAATAATTATTATTATTTTTTTAAATATGTCAATATTATAGTATTTAGACTAAAACAAAACAAAAATAAAATAAATAAAAAACTTTCATATTATTATAACTTTAATTTTAAATATATCTCATTAATTATTTTATGATTCAATATATTTATATACAGTATATGTATTGAATCATAAATTTATAATTAAATGAAATATTTAAATATTATTAAAGTTATAAAAAATATGAATGTTTTTATTATATATTTTATGTTATGTTTAAAAATAAATAATACAATATATTTGATATATATTTTTATTGATATATTTTTTTCACCCAATAAATTGAGATTACATTTAGAGAGAGAGAAAAAAAAACAAAACAAAACAAAATATTTTTCACTACAAAAAAACTAATTTTTTTTTTTTTTGATGAATATTCCTTTAAAATTAGAAATTTTCTCGGATTTTATTCATAGAAATTTCCTAAGCGTTAGGTATGCGACCAAAAATAGTTGTTTGCAATCAATCTTTGGCGGCTCAGCCGCCGCCGCCGCCACACTGTTTGATGGGGGGTTAGGTTGAGTACTACTACTACTACCGGTGCTACTACTATCGGTCGCTTGTTGAATATTGCGGGTTTCAACTGTGGAAACCGTTTGGTTGTTGTTAGTATCGGTAACATGGGTTGTCGTATGGCCACCAACAGTTGTCGGTTGATCGGTTAGTTTGTTTAGATTCAACATCGACGGCCAGTCGACTTTGGGCGGATCATTTGGATTGAACATCATATACTGATCTTTGGCCGGTCTGGTGGCCGCCGCCGCCACATCCCTGGCCACTCGATTGTTTGTCGGCTGACGACTGTCCGCTGCTGTTGTTTGTTTAGATGGTTGTTGTCGACCGACAGTTGATCCCTTGAGATGATTGTCCATCACTGCTGGCTGGTTATCATCATTGTTTGTTTGCCAATCAATATTTGGTAGCATATAATTATTTAGTGATAATCTATGGCTAACTATTGGTACCGCACCGGTAGCTACTGTCAAATACCAACTGTTTTCTATTAATAGCGTAACGTTCAAAATGCTAACATATAGTACTACTACTATTACCGATAGTTTATTATTATTATTATTATATCTAATCATAATTGATATAATTAAAAAATAATTATTTGAGTTAAATATCTGATTATTATTATTATTGATTATTGATTTTTTTATTTGAAAAATTGAATTTTATATATGCGCGCTATTTTATTAAACTATACAATTATTGTTAAAATAATATTATAATATTAATATAAAATAAACTTAATTATTTTATAAACTATTTATATATACAGTATAAATCATAAATCTATAACTAAAATATTATTATAATAAGTCAAATAATAACATACAGTTATAAATGATTAAAAATAAAAATAATAAATTTCAAACAATACTGTAATCATCTTATATACTATAGTCAATAGATATATTAATAGTTATTTTTTGAAAATAATCAGAAAATAATTAATAATAATAATAATAATAATCTATTATAAAATATTATTAACAAATTAATAATAATACTATTTTTAACTAATTAAAATTTATTAAATAGATAATAATAATAATAATAAATTAGTAATAGTATAATATATATATATATACAACTAATACTTATCTAAAAAAAATAATACTAACTTTTATATTAAAACTTTTCAGTTAATATTATTAAAGTGTTAAATTAATATCTGATAAATAAAATTTTTATTTGAAAAAATTCCATAATTTACTATTATTTTATCAAATTAAGTATTATTTTTGTTGTTGTTGTTGTTGTTGTTGTTAGTTATTTGTATTAAACCCTCTAATAAACTATATTAAAAATTTAGTGGTACTGTACCAGTATATACCAATTAAAAACAAATTTACACTAAATATATATATATATATATATATATTAATTATATATATATATATATATTCAATATATACTTTACATATTTGTACTAAAATTTATTAAATACATTGAATAGAAATTTATTTATTTCCAAAAATATAGTAAACACGTGTTTGAAAAAAATAACTATAATTTTTTTTATTAATAATTTTTAATAATAATAATAAACTTTTTTATATATATATATACTAATACTAGACAAGTAGTCCTAGTTATACACTAGATGTTAAAGTCTAGACATATTTAAAGCACCTATAGATTAGTTATAAATTTAGTAGTAGTAGTCATCAAAATCATTATGAGAAGCGCTTCCCAAATGGCCAAACGGTTTTACCGATCGGAATCCGAGGTCCAATCGGAACACAGCAGCGAATACTTGGACTCGGGCCGTAAGGCACGGCTGGAAAATCGCTGGGTATTCGAAATGTCTACCGAAGTGGCCAACAAAGTGGGCGGTATTTACACTGTTATCCGATCAAAGTCGCAGATCAGCTGCAAAGAATTGGGCGACCAATACTTTCTGGTCGGTCAGTATAACCACGGGATGGCCGGTAATACGGAAGTGGAAATCAGCGATCGGCCACCGGAACACATCAGCGATGTCCTGGAGGCAGTCGCCCGTCAGGGCATACGTGTCGTATACGGCCACTGGCTTATCGACGGCTGTCCGCAAGTGTTGCTCGTCGACTACGGATCGGTTGCCTCCTGGAAACTGGACGAATGGAAACACGACTTCTGGAACGTGTGCAACATTGGCATACCCGTCGGCGATCGGGAGGCCAACGATTCAATTATTTTCGGTTACAGTGTAGTCACACTGTTGGACGAGTTTTACAAACGCATGGACAGCGATGGGTCGTCGTCGCCGCTGCCGCTAATGTTGGCCCACTTTCACGAATGGATGACCGGTGTCGGTCTGATTATGTGTCGGATCAGGCACCTGGACGTGGCCACCGTATTCACTACACACGCAACATTGCTGGGCCGATACCTGTGCGCCGCCAGTATCGACTTCTATAACAATTTGCAACACTTCCAGTTGGATGCCGAAGCCGGCCGCCGGCAGATCTACCATCGATACTGTCTGGAACGGGCGGCCGCCCATTCGGCGCACGTTTTTACCACCGTTTCGGAAATTACATCCCTGGAGGCCCAGTATCTGCTGAAACGTCGACCGTGTATAGTAACGCCCAACGGTTTGTCCGTCAAGTCGGCCATCGCTGGTCACGAATTCCAGAATCGGCACACATCGAGCAAAGAGCTGATCCACGACTTTGTTAGGGGACACTTCTTCGGCCACTATGACTTTGATCTCCAGAAAACGCTATACTTTTTCATCAGTGGCCGCTACGAGTTCGGCAACAAAGGAGCCGATATGTTCATCGAATCGCTGGCCAGACTTAATCATCAGTTAAAGTCGACGGGCAGTGACGTAACGGTTGTGGCGTTTTTCATATTTCCGGCCGTAACCAACAGCTATAACATTGAATCGCTGCGCGGTCAGGCAGTGGCCAAACAGCTGCGCGAAACTATCGGCGAACTGCAGGTCAACTTCGGCAAACGATTGTTCGACAAGTGTCTCGGCGGTCGTGTACCCGATCTGCAGGAACTGGTCAACCAATCGGATATTGTTAAACTCAAGCGTTGTATATATGCATCGCAGCGATCATCGCTGCCACCGATCAGTACACACAATATGGTCGACGATCATACGGATCCTGTCCTCAGTCACATCCGCCGATGCCGACTGTTCAACGATCGGTCAGATCGGGTAAAAGTCATATTTCACGGCGACTTTCTGTCGCCAACGAGTCCATTGTTTAGCATCGACTACGAAGACTTTGTTCGCGGCTGTAATTTAGGTGTCTTTCCCTCCTATTACGAACCCTGGGGCTATACACCAGCCGAATGTACCGTTTGGGGTATACCGTCGGTTACATCCAATCTATCGGGTTTTGGCTGTTTTATCAGCGAACACGTAGCCGATCCGATGGCCTACGGTATCTATATTGTTGATCGCCGATCGAAAAATTGCGAACAATCGGTCCAAGAGTTGACACAATATATGTACGACTTTACCACACTATCCGATAGGCAACGATGTATACAACGTAACCGTACCGATCGGTTGAACGATTTGTTGGACTGGAAACATCTGAGTGCCTACTATAGAGTGGCCAGAAATCTGGCCCTACATCGGCTACACCCGGATGTAATCATTGACACCGCGGAGGAGGAGGAGGAGGACACTGACCGGCCGAATAGGGAAATGTGCTATTATTCGCGTCCGTTGTCCGAACCGGGAACCAGTGTTACCAGTGCTGGTGGTGGTGCCGATAGTACTAGTGGTGATGAGGACGGACAGGTAGTGGCCAAAAATACTGATGAAAATCATAACGGCTATGTATTAGATAAATATATACAGTCAGCACCAGCAGCGCAACGTACCGGTGCTTCAATCAATATGTGATTCAAATATATATGTGTTTTAATAATATATTAAATCATTGATTGGTTTGAATTTTTTTATATATAAAAATTATTTTTATCTCAACCGAAAAAAAAGTTATTTACTAATTATTTGTATATTTAATTTAAGTAATTGTCAGTATTTTTTTTAAATATTTAATATAATTAATTAATAGGTTTTAAAATGTAGTTATTTTTTGTTGTTGTTTAAATAATTTAATAGATTAATTAACAACTTTTTTATTAATAAAAATAAAATAATATTTACTAATTATTTGTATATTTAATTAAGTAATTGTCAGTATTTTTTTTTAGTTATTATTATTATTTAATATAATTAATAGTAGGTTTTAAAATGTATTTTTTTTTGTTGAAATAATTTAATAGATTAATAAATAACTCTTTTATTAATAAATAAAAATAATATTGATTTTTAAATAAACATTAGTACTATAATTTTTTTATTTAATTATAATTATCTAATAAAAATTAATTAATAATATTATTACTACCGGTTATATATATACTGTAGATTAATATAATTTAGTCATATAAAAAATTATTTAAAAAAAATATTATGCATTTTAACATTATCTATAATATTACATAAAAATATACTGCATATTAGTATTAAAAAAATAAATACCTGAATAAAAATATCATTTAAATTTCAAGTTCAATGTTTGTTTTTGTTTAACTTTTATTATTCATAAAATATTAAAAACAATAAAACTATTAAAAATAAATTATTAAAAATTATATGACTCCAGTGTATTGAATAATTTATAAATATAATTTATCTATGAATAAGGTTAGCATACAATAGACTATACTGTATATATCATTAAAAAGTATCGTAAATTAAGACAAAATTTTCCATAATATAAAATCAATGAAAATTTTTATATTTATAGTAAACAGTAAACAGTAAAATGTTTTAAAAAATATTTTATTAAATTCATTAAAAAAATACTGAATATAATACAATACATAAAATTAAAAAAAAATATTCAATAGTAATATTTTTCAGTAAAAATAAAAGCATATATTATTAAGAAAAATAGAAATATTTATTTTTTTGTGTGTTTTTAATTATAACTACTTATTATTATTTTGTTTAGTATTAGTATTATTTAGTAAAGAGAGAGAAAAAAAATTATTAATAATAAATAAATTGCATTTACAATAATAATAAATAATTTTTATTATTTTTGTTTAGTTTACTTCAAACTAATATTATATTAGACATTATTAAACAATTAATTTCTAACATAAGTATATAACAACAACAAAAAAGTGTGATGACATCAAAGTGTCACCAATGTAATTTATTAAATTAAATATATATATATATATAGTTAATTGTATAACTGTGTACTGTAATGGTAATAATGCACAGGTATGTGAAAAACTATAACTGAAAATTGATGTCTTGTATATATGTCTGCACCTGTATATTGTCTATAATTATTGAGTTTTTTTTTGTATTCAATACTAATGTATTTTTTATATAGATTTCATCGGTAAAGTCACGATATATTAGAGTAAAAGTAGTTATTATTAATATATATTTATATACTATATATATATATATATATATATATATATATTCAATAGTTCATTGTATGGGGAAATGTAGTTAAAAAATATATCATATATATTAATATATATTATTTTTTGTTATATAATAAATATATTAAGTTATCTAATCGTTTATTTTTAGTCTAAATAAGATTTATTAATTTTTTTTAATTATAAAAAATGTAATTATATTAAGTGCATACTTTTTATAAATAAAAACAACAACAAAAAATAATTATATTTAAAATAATTATAAAACATAACAATCAAACATAAGATATTATTATTATTATTATTATTATTATTATTATTGTATTTGTTATTTTGTAATTAATGAAGTTATTTATACTATATATAATATTTTTTATATATATTGAATAATATTTTTTTTTATTAAATAATAAGTGGATTTATAAGTTTTTTAATAGATTGACAGTAAAAGTGATTGATTTATACATTGTTTTATTTATGAGTTATTTTAAACAAAATAAATTATTATAAAAATACTAATAAAAATATAATCGGATTTATTTAAAATAAATTTTAATGTATTATGTTTGCGATATTTGAATTTTGATAATTATGCTATTTTATACAAAACATAAACAGGTAATTATTATTATTATTATTTTTATCGAAAAAATATTTTGTAATAATATTTTTCTGAATCTATTAATTATTTTTTTAATTAATATTTATAATTATTTAAATTCAGAAACATTATATTCAAATGTTAAATAATGTTATTAGTAAATAATTTTTACAATTTATTTAACATTAAAAAAACATTTTCTTTTGCATTTATTAAACATTGATTTTAAACCACTATATAAACTAATGTATATTATATGATAAATTGATAAACTTTACAATTTTATTTAAAAAATGAGATTGCACATTTGAACCTAGTACAAATTAAATTAGTATGCATGATTTTTATTATTAATTATTGTTTAATATAAATTATTATCACAAGTTATAATTATTATTTAAAAAAAAATTAAAAATAAATTAGTAATGTTATACTGTATATCATATGTATCATAAAGTTATCAAATGATATACTACTTATAGTTAAATAACTAATTAAATAAATCACTGAATATTTAGCAGCTATTGATATAATACTATACAAACAAAAAATCAAATATTAATTTCAATATCAATAATTAAAATTAAATAAAATCTATAATCTATTTATTAAAAAATATGTTCAACTAATTCATATTTAAAATAATAAATTTTTTATTATTATTAACTACATTAAAGATTATTGTGATTTTTATAAAAAATTAAAATATTTATAGTATATAAAAAATATAGTAATTTTATTGTTAAACAATTTTTTTAAATAAATAAATAATTTTTATTTATATAAAAAAATTACAATTTAATTGATTGAAACAATTTATTTAAATTATATGATAAACAAGTCTAGTTAGTTTACTAGTAAACAACTAATTGTAATTCGTGCAAGTTTATTTTTTTGCAAAAAAATCAGAAAAATAATTGAGAAATTTCTAGAAAATTTCTAATAAAAATTTTTCTATCTGTGTTAATTTTGTATAAAAAAATACATTATAATTATAAGTAATAAATAAAAATTAAATCTGTTTTAATAACATTAAACTAAATATATAATTAAATAATGAATAATTAAAAAAAAAATAAAACTTATAATAATTATTATTTATTTTGAATATATTAGTATATATAGAGATCCCATTTGTATAGTAGTATAATATATATATATATATTATAATACAGTATAATATGTAATCTGTAATTTTCACTAATATATTATTACAATAGCTATATATATGGGGGGATCTTATAGAATAATAATAATATTTACTAGAAATTTTCAATTATATATTAAAAATTATGGTTTATATTACTATTTAACGGAGTTATTAATCTAGAGTCTAGACATTAATAGAAAAAAAATAAAATAAAAAATATTATTAAACTAAATATTTTTAGTAAAGAATGTACTCTTGAGTTAAGTTAAAAAAATTTAAATTGTTTTTTATTAAATAAATTGTTTGTTATTTTTTTGATAATTGTCTACACGTGTAGTAAATATATATATATATATTTTTTTTTATTTCATGGATGTTTCACTAGTGACACGCAAATGTTATATTAATATAATTTAGATTGAAATTGTTTATAAAAATTAACTTTATATAAAACAAATTAATGTTTTATAATATCTAAGCTAATAGTGTTTTATTTATATTGTATGTGTATATTGTATGTATTGTATATATATTACTACTATATACAGTATACTGTATATAGTTTAGGATATATTATAGTAAATAATTGACAAATAATAGCAAAAAAAATTAATGTTAAATAAGATATTACAGTAGTATAATATATTGTATTATATAATATATAAGATTATACAATGATATTAGTTGTACAATATATATATAAATATATATATATATATATATATATATATATATTGAATTTTATGTTTATGGGTCACTTATAAAATAACTATAGTTATATATATATATAAATCATTTAACTATTTTATATTTATTAAAAATAAATTGTATAACAAGGTCTTTTAATTAAATTTAATGTGATTTTTTCAAAAAATAAATAATTTATTTTCATTTAAAAAATATATATACATTGCTTACAGTGTATTACTTACAATAACACATTAAACGTCAATTGAATTGAATTAGAGTTAAATAGTATGTCATAACATAAGTTTAAACAATAATTTAAAGTTTAATCAAAAAATATTTATATATAAAAAAATTTCCTAAAAAATATATATATCACTAATATTTTTTTTGTGTCATTGTTTTCCCAATATATTTATTAATATTGAATATTATATATTAAGATATGATTTATAATTTTGACTAATATTTTGTTAGAATAAATAATTTCTTAAATTTTTCAAAAATTATTTATAAACATATATATATATATATATATATATATATATATATATATATTATAATATAAAATGATTTTTATATAATTAATGTTTAAATTTCTAGCATTATTTTCAATATATGATTTTGCATAAATAAAATAATGTGAAATATTTTTTTTATATATATTAAAATATTTATTATCTACTAACAATTTTTTAGTAGTATTTAAATTTTGTTAAATAAAATTATCTTGAACAATTTTTAATTTGATTATTTGATTTATTCACAACATTTTTATTATGTTATTTGTATTGATTATAATATTATTATAATAATTATAATAACTGTTTGTTTAGATTTGATTTGTTAATGACAATGAAAATTATATATCATTTATATTTTTATTATTATTATTATGATATTAAATTAATTATTATTCATCATTATTAAAGTATTAATTTGAATGACATCATAATGCATTTTAAACAAAAAAATTTTTTAGTAATAAATTTTTTTTATAAAAATATAAATCAAAATATAATAATGATATTCAAAAAAATACAATATTATTTCTACATATATATATATATTTGTTTGTTATATTACCTTGAAAATTTCAACTTTTTTCAAATTTTAAAAATTAAGTTATCCAACAAAACATTAATAATTATTATTATGTATTAAATGTATTAATAACTAAAAAAATTGTTTTTAAAAATTATTTGATAATCAAAAATAAATAAATAATAATTATAATTTAATTAGTTATTATGCAGTTATTAATGGTATATATTATATATACTGTAGTATTAATAGTATTAATAATGATATAATTATAATTATAAATTTAGTGTAGGAGAGAGAGAGAGACAGCTATATATACATATATATATATATATATAGAGAGAGAGAGAGAGAGAGAGAGAGAGAAAGAGAGACTAAAATTAAAATCCAGTTTTGGACAGTTATTACGATAATATAATATATTATATGTAATCAAATATTAATTAAAATGCACAGTTAGCTATCAAAAACAACTACACCAACAAAAAATCACTAATAAATTATGTGTGCAATAGATTATATCAACTTTTTTTTGTTAGTTTGTTTGTTACTATAATTACTACTAATATTGTATTTATTTTTATTTGATTTTTTGAATCAAATCTCTGCATAATATAACCAAAATTCAAGGATTATTTAATACTAAATATATATATTATATTATATATCAAATGTGATGTTGAATAATAAGTTTAGTTTTGATTATTAGTAATTTTTTTTTGGTCCAAAAATTATTATATTTTATTTATACAATTTTGTAATAGTATTACACAAAAAAAAAAATTAAGTCCTAATCAAATACATAAAAGCTAGTATACAGTAGTTTATATACAGTATTAGTAACCTATAAAATATAACCAAAAAAAAATCAAAATTTATTTAATTTATTATAATTATTATTAATGAATAAATTAAATMTCTCTCTCTCTCTCTCTCTCTCTCTCTCTCTCTCTCTCTCTCTCTCTCTCTCTCTCTCTCTCTCTCTCTCTCTCTYTCTYTCTATTTGCTCGCTCACTGTCTAAATGTCTTAAAAATTATTTATCCTTGAAATATAGTGACAAAWTMATATATATATATATATATATAATATACAAAAAAATACAATTATACAATATATACCACATGTTAACTCATGACTTGTTAAATAATTTTACTACTAATATAGTATTATTWTTTATATTATTATTATTAGTAGTAGTAGTAATAGTATTATTACAAATAACTACTACTAATTAAATTCATAACTATTATCAGTATATATATATATATATATATATATATATAGTATAGACTAAAAACCAATCCAAGTTGTTATCGCTAAACATTTCAAACTTAAATATACTGTATTTTTGTTGTGTGTATATATATATAGATTTTTATAGATTTAAGTACAGTATATATAAATATATAGATATATATATATAGATATATATATATAGATATATATATATATAGATATACAGTATATAAATATTTATTAATTTTTATAAAWAATATAACTTCAAACCAATCCTTTATATTTTAACTCTCATCAGACAATAATTTTATGTATATATAAATAAAGACATAAAATATTATTTCTATATATATTTTTAGTRTATTTTTTTACAACAAAAAAAACTTATTTATTTATTATCTGTCATTTGTGTGCAAATAATTCATTAATTTTTTATTCAGATATTGTTTTAATAAATAAATATATATAAATTGTGTTGTATYTAATGACCACCTGATAAAACTATAAATAATATTATTATTATTAATTTTTTGTGTGTGAAAATATTTCCAATAAATTATCCATAATTTATATTATTATTATTATTATTACTAAAAAAATTATTTAAATTATTTTTTTTAATTTTTAAAATGAGTGAAAACGAATGTATAGAAAGTTTTCTACCGAAAAACAGTAAGTAATTGATATTTTTTTTAAAAATATTTATTTTATTATAAAATTAAAAAAATAAATAAAATAAGTTATAATTAACAACAAAAAATTATAATAATATTTTTTCAATTATATATCTAAACATTGTTTTTGAAATTAATTAAAAATATTGTTAAAAATATTAGTTGAAAAACAATTGGAAAATTTATTTTTCCAATTATTTATCAAATTTTTTTTTGTTTTGTTTGTTTTTGTAAGAAAATAATTAATAGACTATTGTATGCAAACTATTTACAATAATAATTGATATATTAAATTATATAATATATTATTAGTGTATAGTAAACAAACTTTATATTTATGTACATATAAATAACAAACATTAAATATATTATGTAATAATAATAATAATTAATATATAAATTATRTATTATTATTATTATAAATACATAATAATAATTGWCTGGAAAAGTGTTGACAATAAATTAGAAAATTATTACATAAAATGTCATAAATTAATAAAAACATATTAAATATTATTAGTAGTATTTTTTAATAAAATTARAATTAAATAATTAAARTTAAAAATGTTTTTGGATAAGTTTAAAAATTGTTTTATTGTATAATTATTTTTTTTAATATAAATTATCCAAAAATTAGATTATCATTATTATTATGTATATTATATACTGTATATAACATATTTAAATATTTAATTAATAATTTTATTAGAAATTTTATTATTTTTTTATGTGATAGACATTTAATAGTTTAGCAATTAATTGATACTGAATTTATGTGATTAAAAATATTTTATTATACAATGATATACAGTATTTTAAATATTTTTATCATAAAAATTCAAATAAAGACTAATTGCAATTAATTAATAATTGTCAAATAATTGAAATTAATTAGAAATTAATTTTTTAAATAAATAATTTATTTTATGATCCAATTAGTAGTAGTAGTTTATATTTAAATCTAAATTAATTAATTAAAAAAATATAATTGTGTGAAATAATTAAAATAAATTTGTTTCAAATTAATACCAACAAACAAACAAAAAMRGWTTATTTATAATACAAATAATAATTATWTATATACAATATATATATATATATTAWATCAAATTAGTTGTAYAATATTTATCATTTAATTTCAATTAAAGTATGTTTTTATTTTATTTATATAKWTTACTGCTATTTATTAAATAATTAAATTTTTTAAAATTAAAAAAAAATAATACAATTTATTTTCCAAAAAAATATATGTTAAATATATAAATTAAATATAAATTAAAATATATAAAAAAATATGTAATATTGMAATGATTTATTGKGATAATATTTATTTGAAACATACCTGTATAAAATTTTTTTTTTAATTTTAARCACATGTAAACTTTTTATTTTTTTAAAAATATTTTTATTTTAGTAAGATTATTTATCTATTTAGATTTTATCAGCTAGTTAACCATGCTAAAATAATTTATAATTTATGTATTATGTAATAAATAATAAATCTGTCAACTTTTAACTACTGTATTTACTTTATATAAACACATTAATTATAATTGAATATACAGTATATACTTATTAATTAAATTTATTATTATTATCTATGGAAAAAAATATTTTTCAAATTTATTACTATCTATTAGTTATATTAGTTAATTAATGGATAGAAATATATTTAAATATTGAAAAAAATTTTAATAMTATTAACTACTATCTGTCATAATAATAATAATAATAATAATCATATTTAGCAATTGTAATGCAAACTGTTTTTTCAAAGTCAAAGTCAAGTGCACACACACATACATATACACACATACATATACAYACATACAAATGCACACATACATATAYACACACACACACACAMACATACATACATACACATACACACACATACATACAWACACACAAAYACAYATACACACASATACACACACATACATATACACACAWACACACACATACATATACATACATACAAACACACACTCACACATATACACACATAAAATATATAATACAAGTTAATTATAATCAATAATATTATACGGCCTGTTCCCCTTCAATGAGAAAACTAACCAAATAAACTACACGTACATTGACTATGGGCTCATAATTTACTGTCAAAAAAATATATATATATATAATATTAATATACAGTATTTAACCGGTAAAAGTATATCATTAAAGTGACACATATCTAAATTGTACCATTAGATAGTGACGACTACATTATAAACTTAAATATATATATATTTTTATTTAAGTGATTAAGTGATGTGAAGTCGTGTTTCACACTTTTTTTTTGCTAAAAACTATTTTACTTATAATAAGGTGAGTGTGTGTATATGTATATATATATGTGTGTGTGTTTGTATGTGTGTGTGTGTGTGTATGTGTGTATGTGTGTGTGTGTGTGTATGTGTGTATGTGTGTGTGTATGTGTGTATGTGTGTATGTGTGTATATATATATATGTGTGTGTGTGTATGTGTGTATGTGTGTATGTGTGTATGTGTGTATGTGTGTATGTGTGTATGTGTGTGTGTGTATGTGTGTATGTGTGTATGTGTGTATGTGTGTATGTGTGTATGTGTGTATGTGTGTATGTGTGTGTGTGTATGTGTGTATGTGTGTATGTGTGTATGTGTGTATGTGTGTATGTGTGTATGTGTGTATGTGTGTATGTGTGTATGTGTGTATGTGTGTATGTGTGTATGTGTGTATGTGTGTATGTGTGTRTATATATATATGTGTGTGTGTATGTATGTATGTGTGTGTGTATGTAAGTATGTGTGTGTAATACACACTGTGTATGTATGTGCGTGTGTATAAATGTATGTATGTATGTGAGTGTGTCTGATTATCTGTATGTAATAATGTGACAGTGTATATATACCAGGGACAGGGAGCAATTGGCCAGTGGTGATAGTAGGGACTAGCAAATAAGGGTGTCTCATCAATATATATATATACAGTATATAAGTTTAGTATATTRTTATATACATATRTAAATTGTATGTTAACGCAGGTGTGTTATGTCATCATAGCCTAAGACTATGTGTGTGTGTATTAAACAAAAAATTATTGTTTAGTTTTTATTTTGTTATTGTTGTCTACAATTACCAGCACTGGTATATTATCTACATCACTGGCCAACAATGGTATGTGCTCTAACTGTGTGCTGCTGCTGCTGCTGCTCGGGTATCACCACCAGATAAAATAACTTTCCCCATTGTATTGWTATATACAGTATATATAAATTATTTTTTTTTTAAAGTCTATTGACTTAGTGTATTGTATTTATATTTCAAAAATATTTTTTTTTGTATATAAGTATTTACAAACAAATTCAAAAAAAAGTAAGTAAATATAAATAAATAAATATATAATTTAAAAAGCTTTAATAAAATAAACATTAATATATATACTGTCTGTATATATATATATATATATATATAACAAAATATTATATATGTGTATAAAATATGTCAACAACAAAAAAAATAGTATAAAATTTAAATAGATTTAAAAAAGTGGTTTATTTTATATATAACTTTATTTTGTTAGTTTAGTTTACTTAATACAGTGTGTATATGAAATAATATTATATTTTTTTGAAAAACAAGTATAAACTTGTATTGAATTAATGGAAAAATTTCCAAAAAATTTTTAGATTTTATATATATATATATATAACTATTTATTATATCAATAACTATTATATATTTTTTTACAATATATATATATATATATACAAAATCATTGGCAATAACAATTGAAATATAATCCCTATCAACATAACTATATATATATATATACATTATATATACTATATATATATACGTAATATAAATAATTTTTTACATATCATAATAAATATACATAAAAGTTAATATAAAAATAATAATAAACAAAATCTATTAAATTAAATACTCATATTTTTTGTTGTATAATAATTGTCGTCCTCATCATCAGTGTAGTACCCGTAGTGTACCGTATAGTTGTGTTATACAAATATATATATATATATATTAGTTGTTTTACACCAACAAACAAAAATAATCACTATTTTTAAAAATTAATTAATTAATTAATTAATTAAAATCATGTCATATAATACAAAAAAGTCATATAACGTGTCGTCCATAGGGCACATCATAATGTCCAACATTAACAACAACAACAACAACAACAATAGCACCGGTAGTTTCAGAGAAAAGACACCGAAAACTATTATCATATCCAAAATGAGACAATTGATCAAAGAAATGATGGCAGAAATGTTGGGCACCTTTATGTTGATGGTATGGATGCAAAAAAAATTTTTTTTTTTTAATAATTATATATTATTATTATAATTATAATGAAATATTATTAATATTATTATTAAATAAAACAAGTTGTTTAACATTTAAAATTATGTGTTTAATAAAAATAATTATAACAAAAAAATAAACATGCACATTTTAGATTTTGTACAATATTGTTTTTAAAAAAATTATATTTAATAATATTTAAATTATGTTAAAAAAATAATTAATGAAAATGTCAAAAATAATAATTAAGATAAAATATATTACATTTTATTTTATTATTATTTTTTAGATTATAATAAACTTGTAATAAGTTTTTTTTTAAAATATAATTTTTAACTTGGTATAAAATATATAAATAATATTTATTTATTTTTTAAATATTGTACAAAATGTGCATGTTTATTTTTGTTAATTTTTTATTAACATAATTTTTGTTTAAACAACTTGTTTTATTTATTAATACGCATATAAATAGATATTAGTTTTTTAAAATAATAATAATTGTATGCATTATTATATATAGATTTATATAATTTAGTTTATTATATATTTTATTATAGTTTATTACCTGATAAAAAACCAGTAAAAAATATTTAGCAAAACTTTAATTTTTTAAAACATATTTCCTAATATTAATAATTTATTATTATAAAAAAATATATAACTTTTTTTTAATAGGATAATTATATGCACACAATTAATTAATCTTAGATATTATCAATTTGAGTGTTATTTTTATTTATTTTTTATTTTATTTAAGTTATATATATATATATATATATTAGTTTTCAATTTTATAATTGTTTTATATATATATTTTTAAATATATATATTAACAATTTATATATATATATATTTTTATATATATATATTAGATAATATATATATAATTTATATATATATAGTTTTATGTAACTATTTAAACATAAGTAAACTAATATATATATATATAATGATATTATCAAACAGATATATATACAGTAAAGCAAATATCAAGTGATCCATGAAATAATTTTTGTTTTCAACAATTGACTCAATTGTGTATTTAAATTATATTGTATTGAATTTTCATTACTTACTATTGTTGTTATTATTATTGTTATCATATCTATTGTAATGTGATTTTTTTTTAACAATTGTCATCAATAGTATTGAAATTAGTGGAAAATTTTTGTTGTTGAAAGCATTCATTTATAAAATTCATTTAAAAAAAATAATAAAATTGATATTTAATTTTTTAAATATATATATATATATTGTATATCATCTAGCAATCACACACACACACACTAATAATAATTACAATATGCATAAATGCAAATATGTCTAATGTAACTGTATATCTATAATAAACAAACAACAACAAAAATAAAATAAAAATTGACTCTGCTAAAATAATTGTTTTTTTATTGTTGTTGTTAGCATTATAATGATTTTTTACTGTATATATTGTGTGTTGTATGTATGTGTGTGTGTGTATGTGTGTGTATGTGTGTGTATGTGTGTGTATGTGCGTGTATGTGCGTGTATGTGTGTGTGTATGTGTGTGTATTTGTGTGTATTTGTGTGTATTTGTGTGTATGTGTGTGTATGTGTGTGTATGTATGTGTGTGTATATATRTRTGCTAAATACCATTCAATAGACAACTTGTATTAACCGGAATATTCCTATGAATTCCTATATCAAATGATTTACACGTGTATTATATATATACGCTGGTTATCACTAGATATCAATAAATTTTTCTGACTAACTGTTTCTATATAATTATGATTTTTTTAAAAAATAATTTTAATAATCTAAATATTTTTTTWAAAAAAAACAATGAGTTATTTTCTGAATTATATCCAATCATTTATTAGATATAAAAATAATATTTTATTAGAAATTTTCCATAGTTTAAAAATATAATATCATTAGATCACATTGTAAAACAATATGTTTATATTATTAATAATATATATATAATTAATAATCATATACTCATATATTTATAATTAGCATTTAAACACAAATTTTATATACAATAAAATATAATTAAAAATATTTATATTTAAAATAGTTTTATTACATTGTTTATACTTATAATTTATATATACTGTATATATCAATATATACATATATCAAGTGTTACAAAAAATTACCAATTATTAATTTAATTAATTTGCACCTACCTAATTATTTTGTTTATATATATACATAAGCTTATAGGATGTTCCGCATGTTGTGCCTATTCATTGAACCTGACCGGCAAACCGGACAAATCGGTCGATGGCTATGCCGTAAATTTTTGCTGGGGTTTCGGCGCTTTTATCGGTATCTGTGCATCGATGGCCATATCAGGTATATATATTTTTATATATAGACTACCGGAGCTTATTATTAAGCACATTATTATCGGTAAACACAGGTGGTCACATAAATCCGGCCGTTTCCGTAGCGTTTGCTACACTAAAACGATTTCCGTGGGCTAAAGTAGGGCCCTATATCGGTGCCCAATTGGTCGGTGCCTTTCTCGGTACGGCCGTCAGCTATCTGGTCTATTATGAACCTATAGGTATTCAGCACAATCTCCAACCGCTCCTCAATCATACGGAACTACGAGCCTATGGCCACTCGTTGAGCACCGGCGGTTTTTTCGCCACCTATCCGGCAGCGCACAGTACACTGTTGGTGTGCATTATTGAACAGGTAGTAGATCACCCCCTCCCCCTATAATAAATGTTAGTAATCATTGATTTTTTACCCTACCTCCCACCCCCTACACCCCTACTAGATAGTGGCCACCTGTTCGCTGCTTATATCGGTGATGGTAGTGGTCGACAAAAACAATCTGAATGTACCCATGTATTTGCAGCCCTTCCTACTGGCCTTTGTAATTGCCACCCACGCCCAGGTATTCAGCTTCAATACGGGGTGTGCCATGAATCCGGCCCGCGATTTAGGTCCCCGATTGTTCACAGCAATTGCCGGTTGGGGTATACATGTGTTTAGGTATGAGCTACTACTACTAACTACTGTATATACAGTACTAATTGTGTTTTTGTTTAAATATAGTCCATTAGGCGGCCATTATTGGTGGGCAGTGGGCGTATTAGCATCGACTATCGGTGCCACAATGGGTGTCTGGATATACTATTATGTTATTGAATATTTTTATACTACACCCGAACCGGTTAACCCTATGCTAGATGACTGTGCTGGTGGTGGGGTCGTCACCGATACTAAACCTGTTTAAAATTTAAACAAACAAAAAAATATAGTATTGATTATTATAATTATAATTATAATTAATATTATTATTATTACCTTAACATCATGTTTAGTAAAAATATATAGATATATATTATATATTAATCCTAAAACAACATTACATACGATATTCATATGATATATATATATACTGTATATTAATATTAATTGTTGTGAAAATATAATATACCAAAAAAAATCAAACATTATATATATATATACAGTACATAAATGTTTGATTTTTTTCAACAACAAAAAAAATCAATTAATTGATAACTGCTATATATATTTTTTATTTAAAAAAAATTTTTGCTATTTTTATTTTACATTGATTTCTATGAAATCGATAGCTTTTTTTAAATTAAAAATTAGTAATAATAATAATAATAGTTGTACTCAAATATCAAAGTATTGAATTTATTAGTAAAAATATTATTAGTATTATTAATGATTTTTTTATATACAGTATAAAAATAACTATAATTATTATTATTATTATTAATGCCAACTAGTTTTTTTAGTTTAGTTTAATTTTATTAATTTTATTAATTTATTAATCCATTGAGCTGCATGTTAAATATATATACATAAATATTTAAACTAAGTTTTATTTGTTATTAAAAATTTTATTGTTGTTTTAATAAAAAAAAATTAAATAAAAAAATGCATGATAAATGTTGTTTGATTTTATTTATTATTATTATTTTTTTGGTTCAAATATATGTATTATAATATCTAATTTTATGTTCATATTATTATAATATTCAAAATAAATTTTTTTATTATTAAATTTTTTAGGTTGTCTACTATTTTAATATAAATATATATATATATATAAATTATAAGTGTTTTGATATAAATAATTTATATAATATAAAATATAATAAATCAAAAATATTAAGCATTTACTTTGTTTTAAAGTTATTTATTATAAAAAAAAATTATATAACAAAAACATCACTTTATTTAAATTAATTAACATTATTATTATTTTTAATTAGTTATTTTAATAAAAAATAAATTAAAACATACACTAATTTTAATTTAAATAAAAATTACTATCAAATTATTAGATACAGATATATACAGTATATATATTTAAATACTTTAAATATTTTTTTAAAAAAACACATAAATTATAAATTATTATTTACATTAAAAAACACATTTAAATAAAGTGAATAATTTTTAACAATTTTTTTTCGTTTTGTATAATTATTTTTATGTTTTTTCAAAATAAATTATAATATATATCGTATATATACTGTATATATATATATATATATATATCATATAATCATGAGATACAACACGTAATCAATGATTTATGTTTTACCGGCCGATAGGCCAACATTTCCAGCGCTTTACGTACCGATTCATCAAATATTTGATTGACACCCAGTTTGGTGTCCGCCGAACATTCGAGATATTTGACGGCTCCGAGTCTGGCCGCACATCTCTGGCCAGTCAGCCGATCGATCGGCTTATCGTTGTTTAGATGCAATTCATTGAGTATATCATTGTTTGTCCGTAAATCGCATTTTGTACCTAAAATTAAAAATAAATAAAATAAGGGATTAAATAAATAATTGAATTTATTTTTTTTTAAAAAAAACTAAATGAGATAAATAAAAGTTTCTAATAATAAATTCCCATTTGAGAAAGTTTCTAGAAAATTTTTCAGGGAATAAATTTCTATAGAAATTTAATTAATTATTGTTTTACTTGTTATACCATAACTATAGCTAGTTTTGTAAAAATTTTAATAATTATTTTATTATATACTGTATATATCATAGTTTAATATAATAAAATTATAATTATTGATATTTTTTTAACTTTAATTAATAATTAAATAACTAATACTAATAATATTTAATTATTAATTAAAGTAAAAACATTGTACATTGTTACATTGATAACTAAAAATAACCATGGGTATTCTATATATATACTAGTTTATATATAGAAATTTCTTTTAGAAACTTTCTCTAGAAATTTCTAATTAGTAACTTTCTCTAGAAATTTCTAATTAGAAACTTTTTCTCTAGAAATTTCTAATTAGAAACTTTTTCTCTAAGAAATTTCTAATTAGAAACTTTTTCTCTAAGAAATTTCTAATTAGAAACTTTCTCTAGAAATATCTAATTAGAAACTTTTTCTCTAGAAATTTCTAATTAGAAACTTTTTCTCTAGAAATTTCTAATTAGAAACTTTTTCTCTAGAAATATCTAATTAGAAACTTTTTCTCTAGAAATTTCTAATTAGAAACTTTTTCTCTAGAAATTTCTAATTAGAAACTTTTTCTCTAGAAATTTCTAATTAAAAACTTTATCTATAAAATTAGTTTAGAAACTAAAAATTTCTCTAAAAATTTCTAATTAAAAACTTTATCTAGAAATTTCTAATTAGAAACTTTTTCTCTAGAAATTTCTAATTAGAAACTTTTTCTCTAGAAATTTCTAATTAAAAACTTTATCTATAAAATTAGTTTAGAAACTAAAAATTTCTCTAAAAATTTCTAATTAAAAACTTTATCTAGAAATTTCTAATTAGAAACTTTTTCTATAGGAAATTTCTTTAGTAATTTAATAAATTTTTCTCTATTTTTTTTTGTGCCAACACTTGTTGTGATAATTACCGACTAAAATGAACGGCTTATTTGGTAAACACTCTTTGATTTCGGGTATCCATTTGTCGACGACATTATGAAAACTTTTTGGCGAAACAATTGAAAAACAGACGACAAATACATCCGTCTCGAGATAAGACATCGATCGGATCCGACGTTTGTCTTCGAGGCCGGCGGTGTCCGACAGTTCCAGATCGACGAGTATACCGTCGCAGATGACCTCCTTGTGATAGTTGTCAAAGCTATTGATTGTTAAAATCAAAAAAAATAATTATATAACAATTTATTTATTACAATATATACTGTATATATATATATATATCATATGATTTTAATATTCACGCAATAATTAATTGCAATTAATTAGATTTACACAAAATGTTTAACCAGATATACAATTAATTTTTTTTTTAAACATCGAAAATAATAATTACTAATATATGAAATTAAATCATATTAATATAGTTATTATATTTGTATAAAATCTTATTGTTTGTTTGTATGTATAGTTTTAATATATCAGATATAATCTAAAATTAATAATTAATTATAACTAATAATGTTATAGTTATATAAAATGCAATTTTATTTGTGTTATAACTATAAATAAATAAAAAATATTTTTGTGGTTAAAAAATGTTTTAATATTATTGATAAATCTGACCTTTTTTTATATAGAAATTATAAAATTATGTTTAATTATGTTATATAATATACAGTACAATATATACATTAGTAATTGCATATTAATAGTAATAGTATCTATAAAACAAGTATTATTAATTATTTAAATAAATAAATAATATTCAAAAAATAATTAATAATAAATTTTTTTTTTAAAAATTTGTATTCATATCTACTGATATACACTATATCTTTATTATTAGATAATAGTAATTATTCAGTAGTACTACAGTATATATATATATATATATATATATATATTGTATATATATTAATGAATAATATTAGTTTAGATTAGATTTTTGAAAACATATTTTATTTTCTAGTATAGATAAATAATATATATATATATATATTAAAAAATAATATTGTTTTAATATATAAACAACTAAACTATAAATTGTATTATAATATATATTTACATTGTTGGCACATATTGTGTGGAAAACGCACCGGTAGTATACGATATGAGAAGCGATGTCTTTCCAACGGAACAGTCGCCAATCACTGTACACTTGACGGGCAATGGATAAGCTTCGAGACCGTCACCGATAGATATGGGACGGGAGTTGTATGGGACAGACATATGGCGTTTATAATAAAATTGAGACATTTTTTTGGTTGTTGATTGTTTTATGTTATAATTTTTAAAACATATATAAAAAATATATAACAAATTTAATTAATTAAAAAAATATTTTCTATAAAAAAACAATCTGTAATATAATTTTTATGAGTCATTTATAAATTATTTATTATTATTGTATTAATATTAAAAACAAATTATTATTTTTTGTATGTCTCTTATGATTTAATGATTTATTTATTCAGATATTTTTTGTTGTTGTTGTATATAATTTATTATTATTATTATTATTATTATTATTATTACAGTATTTTATTTAATTTGATATCTAAAACCACACAATTGGCGTCACAATACCAGGTAATCATTACATATATATATATTGTAAAATAATTTATAAATTTTAAGTTAACACATGTTTTTAAAAAATAATTAACACATTATTTGAAAATATTATTTAATTTATTAAAATTATATATACTGTATATAACTATTTGTAATAAACCAGTTGATTAAATATTATTTTTATTGAATTGTTATTATTAAATATATATATTTTTATTTTAAAAAAACTAATTTTATTTAAATTATTAATATTAAACAATTGAAAAAATAGAGAGACAATATTTATTATTATTATTATTATTACAGTATATAAATATCAATACAATAAATCATATGAATAAATATGAGATTTGATTTTTTTAAATAATAAAAAAATATTTAGTAATTAAAAAATATTATTTGATATTTTTATAATAATGAAATTTTTAATATATATTTATAATATATATATTATATATATTTAATTTATATCATAATATTCAAGTGTTTTGTCTACTAATATTGAATGACGTATTTATTATCAGTAATTATTACCTGTAATGTTACGGTAATTTTAAAATACATGTGAAATATACAGTCAATTATTATAAATCATTACAACAACAAAAAACTAAACTACATATACATTAAATTGTTAAATATAATTAACATTATAATTATTATTGTAATTATACAGTAATATGTTTTAATATATAATTTTATAGAAATTTTAATACATTAATAAATTTTATTAGAGAAACATTTTTATAAATTTTTGAATATATATATATATTGTTTCAACATATATTAAAATAAACATAATATTCAAGTAAGTGTTGTCTATTATAACTAATAATAATAATAATAATAATGATAAAAAAATTATCTTTCAAAAAAATGATTAGTATTACTATTTTATAATAAATAATATAAAGTAATAAAATAATAATAATAATATTTAATTAGATATTTACACATTTCAAAAGTTACTGTAATACTATTAATACTATTGAGGAAGTTAACTTTAATAATATTTTGATATTTAATAATAATAATAATTAATATATGTATATAATAAAAAATAATCTAGATAATTTTTTAGATATTGCACAGTTTATGAACAATAAGTTTTTTTTATTAATAAAAATATGATTATAATAAATTACAAACTATTTAAACTATTGGTATTTTTTTGTATATAAATATAATATTTTTTTCTGTATACTTATCAAACTTTCATATAAACTATTTTACTTTTTTAAAAAATTTTTTACAACATCAATACTGTATATAATTTTTTTTATAAATTTTCATGAATATATATATCAATATTAATTTATATAATATATTATAAAACCAATTTATAAAAAATAATAATAAATTTTGCAATGAAAATCAAATTTAGAGCATTGAAATCAAATAATTATTGAAATTGTTTTTTTTTGGTAAAAGTTAAATAATATTTTTATTATTATTGGTATTATGTCATTCAATTAACAGCAATTATTGAATTATCTATATATATAAATAAATAATATTTATTATTTAATATAATTTATAATATAAAAAAAAATTACTAGCAATGTAAAATACATAAAAATTTGATATTGAATGATATATATATATATAATATTCAAATGTGATTCATTTCATTGTCAATTTTTTCTAATAACTAATAATATTTAAAATAATAACTAACTAATTATATTTTATTAGATAAACTATATAATCAAATAAAATTTTATAAAAAAATAAAATTAACACAATATATTATATGTATGTACAGTAGATATATTTTATATAAATTAATATGTTTGTGTGTGTATGAGTGTATGTGTGTGTATTTATGTGTATGTGTTTGTGTGTATGTATGTATGCGTGTGTGTGTGTATGTATGTATGTATCTATAAGTATGTGTGTGTATATGTGTGTATGTATGTGTGTATGCATGTGTGTATGCATGTGTATGTATGTATGTATGTGTGTGTGTGTGTGTGTGTGTGTGTATGTATCTATAAGTATGTGTGTGTGTATATGTGTGTATGTATGTGTGTATGCATGTGTATATATGTATGTATGTGTGTGTGTGTATGTATGTATGTAACTATGAGTATGTGTGTGTATATGTGTGTATGTATGTGTGTATGCATGTGTATGTATGTGTGTGTGTGTATGTATGTATGTATGTATGTATCTATGAGTATGTGTGTGTATATGTGTGTATGTATGTGTGTGTGTGAGTAATAAATACATTAATTTAAAGTGAATAATGAAGTTTCAAAAACTATGTATTAATCCTATAAATCATAGGAAGTGCTCACAAATCACATACAAAACAGTGGAAAAAAATCATCAATTAATAGAAAATTTATTCATTACTTCCTTTTAAAAAAATGCATTTTATTTAATCACTAAAACATATATCCCTTAACTTTTGCGACAAATTATATATATATATACAGTATATTATATTTAATTTATTAAAATCAAAAAATTTTAAAAACCGATTAAAATTTGATAGATAAGTATACAAAATAATTTTGATTATTTACGGCATTTTTAATTATAACTATGAAATTATACTGTATTTTACTAGAAATAGTTATTATAAATCTATTAATAGATTATTTATTTTTTTACTAAATTTTATCGCAATTTTTTTTGCTGTTTTATTGATAACCTTTAAGATGTGTTTTAAAATAACTTTTTTTATATAAAGTAATATACATATAGTTTTTGATAAATATATATATATATATATTATATTTAATAATTTACTTTCACTTATTTTTTGTGTGTACTAAACAAGTTAAATAGTTTTTTAAGTACTGTATAAATACCTTATAAATTATAAATTATTTATTAATTATTATTTTTAACAAAAAAAAATTCAATGATAAGTTCAATGACACACAATTTATTTATTTTTTATTGCATTTACTTTTATTTTTTTAAATTATTTATTTGAAATCAAAGTGTTAACATATTTATATATATATATATATATATATTTAAAAAAAATTGTGTAAACAAAATATAAATTGAAATAATTTATTTTATTGATAATTAAAAAAAAATTTATGACACATTTGACATTATGCGTATACTGTATTTTATTAAATTAAATGTTTTTTTTAATTAAATATATTTTATATGTTTATTTATTATTAACTTATTTATTTTTTTTAATAAAATTGATGCAAAAAATTATTAAATACCTAATTTAATGTTTAAGTATATAAATTATATACTGTACTAAATGATGATAATTAAATAATAATAATAATAATAATAATAATAATAATAATTTATATATAAATAATTGTTGTGTGACATTCAAATTTTTTTGTTTATAAAATTTAAAAATATAAAACAATTAAATTAAATTATTGATATTGAATTATCTAATAATGTGTTATATAAATATAATAATTAATTAATTATTTATTTTTTTTAGATAGATATTGTTTTATTTTTAGGATGTCTAATACATACATACTTTTATATAGGTATAGGGTAGCACAGGTAGATAATGTTTGAGAAAAACTGTATATAGTTTTTTTTTAGTATAGTATAGTTGAGACAGTAGTAGTGATAAAGTAGATATAGGATTGTGATTGACAGCAAAATTTAAGCCAACAAAAAATGCCAATAGTTTTTTAAAAAAAAAAAAATTAATTTTTAGGATATGACTGACATTTTCTGCAATCTAGAGATCAGGTAGGGATGGTGTTGTTGTTGTTGGCTGTTAGTTAGCCCTGAGTTGAATGCTATATATATATATGTATATCAAAGAAAAAAATATATATAGAAAAAAAAAACATACAGTATTTAAAAATACAGAATTTTTTTTATAAAATAAAAATAGTTATTAATTAATTAATAATTTTAATTATTATAACTAAAAAAATAAATAAACTATGGATTGATTAGTATTGGTTTGCGAGCTCTACCGGAGCGCACTTCTATGTCATCATCATTGTTGTTGGTGTCGTCATCCTTATCCTTAACCACTAATTTATTACCGGATTTTATATCTTCCTCCCCGTCCTCGACATCCGTATTAAGCGGAATGGATCGCACAATACTGTTGTCATTGTTAGTAGTTTTAACTGTAAGTAGTCTGACTTCAGGCTCACCTTTCAATCCCTGATCCCTGTTGTCCCGGTCATTATGGCCACCAGTGGCCACTTCGTTRCTTTCGTAGTCATCGCCGTTGCCGTCGCCCCTCAACAATAGTATCGGTTTCCTGACATTTGCCTGACGTTTGAATAGCATTGGTCGCCGTAGAAACAAGGCTTCACGTTTCAGGACAAGTATCGGCCGACGGGCGTTGGCCTGACGTTTGACAATCATTGGTTTGCGAGCTTCCTGACGTTTTTCCCGTCGACCGCCGACCAAAACGGTTGATGACTGGTCACCGGCCAAATCATCGCTACTATCGGCCGGCGATCCCTGTCTGACGGCGGTAGTCCTTAGGTAGGGCTCGTAAAACCGATGCAATACCCTATCGTATAGTCCCGACTGTACGGATGACTCTTCGGCGGCCAAGTCGTCGCCATCCGCGGGTGAGTTGTTGTCAACAACATTGTTATCGGGTTGGTTGGTGTCGATCGGGTAATATAGATATGAATGGACAGGTATTATCACTGATGATAATAATAATAATAATAGGAAACACATTGTCGTCAATATTAAATTCATGATATATTTTTTTGATGGAAATAATTTTTTTTTAAAACTTATGATAAGTTTATTATTTTTTAAAAAATAAAATAAATTATAACAACTTATAATAACACTATTATTATTATTTATTTAAAAAAAATAATAATAAAATATTTAAAAATATTAAATGTAAATTTTTATTTAAATTTTGCTGTTACTTATAAAGGCGATTAAAAAAAATTTTTTTTTAAAAAGTTATTTAGCTGATAACATTGAAATTATTTTTGAATAATATAAAACATATTTATAATATTTATCATTATTAAATATATTAAATATTAAACACACATATACTGTATATAAAGCATATATAAAACACACATATATATATATATAATATAATATATACGATAAAAGCGATTCAATAAAAAGCACACAAACACTAAGTATATATATATTTATTATTATTATTAGTAAAAGCTTTTTATTAAAAATAATTATTTTCAAATAGTTTTTTAGTTTTTTCAAATATTTTTATATGAATTTTATTTTATTTTTTGTTTTATTTTGTTGAGGAACTCATAATAAGTTTGATTTCATATATGAATGAAAGGGATATCCAGTGAAAGAAATAGATAACGCCTTTCAACTATCCCTCCCTTATTCACTCACTCACTCACTCACTCACTCACTCACTCACTCACTCACTCACTCACTCACTCACTCACTCACTCACTCACTCACTCACTCACTCACTCACTCACTCACTCACTCACTCACTCACTCATTCACTCACTCACTCACTCACTCACTCACTCACTCACTCACTCACTCACTCACTTAGAAACACATCCTTACAAATCATATACTTTATACTAATTTTTTGTTTTGTTTTTGATGTTAATATACAGTATTAATAATAAATAATATTAAATTATCACAATATTTATAATATATGATAATTACAACTAACATCAAAAAAAAACATATATATATTAAGTATACAAATAATATAACAACAAAATAATGTATATATATATATATATATCAGAGACAATTAATTGCGAAAAAATATATATAATTTTCTACATAATAATAATAATAAATAAGTTATAATTAAAATTTATAACTACTGTATTATTACTATTATTATTATTTAATATTGTACTGTAATAACTGTGCAATTAGTTATTATTATTATTATTATTTTTTTTGTCATCAGACAAGTCTACAATTTATTTTAATTATTAATTACTATTGTATTTTGTGTGTTGTTTTGATAATGCATTATATGATCGATAAAACATTGATATAATAATATTAATAATAATATTTAGTGTCATTGTTTTAACCATGAATTTAAAAGCCATTGTTATTAGTATATAATAAATTGTGTTATATTTATTGCATTATAACTACACGGTGGCTCATCAAGAGTTATTTTCAAAATATATATACTAATTATATTTTATTTTAACAAAAAATATTATAAAATATGATAAATGGGATATATATATATATATATATATATAAATGGCAAAGTCAGGTGTAAAAATAGTCGAAATTGTCCTTATTTATTATATTTTGACTATCACGTGACCGCTACATCCAGAACCTGTCGCCATATGATGTGCTATTAGTGACAAAGAAATAATTGGGCCTATATTTTTAAGAGAAATTTGTGATATCAGAGATCTACAGGACTTAAATCATTTTGCAGGACACAGGGTCTGCTGAAGATAAAAAGATTGCTTGATTGTTATTGGTTTAAACTGGTTTAAACAAGATGGTTCACGACCATACAGAACACAAGATATCTTTGAACAACTTAGAGAGTGTTTTGGTGATCGGATTATAGGTTTGGATGCGCCCAAGAAGAATGGCGGCGGAAATGATTTTATATATATACCCGATATCAACACCTGTGATTATTTTTTTGGGTTTATTTTAAGGATAAGGTTTACATATCCAACCCTCAATCTATTGAAGAATTCACAAAAATGATTGAAAGTGAGATACGGGCCATACAGCAATATATGAAAGTACGGGTAACATCCAATTTTGTATATATTTAATTGCAATTAATGGCGGCCATTTTGAAAATTTATAATTATATATATTTATCATATTTTATAATATTTTTTGTTAAAATAAAATATAATTAGTAGTTTTTGAAATAAGTGGTGTATTTTGAAAATAACTCTTGATGAGCCACCGTGTATTTGTTTTGTTGTTTCAAATATCACATAAATTGTTTGTTAAAATTTTAACACTAATGTTATATATATATATATATATATATATATATATTTAGATAAAATAGTAAACAATGATATTCATCAAAAAAAAATTGCATGTACATAAATTGATTATAAATTGATCACCAAAAAATTGTAATTAAATATTAAAGTTAAAAAAAATAAAATAAATATTTTTTTTAAAAAATTAATACCAAACAAATAGTTGTCAACATTTTTATATATATATATTATATCTAAATTTTATTTACCCTCCCCCTCCCAAAAAATGGCTAATATAGTTAAAATAAGGGCATATTTGTGTATATATATATATATATATATATATATATATATATATATATATATATATATATTTTAAAATTAGCCCTGGATAACAACAACCACCAAGGGCAAATTATCAGTAGACGATTACATAATTATTGTTGAAACATATAAATTACTTTATTATACAAAACATAAATTTTCATTAGAAAATTACCGAGAATTTCCCCAAAAAAAAATAAAATTTTTTATTAGTGTAATCAATTGATATATAATCTGTCAAAATATATATATATATTAGTTATATTTTTTATATATCACAAAAAAAACTTTATATATTTTGTTATTTTTTTTAAGAAATAAAGAGTTTATTTTTAAATAATTTTGTTGTTGTTGTTGTTATAAAATAAAGAGTAATTGTTTTTTATATACAGTATATTATATTAAAAAAAATTAACTAAAAAAATAGTATATAAAACTATATTAATATATTACTAAATATTATTTATAAATATATATATATATATATATACTTATGTTAACATATTATATATATATATATGTATATTTAATATGCATTTAATTTAATATGCATTTAATTTAATATGCATTTTAATTATAAATATTACATCATTATAATCTATGTTATATATATACATATATTAAAAATTGACATATATTTCATTAAAATAATCAAATTATCAATAAATTGTTATCTTATTTCTCCAAACTTTTTTTTTWGTATTTATAACTTATAATTCAATGATTAATATTTAGTATTATTATTATTATTATGGTATCATTTTATTAATGTATATTAGACACTGTGTGTAATATGTATTTTACAACAACAACAACAACAAAATTACACATAAATATAGTAATTATTAATTTTTTAAAAATTTAAAAAAGTTTTTATAATATTATCATTAAATATACTAATATTATCAAATTTTTTAAAAAAAATTAATTGTAAATATTTTAAAACTATTTTATTTTAAAATAAATTTTTGTTGATAGTATCACACTTTAATCGTTAATTAAAAAAATATAATATMTTTAATATTATATATTTAAMTATTTTTTCATTAATAATCTAAAATACATAATAATTATTATTATTATTTTCATTTGTWTATTTCAATTTAATTTTACAGAAAAAATTAATATAAATTAATTTATTCAAAAAATAATAATAATAATAAATACCTAATACTGTAATTTGTTTTAACAATTATTTTACAATATTTATAATAATTATTATTTTTTAAATCTTTGTTTTAATCCGTGGCAACTAAAAAATAATGAAAATATTTTTTTGTGCACTTATTTAAATGATTTTATTATTATTATTATTAATTTTTTGTTTACTGCCGCAAACCATCACAAAAAAATTAAAGTTAGTCCTCAAGGTTATTTATAATACTAATATTATAACCAACAAAATATTAATGATTATTATATATATATATATATATATATATATATATATATTATCTTTAAAAAAACATTAAACTTTGTATAAATATATAATTAAATATATATTTATATATAACACATTTAAATTTGTTTAAATTGCGAAATATATTTTGTTTATTATGATATATTAGGCAAATATTTAAAAAAATCAGCTAGTTAATTGTGAATAGATATWATTTTAATTTTATTCAAACTCATTTTATTATTTATTTTAAAAAAATAATTAAAGCACAATTATTAGTTATGTAATAAACTATATAAAATATATTTTTTTAAATATGCTAATTGTATACTAATTCAACAAAAAAAATTATGCTATTTTGGGAAAGTACCAAGGTTTTTTTCTCATTAAATTTGTTGTCAATATCCCGGTTCCTATTAATTGCTATTTTAATATATATATGTTATGTTATACTTATATATACTGTACAGTAATATTCACAATATATTATATAAATCATATTATTATTATTATTATATACTTTATTTAACAATAATCTGGTACATTCCCTACAATAAAATAACAATATATATATATATATAGTATWTATTGYAATAATAATCAATGATCAACACATATCTAACATCAATATTAAATTTAAAATAACAAAAATTAAATTTATTTTGATAATGACGTCCAATATATTATTATTATTTCACTGGAAATATATGCAATAAATTATAATMAAAAAAAGTTTTGTTTTTTGTGTGTGAATTGTATTGAATATTGAATTGAATTAAATTACATAATGTTTACATATTTTAACAAAAATAAAATTTTTGTCAAAACTAATAGTCTAATAGTCGTAATAATAATAATAATAATAATAATAATAAAATTAATTTAATTATATATATTAACATTAATGCACTTTTCCAAGAATATAGACAATAAATATATTGAATTTTCCAATTTTTATTGATATTAATAAGTATTATATTTATTTTCAAATATAAAACTATTAATTATAATTCAAAGTAATAAAAAATACATAGCTATCAAGTTTTTAATATTTTTTAATATATAAATTAATAATAAATCAAATCAACAAAATTATATATAATAACAAAAAAAATAAATAAAATAGTTTTTATACAAATATTATTTTATAATCAAAACTGAAGTATACATTATTTAAAACTTTTAAAAAAAATATTAAAAATTTTAGTATATATTGATAATTAATAGAATTCAAGAAAAAATATTAAATTATATTATTAAAAAAACAAAAAATATATTATATATATACATATAATATAATAGGTATATAATATATACAGTATATATTTATATAGATATTTTTTATAAAATTCTGTTTATAAATACATAATATAAAATAAAATTTAATTTTTGTATATAAATTAAAAAAATTACATAAAATATTTTATGATAATATATATATATATATAATTATAACTTATTGATGATAACTAATTTAACAGATATTTAATAATAATAAATTATTATTTTTTCTTAAAATTTATATTATAAACAATAAGTACAATAAATTAATACTTACTCATTTATAATATGTACTAGTTTACTTTTTTGTTTAATATAATTTTGTTATAAACTTTAATACACTTATATCATAAATTTTGTTTGTTAACAAAATATCTAGATTAGTTTTTTAAAAATTATTGTTTAAAAAATAAGTATTTAAAAAAATTAGATTATAATTAACAATCTATTTGTACAAAAAATAACTCTAAGTTTTAAATAATTAWTTTTGTATATTTAAAAAAAAAWATCAATAAACAGTTTTATAAATACTATTTTTTTAAATTTTGTTTTAATAAAATCAAAATATTACAGATTAATTTTTTTTAAATCTTTAACTATTTTTAATTAAAAAAAACATAAATTTTTAGATTACTGGGACATTTTTTGATTAATAAAAAATTACCAATATTAAATTAGCAATACATATTTTTGTTTTGTACCTAGTTAAATTTTATTTTATTTATAAAATTACGTTATTTATGTTTAAAAAAAATATACGTTATTTTATTAGTATGTAAAATATTTTCAAAAATAAAATTTTTTGTTTTCAATTWGTAGTGACACCTATTAGACAGTAATATAAAGTTTTACTATTAATATTACGTGTAAATTACAGTTTGTTTATTATTATTTTGTATTCAACCAAAAAAAAAAATTRTAAATAAAAATGTCATTTAATTTTTTTTAATATGACTTTTTAAATTAGTCACTAATTATTTATATATATATATATATATAATAATAAAAACAATAATATGATTGTCGTTATCATTAGTAATATAGTCGACAAAAATGCGTTATATATTATTAGCCAAAAATTATCACATACTCAGCAATCAATTGATTAATTGATTTTTTGAATATATTATTAGTATATATATATTATAAATTACTAATAATAACGCGTTATGTAATTAATTGAATAAATTATTAGTATATAATATTAATAATAACGTTATGTAATTAATTAAAAATTTTTTTAAAAATTTTATTAAATATCACTATTAGTTAATTGTTAAATTGTTTAAATAATGTGTGTGTTAAATAACTATGAAAATTTTTTTTAACTACCAAGGTAAGGTTTCTAATATACWWWAATATTTATATATAAAATAACTATGATATTTAACTAGATAATTTTAATTTATATTATAATATATATATATATATATATATATTTAGCTAACATATAACAATATATTGAATATAATTACCGTTATATATATATATATACAATATATGATACATTTTTTCACCCTTATCACTTTTGCTTAATAAATAAATAAYTGCTAAATAATATTAATATATATAAACCGGTTTATACCAGTTTTTATTTTCTAGATATAGATATACTATTTAACAATATATAAAAAAATTAGCTAGATAATAATATCTATACAAARCAAAAATGTATTCAATTGATTACAGTATATATATATAAATCATATATAATTGTATATTAGTTTTAAACAATAATTTTATTTATTAGTATTATTTGAAGTTTTTTGTTGTTGTTGTTAATTATCTCATTTTTGATTAAATATTTTAAAACATCACAAGTTTTATTGTTAATTATATATTATTATAAGTTTAGTTAGTGTTAGGGTTGGAATGGGGGGTTGGTTTGGGTCGGTTAGGTTTAGATTATAGACTGGCATATACTGTATATACTAACCTAATCCTAACCGACCCAAACCAACCCCATTCCAACCCTAACTAAACTTTTATATATATATATATATATATATATATATATATATATATATATATAGAGAGAGAGAGAGAGAGAGAGAGAGTGACTGTATTATCAAATATAAATAATAGCTATTTTTGGTGACACAAAACTATTTACTAAATTATAATAATAATTATAATACTGTATATATATATATACAGTATATATATATAAGTCATGCATTTGTGACCCATTTTTCGCCCCCCAAACAAATAGTTGTTTGTTTAATGAAAACTTATTTTGAAAAATTATTATATCAGTGAAAGTAATTTTCATGTTTTTTTCAAAAACATAATTTTAATTATGAAATATATAATCAATTATCTATTGTTTTAAATCATTATTTGCTATGTTATCACATAGTTTGCTATTTTCTACAAAAAAAAAAATTTTTGTCACACATTATTATGTAKTATTTGTGACATATTTTTTTAATATACCAATTATTATTATTATAAGGTTAGTATGGGTTTCAACTGATTTTTTAAAAAAATATATTTATAATTATATTTTTTGAGTCACATTATTATTATWATAATTAAATTGTATTGTTTTTGCCAAATATTTTTGTGCATATCTAATCATAAATGCAATAATTTATATWTATATATATATATTGTTTATATTGAAACTATTTATGCATTTATTAATAATATATATATATATTTTAATTTAGTGTTGAAATATTGATTATCATAAAAAAAAGTTTTCAAAATTTAATTGAATTACAGTATAATATTGGGGAAAAAAAATCTTATTGATTAGTATTTTATTATTCAATTTTACAATATATTTGTATTCAGCAATAATAATGTCTATTTATAAAAAAAAATTATATTTATGTTAGCATTGTATGAATAATTCAAATATTTATTATTATTATTATTWTTTTGAGTTGAAATTTGTTTATTGATTTAATAACAACACATAAAAAATAAATATATATTTCTATTATTATTTAAAAGAATATTCTTTGAATTTTTCTGTTTCTATTAATTAATATAAATACTAATAATATAGTTATGGTTTGTTTGGGTCTAAAGTTAATAATAATAATTTGTTTGTTTTTATTAAAGATAATAACCATTGAATTCATGGCAATAGTTATGTGTGTTTTTTATCGATAATCAATTGACACTTTGACTCCCTGTCCTTACCCACTGCCATACCCCCACTCCCAATACAATCATATATATAGTATAGTATATATATATATAACTATCAAAACACGTGATAGAGGACTGTCACCAACTTTTTGTTTTTRTTATCTAATCTTTCTATTAATTGTTTGCTATTTCAACACTGATATATCAATTTACGTCAAATTTGTTTTTAATATTAAAAAAATACTAAAATTAATTGTTAATTGTTTTATTAGATATGAGATATGCCTTCAATTTTAAAACCCCCAATCAATTGGCAAATTTAATTAAGCCATCAATTGTTATCAAACAAAACAAGTGATATATTGTCTATTATTTAAGTGAACTTTAATACCAAACATTTTTTTGTGATATTACTAACTAACTAATTATATATAKATATATATATATAATATATATAATATAATTATTTGTTTTTATGCTGATATAAGCAAAAGATTAATCGATAATTATTTTTTTATAATAATTATTATTATATCTATTTTTATATATCCATTAGTATAATCATAATATATATATATATATATATATATATATATATATATATTAATTGTTATAATAAATAATATCCTATTATTCAAGTGATTCATTCATTCAGTCACTGAGAATCACTGAAAAATGATTGCAATGAATGAAAAATAATTTTATTATTATTTTTTAAAAAATTTTATTTTTGTTTTATAGTTTTTTTAGCAGAGTTTTAGCACTTATATTACGCCTACAATAATATATTTATATATATATATATTATAATAATGGTGTCGTCACCGCAACTAACCAGTCAACGGTGCGCTGACAACACCGATGACAACTGTGTCGACCAAACGGAATCGGTAGTCAATAATAATAGTCGGCGACCGATATTACCGCCACTAATCTCATCCAAACTATACATATCAACGATCATCACATTATTTATATCGATCGGCATCTCATATATCTATCGTACTGTCTGTCCATACCTGCTAAGCAACAGTTATAATAGTAATAATTATGGGACAACCAGTACACATATGATACCGCATCCCGATTACGATCATTTGCCCGGTTTGTCAACAATTACCGACTATTCCTATGCCATTGTGTTTGATGGCGGCAGTACTGGGACACGGGTACACATATTTTCGTTTAGTACCCAAACCGAGAGGCGATCCCGGCGTATATACCTGGAAAGTGAAATATTTCAGTCGATAACACCGGGACTGTCGTCGTACGCGGAAAATACGTCCCGWGCGGCCATCAGTATTGATCCRCTRTTGCAACGGGCATTGGCTACCGTACCCRCTRATAAAGCMGTYCAWACGTCGGTAATACTCAAAGCAACGGCTGGACTGCGWTTGTTGCCCAGACAGTCRGCCGACGATATACTTCGGTCCGTAAAAGCCAAACTAGAGTCCAGTCCCTATAAAGGTATCGACACATCATTTTTGACTATTTATATAATGTTAATGTTTGTTGTGTATATGTATGCATGTTTGTGTGTGTGTGTGTATATGTGTGTATATATATGGATGTGTGTGTATATGTATGTATGTGTGTGTATATATATGGATATGTGTATATATATGTATGTATGTATGTATGTATGTGTGTGAATGTGTATGAATGTGTATGTATGGATGTATGTGTATGGATGTGTGTGTGTGTTTGTATGCATAGATGGATGTATGTATCTACATATACATGTATATTGTGTTCACATTTATTTTTAATGGCAATAACTATATTGTATACTAATATATATACTTTAACCTACCAGTTCACGARGACTCGGTATCGGTGCTCGACGGCCAAGYCGAGGGACTGTACGCTTGGTATACCGTTAACTTTTTATTAGGCAAACTKCACGACATACGCAACTCAATTGTTACATTGGATCTGGGAGGTGGATCAACACAGATAACATTTGCCACCAATAATACTGAAACACTGGTATGTAAATTACTAGTATATCTATAGAGAGAGAGAAAAAAAAGAGAGACAGACAGAGAAAGAGAGAGACATACAGACTGAGAGAGAGAGAGAGAGAGAGAGACAGAGAAAGAGAGAGACATATAGACTGAGAGACAGACAGACAGAGAAAAAAGAGAGAGAGAGAGAGGCAGACAGACAGATAGAGAGAGAGAGAGGTAGACAGACAGATAGAGAGACAGAGAGTGAGAGAGAGACAGACAGACAGATAGAGAGAAAGAAAGACATACAGACTGAGAGAGAGACAGAGAGAGAGAGAGAGAGAGCTTCTACAGTATTAGCTAAACATATCTATTAATCTATTGACTAATAATTAAATTGACTTTTTTTATGTTATGTTTGTTTGATTGATTGATTTGATTTGATTCAACCGATAGGTCCGATCGCCAAACGGCTATATCATCAAAGAGAACATCGAAGGCGAACCCGAATATCTGTATACMAACTCCTATCTGGGCTACGGTCTGATGTCTACCAGAAAACAAATACTCATGAGTAGTGTCGATGATAATAATGGCAGCCATCCATATCAAACTGATGATCATCATCGGGTAGTACGGGTGCGGACACCATGTTTTGCTAGCAATTCAAATATCACCGAAAATTGGACATTTGAATCGATAACCTATGAGGTGTCSGGCTATCAGTCGTCCACTGATTCGTTTGAACAATGCTATCGACTGTGCAGGCAATGGGTGGCCAATCGTATACATAAACCCGACGAACTGGCCGATCGTCAAGTGTTTGGCTTAAGCTACTATTATGACCGTATGAAAGACGTACGGCTGGTCAAGGATACCGTCGGTGTTGTCAAAGTTAGGGATTATTATCTGATTGCCGAAAATGTTTGCAAATCTATTGTCAAATTCAAGAAACAGTCACCATTTCTATGTCTGGATTTGGTATACATAACAGCCTATCTTCGGGAAGGACTGGGACTCGACTGGCAAAAGGATATTACGGTTAGTATTGTTTGTTTGATATTTAGTATAACTATTATTATTATTATAACTATTATTTATTTAACTATTATTATAATTATTATTATCTATAATTAAAAAAATAGCAAAAAATATTTATATAAAAGATTATCAACATTTGGTAGTCTTTTTTTAGTCTGGATTTATATTAATAGTTTATTATTGTTATTATTATTTTTATTATTATTATTAATAGCAATAGATTTTTATATATGTTTTGTAAATATTTATTATCTTATATTTTAGTCTATTTACTGTATATATATATATATAATTTTTATTTTGATTATTATTAATTGATAAAATATATACACAAACACATACATATACATACATACACAGTGTGTATTACACACACACACACACACACACAAACACATGCATATTATATCTTGTAATGAAGTTTCATTAATTATAATTACATCAAACATATTGTATAGAATATTCTCTAGTATTCATAGCATTTTGATAACAACAAAAAAGTCAAACCCTTAAGAATATTCTGGTCATTAATAACACCCGAGAATAAAGAGCTCTAAAAATGTCATATAATGTTTAGTTGTGTTTATGTATGTATGTATGGATGTGTGTGTGTGTGTGTGTGTGTGTGTGTATGGATGTGTATGTGTGTATATGGATGTATGTGTGTGTATGAATGTATGGATGTATATAAGTATGAATGTGTATGTATGGATGTGTGTATATATGTATGAATGTATGCATGTTTATGGATTTGTATGTGTGTGTGTATGTGTTTATATATGTATGTGTGTGTGTGTATGTGTATGTATTTGTATGTGTGTGTGTATGTGTCTGTATAGCTTCTAATGATTTTTATACATACAGTATCTCAAAGTCTATAATATATATTAAAAAAAATTATGAGATTTTAATTTAATGAAATTTAGAAATTATTTTTATTATCATAAATAATAAACAAAGATAAATATGAAAAATGATTTAATGGTTTTTTTGTTGTGTTTTCTAACATACAATTACTTTTAGGAATTGTTTTCACTGTATTTATTGTACAAAAAATAAAACAATTTTACTGTTATTTTTTTGAGACTTTTTTAAACAAAATTTATTTAATATTATTTTTTTTGTCTATTTTTTATTACATTGAAAATGGGTTTTTATATACAAAAAAAATTGTCTATAGCTTAATGAAACTTTAAGTTTAGTTATTTAAAAAAAATAATTTATATTATTATTATTATGTTAGTATAGTATGCTATTATCTAGTTTAACAATAGATAATTAGTTATTATTATTATTATTATTATGAAATTATAATATTATCCCAAAGTTATCCCAAAAAAAAATTAATTATCATTTTTTTGTTGTTATTTTTTTAATAAAAATTTTATTTTTATTTATTTTTTATGAAAAATAGTTGGTTAAGAAAATAAATGGTATCGAAACTAGTTGGGCATTGGGTGCTGCCATCAATTTGATTAACATTGCCAAACAAAATACTACTACCCCCAGCACCAGCACCAGTACCAGTACTGGCCAACAATAACTACCCGTACCATCAATTTTGAGGACTACACCCCAATCATCATCCTATTGATTGATATAAACTTTTTTTTATTTGAAGGACTGTTTTGGTTATTATACCTCAAATAATAATCAGTTATTATAATTATTATTATTATTACCCTTTTTTTTGTATGGGTCTGTCATCTCAACATTTTTTTCCAATAGACTCTAATAATAATGATTATTATTATTGTATTGTATTTTTTATGTTATAATTTTAGTTTAATTTAGTTTTTTTTATAAAAACCACACAAAGTTTTGTTTGTTTTTTGTTTATTAATTTATATATGAATTATGGATACTTATAAAGTGCTGTGTTATTTGAATTTTATAGTCAAACTATAATTTATATTATTATTATATATTTATTATATATATATAGTATTGATAAGATATTAATAGATATATATATATTATAAATTGTTTTATTATTATTATTATTTAATAAGTGCCTAAAAACTCTTTAAATACCAAAAAAAATAAGATAAACAAAACTAATTTCGTTTTCATAAATCATTTTCATAGTTATTAAAATATATATATATATAATTGACATATAAAATAAATTATTATTATTATTGTGAAAATCTAGTACTTTATAAATAATAAATTTTAATAATAAAGAAAAATAAATATTTAAGATTTTACACCATTGACAATGATTTATTGATTTTTTTCTAATATATATATATATTCAATATATTGAATATAATATTTTTCATCATTTTTATGAATTTCTATTTAATGCAAATTGTTTTGAAATTTTTTTTTTGTTGAAAAAATGACTATTAATATTATTTTCATTTTATTCAATCACTTTATATTTCAATTGATTTTTTAAAAATTTTATTTTTTTTGTTATCTACGTAAATAATATAATTTATAATTTAAAACTAAAATTATTTTTAAAAAAAATTATATACTGTAGTTATGGTCAATTTATAATAATTAAATTGCAATAATATTATTATTTTAGTTAATCTACTGTATATACAGTATATAAATATAACTTTTTATTTTGAGTTGTATATGATATCAAATTTTATGGTATAATTTAATGGTCAATAAAAATAATAATTTCAATTTTTTTTATATATAAAAAATAAATAAATTTCTCACTTTTTTTCTCTCATAACATAACAGCTGTTTATAATGTGACCATTGGTTAGCACTATATATATATATATACAGTATATATATATATATATCGGTATATTATTTGATAGAAATAATATTAACTATAATATTATACTAAAAATAATTTTTTTATTTTTAGTTTTGTTAAGTTYTGTATATAATAAAAATAAGGAAACATTTTTTGTCATTACATAATAATAATAATAATAATAATAAAATTACTATATATCGGACAATAATAATAATAATAATACATTTTTAATAGGTAAAATAAATAGAGGTTTAAAATGATAATATTTTCGTGGTTTTTTACTAACAAACAAAAAATTATATAATTTTTAACTTTTTATTATTATTATTATTATTATTATTTTCTATCAATTACTGATCATTAATACAAAGTTTTCAATATAACAAAAAAAACACAATTCAAACATCAATTATGAATTTTAATTATATGATAAATGCATATATTTTTAATTTATTTTTTTAAATTTATTTATCATATATACTGTATATATACTGTATATTATATATATATATATTTATATACTGTATATATATATATATATATATATACTGTATATATTATATATATATACTGTATATATTATATATATATACTGTATATATTATATATATATATACTGTATATATTATATATATATATACTGTATATATTATATATATATATACTGTATATATTATATATATACTGTATATATTATATATATATATATAAGAATATATATAAATTTTTTAAAAATTCTCAAATATAATAATTTAAATAATTTGCTATWCATTATTATTTTTTAAAACATAGCTTAACAAATACAGTACARTATATTAACAATTTTATTTTTTAAAAAAATATATTAAAATATTTTATTTTATTTATTTTTTGGTGATTAACTCTTCAAATTTTTATTTACTTTCAATTGCTTAAACATATGTTTAAATACAATTGTTTAAAAAAATAAACTAATATATTATTATATATACAATATATATATATATATATTTAAATATTATGTTGTTTTCCGGGCACCTAATTGTATCCATTTATCTCAATAAATTATATTAGACATTAAATATTGTTTTATTTTTATTTATTTTTTTGGTATATCATTAATGTATATTATACTGTATATACAATATATATAAATTTTTATGCAAATTATTTTAGTATATATTTTGTTTTTTTTTATTTAGCATCAGTTAAATTACTCGACATTACATTAAATTAATTAATMTCTCTCTCTCTCTCTCTCTCTCTCTCTCTCTCTCTCTCTCTCTCTCTCTCACTCTCTCTCACTCTAACTCTCTAACTAATCCTAAAATACTARTAGTATTAAAAAAAACGTTTTATTTTATTTTTTAAAAGTTTTTATTTATTATAATTATTATCATATAAAAGCAAAAAGCATATATAATTAATAATGACAAYAATAATTACCATTTATTTTATTTTTTYATAAAAAATAAATAAAATAAATTTCGTAATAAAAATAATCTCAATAGACTATGAAAATGTTAAAAAAAAACAATTTTAAATTTGAAACACTTGAAAATCTAAATTATATTTTTACATCTAAACTGTTTTAATTATAATTATACTAATGTAGACACTAAATAATTTTATTAAAAGATTATTAAGGATAATAATAATAATAATAATAAACATTATTTTAATTAAATTATCATTGATTTCAAATACTAGTACTGTATATATTAAACAATAATAATAATAATAATAATTTTATATTTAGTTTTTCCAAATGATTTAAAACTAAACTTTAATTTCAAATTTTTTTAATTTTGTTATTAATTTAATTTATGGTGTAATAATTTTTTTTTATTACTAACTTGTAGGATAAAAAATAATAATATAAAGTATCTAATATATATATATATATATATGTATAATATATAAATATATGATATACAATAGGTTGTATATAATATACTATATCTATACCCAACAACAAAAAATACATACAGTCTTATCTTTAGCAAAAAAAAATAAATAATAAAAGTTCATGTATTATAGCAATCAAAATGTTATTATTGTTAAGTATATTAATATATCACATATTTGACTTCTAGAACCTTATATATGGTATATACTGTATATATATATATATATATATATATATATATATATATATATATAGTATAAGTTATATACACTTTACTGTATTTGTTGTGTGAATATTATATTGTGTTAAGAAATAAGAAACAAAAAAATATGATTAATCTTTATATATTGGATATTATTATTATTATTATTATTATTATTATTATTAGTTTTTTTAATACAATATAATGCTTATGTATTTACTTTCATTTATTATATTCAAAGATATAGATACCGGTACTGTATATATACAATGTATAAATAATTTATATATGAGTTCAACGATGAAGCAAATAATAAAAAAAAATATTTAGTAATATTACTAATAAACAAATTCATGTTTTTTTTGATATACAGTAACATTAATATTGTATTTTTTTCGCGTATAGACAGTAAAAACAATAAATTATTATATACACTGTATATATAGACTAGTAATTTGACTGAATGTCAGCAAAACTGTGATTCACATGAGTGTGTGTTTGTGTGTGTGTATGTATGTGGGTGTGAATGTATGTGTGTGTGTGAGTATATGTATGTATGAATGTATATGTTTTTGTGTGTATGTATGTGTGTATATTTAAGTATGGAGTATTTATGTGTGTGTCTGTGTGTGTATGTGTGTGTGTGTGTGTGTGTGTGTATGTATGTGTATATATGTGTATATATGTGTATATATATGTATATGTGTGTATATCTGTGTGAATATATATATATATATATATATATATATATATATATATATATATATATATGTGTAGATCTGTCCTTTAGCTGTTATATATATACATATATTTGTTATATATATATATATATATATATATATATATATATAACTAACATCTAATCTTATGACAATCCATTATTTATTAAGTTTTTCGTTATATATCAATATTTCGCATATTATCCAATATATGTGTATATATTGATATATACGGCATATATCTTATATACAGTAATAATACAAAAATAAGCACATATTATATTATATATATATATTGATTTATAATAATAATTTATATTGTATTTCATTATTCAACAATTATTTTTTATTTATTTGTTGAAAATTAAATAATAGCTGTTAGTATTAGGTATTTCAGTCAATTTTTTTTTATTATTAAATTATTTTACAAAATCAAATATTTCCAAATATTAGTCAATTAAATCAAATATGTAGTTAAATGATAATGAAATTCAAAAAATAATGTTTAGGAATGCAATAAAAAAAATTATTTTACATTTAAAAAAGTAATTTCAAAAAATATTTTTACAATTTGTAACTATTTTTCAAATTATTATTTATTTTATTGTCAAATTCATATATATTATATTATTAATGTATTTCAATAAAACATATATATATATATTTCAGTGCAATTGCTATAATACATATGGGATTTTAAAAACAAAACAAAAAATATTTTACTATTTTTTATAATTTTATATGAAATATCATAATTGAAATATATATTTAATATTAAATACAGTAATAAAGTGATGAAAAAAAATAATAGACATAAATAATTTTTGTTTTGTTTATTGTCATAAAATATTTGTTTTAAATTTTTTTATTTGCTGCTAAAAAAAATAAAGTAAGCATTTTAAATGTTACCAACAAATAACAATAAAATAAAATAAAATTAGCTATCATATAACTTTTTTTTACTTTTTTTTAAAAAAATAAACATTTTTTTTTGCAAAACAATATACTGTATACTGTATTTGATGAAAGATTTTATTTTAGTTTTTATTTAAGTTTTTTTTTAAGTTTTTTTTTTAAAAATAAAGCGATCAATAGTCGGCTTTATATACAATATATATATATATATTCTCTCTCTCTCTCTCTCTCTCTCTCTCTCTCTCTCTCTCTCTCTCTCTTTCTTTATATATATATATGCCTGCGCTCTGTTAGCAATGCCTTTCCCATTGCTCCTAACTATCCCTATTGACTACAGCATCCCTAACCGTATCGCCTAAACTCAAATATACTACACACACACATACATACAAATTGAAAGTCATACTAGAGAGAGAGCTTCTCATATTTTTATTGTTGTTATGATTTTATAACTAACTATAAGCGTATAGTTAATGTACCGCAAAAAACCTAGTGTCCATCAAATGTTTTTTAAATAAAAATTTTATCCACAAAAAAATGAAACTTTAATTTAAACAAAAAATATACTGTATTTTCATCACATTTTTTCCATATATAAGTTATATATATATATATATATATATATATATATATATATATATATATATAGTGTATATACAGTATATTTATATACAATGTTTGACAACCAAGTCTATTGACGTTAACAAAAATTTTTTATATTTGATAAAAAAATAGTTTTAATTTTAATTCAATCATAACTAATAAAAAAACCTAATAATAAACCAATAGATATATCAAACAACAAGAAAATTGTTTGTTTGTTAGTCTATTGTATATTGGATTATAAAAAGTGTTTTTTATTTTCAAGAAACAAATAATATATATATATATATATTTGGACTTTAATTATATTATTTTTTTTGTTGGTTAAAAAAAGATAAATAATGGATCCATTGAATCCATACGCCGACAACAATATCACTTTAAACATATCGTCAATGCCGGCACTCGAAGCCCTGGGCCATACCTATCGGGTAGTACTGGCCATACTGTACTCGGCTACCGCTTTGTTGGCCTTCATATTGAACTTAGTGGCCGCCTGTGTATTGTTATATAATAAGCGATCGTCGGCCGATCTGAGGAAATACCTCATGAATCTGGCCTTTGCCGACATATTGATGGCCATATTTTCCATACCGTTTTCGTATACCGATTTTATGTACGGCCGCTGGATATTCCCGTTATTTTTGTGTCCAATTAGCAACTTTATACAAGTAGTGGCCGCCTGTCTAGTAATCTATACGCTAATTGCAATCGGTATTGAAAGGTATGACTGTATATATTATTATTACTATTATTATTATTATTATCATATATTGACTATAAAAATATATTAGTAATAAATTATATATAATATTTATTTTTTAGATATTCAATAAATATATATTTTATCTATTATTTTCATAAATATATTTTTTAAAAATATTGATATATATTGTATATAATATAAAATTATATATAAGTATAGT